CAATCGGTTCACTGCAGCCTGAGTTGAACCGAGATAATTGACAAGAAAATCAACAATAGATGGGGGAAGAACATCGGGTATCGTGTTGAAAGAGTCGCCGGCAGGTTGCAAGATGTCAATGTGCCGTCTGAGACGCGTACAGACTGAGAGGAATGAGATGACTTGTGCAAGAGAAATAGGTCGCAGTTCGTCATGAGGTTGCGCGGCCAATAATAAAGTATGGAGTAACATGGTATCGCTGGGTAGTCACAAGGAGAAATAAACGAGCGTGCACGGTACGGGTAGTAGGTACGGAGAAGTGGCTAAGTAGGAAAGGTGAGACTCGGACGATCGAAGGCGCCATGTGAACGGTCCGCGTCCGAGACCGGCTTCCGTGGCAGTCTCACTGACGGCTCAGATCTGACTCAACAGCCTAGACCGCCCAGGTGAGTCTGCGTGGAGAGTGGAGAGGAGTGGAGAGTGGAGAGTCGGAAAGCTGACCTTCCTCGCTCGCCTAAGTTCAATCTGCGACACTCACCGCCGTTGTTCTTGTTCAGCCACCACCACCAGCGGCAATCGCTGCCCGCATGCCTTCATAGCCTCGAGCTCTGCGACATGTCTGCAGAAGACCCCTTGACTTATAATCGTAACTCACTTGCCCAATAATCCTCACACTGACTAATACTGAACATGTTTCATCGGAACAGAGGTCGTGGCCGGCATCTGCGAGCTCAGTGAGCTTTCATACCTTTCAACTCTTTAGCTATATCTCCGGCTCACGCGTAGAATCTGTAGTTGAAGTTTCCATACACTCTATTCTGTATATACGGGAGGTATACCCTGCCGAGCTCTTCGTGCGTAGGAAGAAATACGACACACCTGTTTACCAATCTCGCCACCCTGGGTTGAACGAATACATTTCGGGAGCCATTAAGGGTGTCTTCAACGAGCTCCTTCAGGTCAGTACAATCCACGGTTCTGTCCCATTGAATTTATCATTTATCTGGCGATCTGATAGAATAATGTGGAGAAGGTGATCATCGTCATCAAGAACAAGGAGGATGTCCCTTTGGAACGGTTCATCTTCGCCGTACAGCATATGATCGAAGTGGAAGAGTCTCAGCGAAACTTGAGGTCCATATTTCCCCTTTCTTGTATTTTATGCATTTGTTGGGTCGAATCTCACGCAACGATTGGGTTGACACAGTGTCGAGAATGCCACAGCATACACGCCCTTAACGCAACTCTTCCGATCCTTCCTGCTCAAGCTCAACATGGTTGAATCTCAACTTGAGCGACTGCCATCGGAAAGTAAGCCCTTTATTTCTTCGCGTTTTATTATTCTTTCCATATCGTTGATAATTGGGCCATTTCGGCAGAGGACAACTCGTTCACCATTGTGATCGAATCTCCAGAGGGGAAAGCACCCTCAGACCCGACAGAGGATGTATGTATCAGTTTACTCGTGTTCGAATCACCGATGGCACGCACGGAGTTTGATTCATACGACTTGGAATGACAGGAAGGCCCACCGCCATGGACACCAGCCATACCCGAACACACGACCTCCTCTGTCTCAGACAAATCAGAACTGCACCTCCTCCGAGCCATCGAGACAGGGATCATCAACGCAAGTGTCATCTTCTCCTCCTCGCCTGCCGTGTGTACAACCTTAGCTGAAAGAAGAAAATGACAGATTGCAATGGGAGTACAAGAGTCTGAAGAGAAGTTCGAATTACTCAAGGATTCGCCTCCACAGCCTGGTGTCAAGCCTCTCACGAGCACAACCACTGGCAGCATGGGGCCACCGCCACTTCCCCCGCAGTCACTGGATCCACCAGTGCAAGACAAAGGCAAGGGAAAGGGTAAAATACCGGTCTCAGTAGAGCAAAGCGTAGAGGGGCCGATACAATCAGCAGGGACAGGGAAGGACGCGGAGCGAGTGTTGGTGGAAGAAACGAAGGACAAAGAACCGCAGACGGGAGACAAAAGAAGGAGGGTATCGTTCGCGCCGGATGACGGAGAGAAAGATGTAGCGGGATCTAATGCTGAAGGAGTCGATGTCGAGAAGTAGGCCCAAAGACTGGAGAAGCTTTGCATCGATAGTTACTTGAGGGATTGAAGGCTGTCGATGGAATTAAGTACTGAGTGATTCCATAGTTCAAAACAATCGCGAACGAAATAAACCTCTGATGTCGGACTTTAAACGCCCGTAATGGTCAGGGAGGGAAACAAGAGCAGGTCCAATAGGTATTACTTCGATGTATGCAAAGGTATTAATATCAGGATCGCGACGCATGAATAAAAACAAAGCTACACTGAACAACAAGTGACGCCATGGGATATAGTCCACAGTAAGAAATAGAGTTATGGTGCATGCAACATTCAAACGTCTACACGGATTCGTTGGAGTATAGGGATGATGCGGTCCCACTCTTCCATGGCCTGGTAATTGACCACATTTAGAATCAATTTATTTGACAGAAACAAGCAACTCACGGTCTTGTAGAGCTCAATCTGCCCATCCGCAAGGTTGGTCAGCATCTCCTTCATCTCAGCCTCCTTGGCGTGTTGGAATATAGCTTGCTCGCGTAACGTTTCGTCGCTGAAAGCATCCGAGGTTTCGTGCGCCGTCGTCACGGCATCTTCAAGCTATCGAAGCGAGATCGTCAGTGTCATATACTAATTATGGAGAAAATATACAAACCTCCTTGATCTTCACATCCAACTTTCTCATCTTCTCCACCCGACTTCGGTCATCATCTGCGCCTCGGATGGACTCCACCTTGTCTCGAAGATAAGCGCCTAACCCTAGACCTGTGCTGCCAGCATGGCCACTGATAACAGCCGACAGTCTGTCTCTCTCAGCTGTTACTCCAGAAAGGTATTCTGAAAGCTCCTCAAGGTCAAGCTGCTTCTGATCCCGCAACTTAAGCACCGCTCTATGGGCGTGAGAATAACTGAGAAGGGAGTGCAAGTGGATGAGAAAAGGGTCCATGGTGTTATGTGTCTGCAGATGTCTCAAAAGTCAACAGCGGTAACAACAGAAAGAGAGAGTATGCGGACCGTGTGGCGTAGCAATGCAGAGAACTCAAGCAGCGTATTCGAGAAGTGGTTCAATTGATCCGTGATACCAGACTCCAGGAATCCAAGGCCTTGTACTGCGACAGCCATATCATGGTAGTCCGCCGTCAAATCTTCACCGAAAACATCGAGGCCACCCGTTGCTCAGCCTCAGCCACACCTATCAATGTGACAGTGTGGAGTATATGCTCACCTGTTGTCCTGCCCCGGACCCGTGTCCATAACCTTTCCGAAGTGTTAAGGCTCTCTTCGAATTTGTCCACATGCTCCCGCATGGAAAGGAAGCGTTCGTCGGGCTTGCGTACCCGTGCGAAGGCATTGAGGAGAGTGTCGGATAGATTGTCCATGACACCTTGGGAGGCATCAGGACCTGGTGGGTGGGCAAGGTGTTGGTGCATGATAACATGCTATCATAGAGTGGGTTTATGCAAGCGCGGGGAATTGTGGAGAAGAACATACCCATTCTGTTGATTCGAAGAATGCACGAACGAGGGTACTCCGCTGCAATGTTGGGTGTCGTGCGAGCCGTAGAAGGAAGCGGTGTAGACTTCAAAACAAATATGAGGATAGCTCGATGATATAAGAATAAGACATGTCGCACTCTTGACGTCTCCTTTCCATAAACTCTGGGCTGAACCTATCGCCGGTGAGATACTCTGATGTTGGAGCATGAGCCATTATCACACAGGGGCTGAATGGCGTGGAAGCAGACCTAGTCGATGTTTATCAGGTAGAGGTGGTACTACACATGCAGGGAAGTCTTTCGCAAGGTTGTTCCTCAGAAACACGAAGTCCTGGAACCGTCTGCGGGATGATGGATTCGGAGTGGAGAAGATGGGTAGGTTTGTCTGGGAAGACTTCGAGGGTCAGTTGCAGAGTTTTTTGATGATAACCGGTACACACCTTTGCAGTGACGAGATAGGAAACGTAGGCATCCTTAGTCTCAGCAAGTTCCTTGACTGGATCCTTCACGGAAGTGATGAGATAGCCCTCCCACTTGGGATCGTGTGGGCCACGGCCATCTTCGCTCTCCGCTGTGCTTTGCCTGAAGCCTGGTCCGGATGGTGCGCCAACGCCAACGTCGTATGCTGGGGCCGGAGTGGCAGGAGATTCCCAGGTGACACTATCGAATACGTCTTCGTCGTCGCCAAGCATGTCTGTGAGCGGTGGATGGAGGGCGAGAGCAAGTTATGGACGGTCGCAGCCGTTGCGGCCTCGGCAGCGCAGGCCTCTTCGAGACGCGTCGTGGCTGACTGCCACACACAACTCTTTACACTCCTTACAACTGCTCAGCAGCCATGGTTCTTCGTAGCCTGACGCTGCTCTCAACTCTCTTCGTCGCTGCGGCGACAGCGGCCGGATATGAAGTGCCCATCGTCGACAGAGATTATTCGAGGCAAATATGTTCAGGAATGTGGAGTAATGCGCAAACCTATATCAATGGTAAGCATCCGTCTGGAGATGATCTACAGGGGTACCTAACCTTGCACAAGTCAGTTTCGACAGCTCATCACAGGGACAATTGGCCATGGTCATTTACGAGTGGGCAGACGCACCATACCTGGGCAAGATAACCTCGGAGGAGGACGACTACTTGCCTGTGAGCACAAACCACCTTCCCATCCGCAGCATTGAATTCTCAAGTGCTCTTGCTTAGCAGAAAACATATGTTTGCACCTCTGACGCTGTTCGAGGAGGGTTCTGCTCCCAGTCTCAACTTGGTCGCTTCATCCTTGACCTTCCTGAATCCACCTCAATCAATGACACCAGCTTCTGGTCTGCTCGCGTTGCGTTTCCCACCGCTGGCGGCTCCTCTGATACCTCTTTGGAAACCGACGTGAGCGAGGACACTACCACCTCCTCAGAGTCCTCTGGTAGTCTTTGGGATAATCCGGAAGGCAATCCTGTAGTCCCAGAAGGCGAAGGTGATGTGGCGTGGCGTCGGTCTCTCGTGGCACCGAGCAAAAGGGACACAATCAACCCAAGCCCTACAAGCATTCTAACGTACCAGGAGCCTATACAGTATCTCGTCAGAAAGACTGGATACTACTGTGTTGGTGTGTTGTCATTGTTGCATTACCAATTCTAGGCGCTATTTCACTAAAGCAGAAAACACTAGCGGTCGTCCCTGTCACTGTCTTACAATCGCGAGAACCTGGAGAACTCGTAGAGCGTCAATCCAACTCTTCAGAAGTCCATCCAACTTATCAAGGTCTCGTTCATTTCCACAACACATTCGACGGCCAGCTGGCCGCTACGGAGTACCCTAAAGTGACAGTACGTGCACAAAGTTCGTACGGTGTTTTCTAGCGCTCACACGTGTCAACCGATGTAGTTCTACCTGGTGATGTTCATCGTCTACGCGGTGCTGGGCGGTGCGTGGGGGTGGCTTTGCTACAAGCACCTGTCAGAATTACTTCCACTTCAAGTGAGCCATTTTGACATTACCATCCAACGCCACCCCCTGATCATACCATCAGTATTATCTCTCTGGACTCGTTGGCTTCCTGATCATCGAAATGCTCGCCAACCTAGGTCTGCATCCAACTTCTACTCTCGTCCCTGCATGGAAGTCTAATAATCCATCACAGCTTATTACCGCTACCTCAACGCGCACGGAAAGAATACCGTTTCGACTGTCTTCCTCTTTGTGGTCGCCATTCTCGACGCCGGCAGAAACTCACTCTCGTTCTTTATGTTGCTTGTCGTATCTCTTGGACTCAGCGTCGTTCGCGACAGTCTTGGGAGCACGATGCGCAAATGTCAACTACTTGCTGGCGCTCATTTCATTTTCGGAGGTTCGTGTCACCAGGTTACCCACGCCGAACTTGCAAGTCCATATTAATGCTCCCTCCTCTAGTCCTTTACGCAGTGGGCATCGTGGAACTCGAATTCGAGTCGACCTCAGCCCTCGTATTACTCCTCTTCGTCATTCCTTTAGCTTTCACTCTGAGTGGATTCCTGATGTGGATCCTGTACTCGCTCAATGGTCAGTGCTCTAGCCTCTAGCCCTTGCGACATTGACTAAACTATCGACGCCACAGCCACCATCGCCCAGCTCAAAGCAAGGAAGCAACGCTACAAGCTCGGCATGTTTCAACGACTGCACTACATCCTTCTATTCGTTGTTGTCGTCATCGCCATATTCTTTGTCGTCTCGTCATTATCGTTCTCCGGTCGTCTTGCTGAAGGTGACGCCACAATGACACCCATACTGTGGTATTGTCAAGACTAACATAGGTTGCAGACTACGCGGCCAAGACTTGGAAAGTCCGCTGGTGGCGTAAGTTTCTCCCTGACGTTCGTCACATATGCATCATGCTCATTCTCTTCCTAGTTCTCGACGGCTGGCTCGCCCTTCTCTACCTAGTAGCCTTCACCTCTATTGCTTACCTCTGGCGACCGTCGGAACACAACAGAAGATAAGTCGTTTTCTCGGATTCACCCGCATGCTTGTATACTTACTCTTCCCTTTCTGATATCCACATTGATGATGTCCGAGGAACTCGCACAAGACGAAGAAGACGCCCAAGACTACGACCCCGAAGCTCTCGAACTCCGATCGTCCAGACGTCACCAGAACGACGACGACGACGACGCCACCCTCGTCGGCGGTCATCGCGGCGGAGCCAGCTCCGTCAACGAAGACGCAGTCGTATTCGAGATTGGTGACGAGGATGCGCAGGATCTGAGTGACGAGGAAGATGATCCTGCAAAGCAGAGGTCTGCGAGGCGCGTGCCGGCGCCACATCGTGAGCATGACGATGATGGGAGGGCGGATGAACGGGAAGGATTGATGGGTCTGAAGGATAGGGATGAGTGAGAAGAGGTTCTGCTGTCAACTGCAAGCTGTGATGTTTATTATTTTTCCGCTCTTGATTATTATTCTCGCTATCGGACGCTATAGTACAGAGTACGTTTGCGCATAATGTTCTCGGTGAAAAAATGGGTTGTTAATTATAGCGAGTAAAATACAACAAGAACAGCGACGGTGAGTGTTGGCGAGAACATCCCAAGTGAAAGCGAACGAAAGCGAGGCCATCAACATTATGTGTCGCGTATCCGGCCTGTCGAGGTGGTGTAGAGGCGAGCGGCGATGTTCATACTTTGCAATTCCTGCAAGATATAGAAGTCAATATTGTACCCGTCGACAGTCTTCAGTGGCGACGAACCTGGAACAGTAGTTTCGCGGCGTATGGAATGTGAATCTGTGAACAAGCAGTCTTGTTCTTGCAGGCACGACACTATGGGGGTATAATCAGCCTCATGTTCAAAGGAAGAAGAAAACTGGACAGCTTACCTCGAAACTCTGCTTTTTCTATTTTTGGGGAGTAAAGGTGGTTAGCATGAGTATTATAAGGGCCAACGCTGAAGCCACAAACCAAGTTCGCAATAGCGGTCAGACCGCAACTGCAAGGTTCGAAGTTAGTACGATGGAAAGGACGGTCCAGGATGGAAAATACGCACATATCACAGACATGCAGACGGTACGCGTCACTGGCATCGAAAAGACGTTCCTTCAAGAAGCCAGCAACACCATGCGAAATCATGCAATCACGCTCCATCTCTCCGAACCGCAGACCCCCATCACGACTCCGACCTTCGACCGGCTGCCTCGTCAGAATCTGCACTGGACCCCTAGCACGCGAGTGGATCTTGTCGTCCACCATATGTTTCAGGCGCTGATAGTATGTTGGGCCGAGGTAAACCTGCGCCTGGAGCTTGCGTCCCGTATGGCCGTGGTACATGACTTCAAGGCCACGAGACTGGTAGCCTTGAGCGCGCAAGAACTGCGACACGGATTCGACAGTGAGGTCGGTGAAGGGTGTGGCGTCACCTTCGTTTCCGATGAGGGTGGCGACCTTAGAGAGCAAACATTCGACCAAGTGACCGATAGTCATACGAGATGGAATGGCATGGGGGTTGATGACGATGTCGGGTGTGATGCCCTCGGCAGTGAACGGCATGTCCTCCTGACGATACGTGATACCGATCGTACCCTTTTGACCGTGTCGAGATGCGAACTTGTCACCGATCTGAGGTATACGAGTGGCACGTACCCGGACCTTGACGAACTTCTGGCCTTCGTGATTGGTGGTGATGAGCACTTGGTCGACGATACCGCTCTCCGTGCTCTTGAGTGGCGTAGAGACGTCGCGGCGGGTGTGTATCCTGGTTCGCTGGCCGAGCTCCTCGCTGTCTGGAGGAATGGGTGCAGTCTTACCGATGATAATGTCCTCTCCGTTCACTCCGGTACCGGGGGCGATCAGACCGTCGTCCTCGAGCTTGTCGTACGTTCCGTGCTTCATGCGAAGCGTCGTGTCGCGTGTAGGTTTCTCGAACTCCTCCAACTGCTGGATACCGCTCTTCTTCTCCAGATCCATATAGCTCCTGTAGTAGATACTCCGGAAGAGACCGCGGTCGATTGAGCTCTGGTTCATAATGACGGAATCTTCCTGGTTATAACCACTGTAACAAAGGATGGCAACGATGGCGTTTTGGCCGGCGGGTAGCTCTCGGAACTTCAGGTACTCCATCGAGCGGGTAGTAGCTAGTGGCTTTTGGGGATAGTAGAGGATGTTCGCCATGGTGTCCATGCGAACGAGGAAGTTGGTCAGATAGATACCCATGGCCTGTTTACCCATGGCAGACTGGTAGGTGTTACGTGGCGACTGGATAACGAAATAGATCAGCTTGTGTCGAACATGCGATACGGTCAGATACTGATACATACCTGATTGTGATCGGGGAAAGGAATGATACTAGCGCAAATACCCAATATCATGCTAGGATGAATCTCGCAATGCGTCCAGGTATGAGTGTTGAGGCCAGAAGAGGCCTTCAACCGTGCAGCCGGGTCGAAGTCACTGTCTTCCGCGTGAGGATTGATACCACTTGACTGTAGCCGCGAATTCTCCAGATCTTCAGGTGTCATGCAAATCATCACCGTCTCCTCTTCTTCCGCATCCAAGTACTCCACAACACCAGACTTAATGAGGTTATTCCACTTGAACTCCTCGCCGTTGTCATCGGTACCGCGGGTGAGCATGTTGATGTGCTTCTTCGTAACGGCGAGCTGCTGGTCTTCCACGACGAACAGCGGTCGACACACTCGCCCGGCATCGGTGTACAAGCGCAACTCCCTCTCGCGGATATCACGAACGATGGAAACTTCGGGATGGATATCGTCTTTTCTACGCAGCTTCTTGATCGTTTTGATAAGATTCGCTGGATCTCTGTGAACGCCCATCCAGACACCGTTCACGAAGACCTTCGTCGTCGGGGTTGCTGAATGAGCGTTTTCTTCCAGGGACTCCAAACCCCACTCTTCCAAGAAGTCGATGACGGGAAGGGAGAGCGAACCGACGGAGATCGTAGCCATGAGCGAAAGATTCTTGACAAGACCGCAAGCCTGGCCTTCCGGAGTCTCGGCGGGGCAAACCATACCCCAATGTGTGTTGTGGAGCTGACGAGGTTTGGCGATCTTGCCTTCACGTCCGAGAGGAGTGTTGCACCGACGAAGATGGGACAAGGTGGAAGCGTACGTGTAACGATTAAGTACCTGAGAAACACCAGCCTTCGAGGCCATCGACTTCTTCTGGTCACCCCAATTACCGGTGGCGAGGGAGTATTTGAGACCGTTGGTGATCGTGTTGTGTTTGACGGCAAGATTCAGATTAAAGTCTTTGTGTGTCTCGACACACTATCACACCACTTGAGCATGGAAAGCATATGAATCCAAGGAAAAAGGAAGCATACCTTCTGGAGATAGCGGTACACATCCCTGGTCAACTTCCTGAAGAGCATACGGAACAAATTTGCGAGTAGAGGTCCAGCAAGATCCAGACGCTTCTTCCCGAAATGATCACGGTCGTCCAATTCTCTCCGTTCCATGGCTGCAAGCAGGAGTCGATGGATCATATAGCCGAAGAAGTACGCTTTCTTCGACTCTGAACCCTCGGACATTGATATGTGTGGAAGCATCTCCTTCTGTAGGATCTCTTGTGCATATCGTAGACGGCGTTCACGAGACAATCCAGTTGTCGTTCCTCGGTTTCCAATGAAGTCAAGCGCAATCTAGTCCGGATGTCAATTCTGCAGATAGAATATACAAAGAACATACGAACCTCGCGATCCTGGATCACGAAGCCGTCGTCTATACAAGGCTTCAACATCTCGAGCATCTGAGCGTCCTCCATGTCGTAGCAAATGTGTTCCAAGATGTCGCGGTCTGAGATGACGCCCAAAGCTCGGAAGACGACCCAAATTGGAATGTCGACTTTGATGTAGGGGATGGTAGCTTTGATGACGTTTCCAGACTATTATACCTTATGAGCAAAACAAAATTTATACGGTGAAGGAGTCAAGAACACTCACGGTCTTGTCTTGATTACGGTGGTACATTTTTACTTGGAACTGACTGATGGTCTTTCCACCCTTCTCTACAGCTGACCGAATTTCAGCCAAGAAGTTGATAGGGGATGGTTGAGCTTTAGCGAAGACGTAGACGTGGTTCGTAGCCATGCGTTCTTGAGCAATGAGAACCTTCTCAGACCCGTTGATGATGAAGTACCCTCCGGAATCGTAGGGACATTCGTTCAAGTCGTACAGCTCGTTTTCACCAAGCTCGGAGAGAATGCAGAATTGGGATCGAAGCATGAGAGGCAGCTAACAGACTGTCAGAATAGTAATAATACGCAAAGACTAGAGGGACGCACCTTGCCAATCCAAACCTTTTGAAATTCCTTAGTCGATATTTCGTCGACTTCGACTTCCCAGTTAATCTCCCCAGCTTGACCATCCGGATCCTCTCGACCAACAGAGAACCTACGAGCGACTTCGACGTATAGAGGGGAGGAATATGTGAGGTTTCGAAGACGCGCTTCCTGGGGAAATACAGGTACGACGGATCCATCGGCTTCCGTGACTGTGGCTCGTGAGAGGTAGACCTGGTTGAAGTGTAGCTCATAGCGACGAGTTACGTCGTTGTCGTGGCCGGTATGCTGGTCGGCTTGGTCGAGAATGAGGTCTGCGTTTTCTTCTATGAGTTCCTGCATGGTGTTCTGAACGAACTCGTCGAAGGAGTCCAGCTGCTGTCGAACGAGGCCCTTTTCGTCGAAAAAGCTGGAGATGACAGTCCAACAATCCTCTTGACTGATCTCCTCAGACTCATCTTCATCCTCGTCTTGACCGTAAAACGGATCCTCGTAGGTCGGTTGTTCAGCAAGAGGAGTTCCTTCTGAGAAGAGTAAGGATGAGTAAGACAATCGGTCAAACAAGGCGTGGCGAGGCTCACCTGCACTCATGATTGAAGATGATACTTCTAGAAATCACAGCCAGATACGCCTTTGAGAATATAAGAAGCAAGAAACGAGGATGTTGCGGTGAATAAGAAAAGAAAATAACGTCGAGCAAGCGCGACGGTGGGCGAGAGCAAGTCTGAGCGAGTCGGCGCGTGTCGCGCTTGCTCGTCGCTCGGACTTTGCCGCAGGCTCAAGCGCTCGTGATACCAAACATCGCGCCACATTTGCGCCACATGAATCTCGCGACAGAATGAATCCAGCAGAATTATCCATTAATGGTGTCAACATACAACGTAAAGCAATGTTAATCATAGCAAAATCCAACCGAAAGAAGACCCTTAAGTTCTCTATCGTATATATCGTACCCTCCAAAAGTTAATAATAGTATGTTTCCAGGTATCGTTCGTAGTATATAATTACGTTCTTAATTCTGCCTTGCTGTCAGACGCCAAGTAAGAGGAAGCAACGCTACGCCTGTCCAGAGGCAAATCCCAACCATTATCATCATTTAAAGCACCTAGTCCTGGCACTGCCGCAGGAGCACTATTATCGATGGAGACCCCTTGATGTACACGGCGCACGGAGGAGTGTGGGCCCGACATCTCATGCTCGTCATCCTTAGGAGTCCTGCGTATACGGAATAACAGAAGCCCTGGACGTGTGACGACGATGAGGACGACATTGACGGCGCCTGAAAGGCAGAAAAGGGATCTGTAGGATACCAGAATTCATCGACATGTGCGTCAGGGAGTCTGGACGAGTAGAAAGAGAGGAGAAAAAAAGACTGACATGACGATAAAAGTGACCACTGAGGGGACTGATTTCCCTTCACTCTCCAAACCGAACCCGATATACCGCCCGATCGTGAGAGGGAGCACGAGGATAGAGTAACTGATAGGATAACTACGAGACTGGGTAAGTTATAATGGTACAGACGTTGCCGTGTACTGGACTCACGCAAGCATAGCAAGTGCTTGGCTTCTTCGAGCCTGCTGCTCTTGAGGATTAGTCGGCTTGCGAACGCGGAATTTCCACCACTGTGCTGGGTCTACCGAGAGCCGACCCTGGCTCCAGAAGTATAGTGGGACGTAGACAATGATCTGGAATAGTTCGAGCGTAAGGGATATTAAGCATACGACAAGGAAACTGAACTCACAGAGACGAACAGAGCAGCCCAGATCCAGAAGTATTCGCCAGCGATACGTTCCTCCATGAATTTCCCGGACACCCAGCACCAGTATGGTGTCGGAGTCTGATGGTTGTTCGTAAATCCAGAGCCTCTAGAGAAGGACAGGCAGACGCACCTCGTACAAGTCTCCGGTCGTGTTGTGAAGACCTGCTCCAAGACCACAGAACAAGATCACGAATATCCAGATGCAGGTTACGATAGCGAGCGCCGTAAGACGAGCAGCTCGTCCCTGGATTCCGATGGACCAGAAAAGACCCATGAAGGTATGCAGCGATATAACCTGGGTAAAGGCCTAAGAAAAGGAACTTCTTGGTATAGGGTCGAGTCCGCACACATACCAAAGTCGCCATCGCTACCCCTGTTTCGCCCATTTGCTGGATGATACCTGTGAAAGCACGTCAGCCGAAATTGAAGCCTCGTAGTATTCGCGGCACGTACCTTGAGCTGTGCAGAAGCCACCAGTATACACCTTTCCCTCGTTAATCCACTTGACATCCAGAAGATATCCTGTGGCCTGAAGCAGATCTGAGAGGAATAGCGACACCTGGTAACATTGTTATTCAAGTCGGTCAATTATAGGATAGCATGAGATCAACTTACCATGTAAATATCGGTCGGCTCCTCGAAGAAGCCCCACTTTGTGCCACTGGACTTGGATCTCCATTGCAAGTAGATATTTCTCTGAGAACGAGCGTCAATTCACTGTCGAAGTCATCGCTCAGCGACTGGAGACGCACCAGGATGAGCAAGAAAAGTCCGGTCACGGCAATAACAGAAAGGAAGGCTGCTTCAGTGGTGATCTGGGTCAAATAGAGATCAACTTGGCTCCAGGTCTTGAAGAATGACATGAGACTCACGGTCAACCCAATGGACTGCCCTCGAGTAAGGCAGTATAACGTCTCCTGCGAACTCTGTCCTGAGATCCCAGAGATATACCATTCCTCCGCCGTGCAGTTCGACATGTCCCTACGAGTACAGGAGAGCGAACGTAGACCTAGAGGAAATCAGCTGCAGCCTGTGCAGAAGGCAAGGCACCGAGTCGCTTTGCGGGTGGATAGAATGGAGCCTTGGAGTTTGGGGCTTTGAAGAAGCGCCCCGCAATTTTATAGTTCGGAAGAATGTAGAGGCGTTCTAGCCCATCCGGGATCAGGAGAGGATGGGTTTTGGGTGACAGCCGGTAGCACACGAGGAAGGATAAAGCCATAGCTCCTTGCATTCGCCCTGGCCGTAGCATGCCAGTGCATCGATTGCTTGTCGGATTCAGATCATCCACTCGTATGGTCGTTGTCAGGTTACAAAAACGCAAAATGGATGGGCACTTCGAGGTATCACGCGTATTCACCGCGAAATGTCATATTGGCAGATTCTTTGTCAGAGGAAAAAAATGGTTGCCCAAGGTCACGATATACGATATGGAGAGCTGGAGCCGTGAGTCGTCCGTCTCAATAGACGCCGTACAGGGGAAGACCGGAAGACCGATAGCTTGGCTCAGGCTTTGTTCCGTCAAGTCCACATTTGGCCGCCGGCTACAATGTCGAGTTCTCGGAACCTCGTGGCCCCTGTGAATCAGGGGCATTCACGTTTCTTGATTGGATTTTAGGACCAGAGCTAGAGACGACAACGTTAACGTTAACGTTGGCAGACCGTTGAACGTTGAGAGGTTGAGCGGTATCGGTACAACACTGCCCGGATCTTTCTCGGTGTACGCATCGTAATATCGTCAATACACCCAATATTCTGAACAAAAGGACTCAAGGGTACTTGATTGCACGGGAAAGTGATAACGTCGTATACATGTCGAAGAGCTCGAGGGTCATAGGTCTACATACTGATATGATAACAAGCAAAGGTCACAAACAAAATCAAATACACAGAGAATAAGCGAGAAACAGTGCGTCTGTTCTCCACGAGCCTCATCTAAGACAACTTCGCTCTCATCCGCCTTCATCCGCAAACAACAATTCAGAATGTGCAAGTGTCAGCAAAGCGTACAAGTGAGCAAAGCAATGTATCTACTACGAGCCAAAATTCAATAATATGATCATACACGCCCATACTGGGCCATAAAACTCGCCCATGCATCCACAAAGTCTGCTGGAGGGGTCCGTGGCGTCGTTCCGCCCTGATATGGCGAAGCGGACATAGCGTGATCGAATGCGGACTGCGTGAACTGGTCATGAATGTTCGTCATCGTCAATGGAGACACGTGCGTGGCCAAGTCGAATGCTTGTTGGGCCATTTCTGGGTTTGACCAAATATCTGGAGGCGGGGCACGATTCGTATAGTCGTACGACGGCGGTGGGTCGGTGTATCCAGCTCCAACCCAGTGCGAGTCGAAGTCCATGGCGGGAGGAGGTGGCAGGCGAGGGGATGAGTACATAGTAGGCGGGGAGGTACGCGGTACGACTACGCCGGGGGCTGCAATAGAGGGAGAGTTTGACGGGGAAGAAGGCATAGAGGAAGGCCGGTGCATGACCAGACGTGTTTGACCTCCTCCTAACTTCGTCAACTGATCGTCCTCCTGTTTAATTTTAGGCGAGTCCGGCAGGCCTGTCCGAGAGAGAATTACAGAGTTTCGTGGTTGTACGTCTTGCATCGAGGCGATGGCCTTTTCGCGTTGGGTTCGTAACACGGGCTTTATATCCGTGAGTACGTTGCACGTCCGGAGAAGGTGTTAGATAGCTTACCAGAACTTTTGCCGCACGGGGATTCTTGGCCACTTGCTCAAATAGCCCAAGAGCGGACTCGAGATGGGAGAACGCCGAACGAGCAAGCATGATCGAGGGGCATCGGATAGGTAGTGACGCGAGGACGATCTGAGTACACGATACAAGGCGTCAGTCAATTGACAGAGTAAGAAGGGAGGAAGCATCTTACGGCGCACGAAAACACGTGGGTGAACATAAACCACATCCGCTCCATCAGACCAGGCTGTTGCGAGAACAAACTCTTGGACAGGCCAATAAAGGAGCACGCGCTGCTGTACGCTGCAAGGACCGAGGGGGCATACTTGCTGGCAAGAGGGTCCTCAGGATTTGTGGTCATTGCATGTGCGAAAAACCCGCGATGCATATAGAATATCGCTACAAGTGAACTGGGTCAGCAGTTGTTTAACGGGTAGAGGACAATCTGCGATAACTCACTGATCTCCCGGATGGAGAATGCGATAAAACGTTGCATGGTCAAAGCTGGCGAGGGTGGCTCGATCTCGGACATTGGTCCACCGAAGCCGGGAACTCGTAAGGTAGGCGGTGTCTTGAAGTTACGCACTCTCCTGTCGAGTTCTTGTGTGAGCTTGTAGCTCGGCATCTTGGCTCCAAAGGCTTGGTCGTGAACGATGCTAAGACACTGGGAACAGAACTTGTGTTTCCACAAGTGAACTAAAGAATCATGAGAACGTGAAACACATCAGAAGTGATGACCTGCACGTACACCCATAGTCTTCTTCGCCTTCTGCATTTTGAGTGGGTTCGTATGCCATACGGCAATCCATGTGAGTAAGTGAGAACGAAGGCGGTCGCCCGTACGTCAAACTCTGTAGTATGCATGTTAGGCGAGACGCTCTGTTTCCAAGCGGATGACTTTACCCACCATCCAAGAGTCGTATCTACAGAAAGAGACGGTTTCTTAGACAAAAGCAAGCAGACTGAACACGTCATATTGACTCACGTATATATTTCCCAAAACAACGCTCTTCGTTTTTGTGTTTCCTCCGGACTGAGATTCCATTTGCCACTGTCTCGATGGAGGCCGCACTACGTCTCTAAGGTAAGTACAAAGGCTACTATGCCACCGGAGAACTACAACTCACACTGTGGGTTAATTTTACAATCATCCCCATGAACGCCCAGCGTGGGCCATCAATGTCGGATAAGAACATGAAGTGCAACATCAAGAGCTATTGAATTGATTCGTCAATTGTTCCTTGAACTATAAAGCATGAGAACATACCAGTGCTTGCAAAGCGGTCAATGATTGGTCCTCAAAAATCGAATCAAGAGCAAGAGCAGCTCGCCCTAGCTGAAAGTAATAGTGGGCGTCGTTCGAGTTCGGTGGTCGATCCAAATCCATCAGAACACCCATTGACATAACAAGGAACAGTACCGAGAGCTTCTGACTCATAGGAGGGCCTGTGTTCGAATTTTGTTGGGGGTCGTATATAGGAGTGAGGATAACATCACGGAAGTCATTCTCCCATATGGGTCGGTACCTACAAGTTGATGAAGTAAGACAACTGATGAGAGAGGAGCAGAATTAGATTCTTACATCCATGCCGCGTTATTGTAATAAATGTCGGCGAGTCGTCTAGCTTCCAGAGGATCCGGAAGGCAGCCCAGTAGAGTCTCGCGAACGTTTTGAGATGAAGCTTTGACGCTGGAAGTGAAGGGGAATGCGTGGCTTAACCATGGTAAATCATTGGGTAGTCCAAGCTCTGGGCGGGAGGTTTCTTCTTCATCGCGTGGTTCCTCGTTCTGTAACGAAATTTCGATCAGTTCTTTTGAAAACATTCCTTGCGGTTCATGCTATGCAGTCATACCTGCAAGAGATACTGTAGATGGTCGCGTCAGGTTAGGAGAGCTCTGATCAGGAAACAAGAAACATACCCATGCATTCGCGGTACACCCGAAGAAGTTGGACCTGCCAGTCTCAGAGATCGATCTGTAGAATGGCGCTCGTCAATAACGTATTCATCACTGACAAACCAAGAAGTCATACAATGAGCCAACGGCATCAATGTTCTCTGATTCCGACGCAGTAGCTTCTAACGTCTCTGCGATTTCCTTATGAGGCTCTCTTTCGAGTGGGCGTTTGATCTGCAACAAGTCATCTGACAATAGAGGGTGTCGCTCTGCGGAATGGAGACCATAGGTGTCTGCCAGTGCGTCTTCCAACTGGCGAACGCGAGACGAAAGTTGGCCAATCTTGTCATGCAGTACTTCGGTATTGGCGAGAATGAACCTGAGGCACAGTCAGCGAATGAGCAAGACAGAAGAACAGCGTGGAACGTTACCTGTTGCCCTTGCCAGTGGTAAGAGAACCTGAAAGTAGCAGTGTTAGCTTCGACGACTTCGAAGAAGGTCGCAACGGTGATAGCTTACCATCAGGGCATATTGCAGCGCATCCTTTCTTAACGCAACCGGTGCAAGGAAACACACGATTACATCTGCGCGTTTGATCGTGAACAAGATGGTCGACATGAAGACGGAAGTGGTCGATACGTACCTCAGCTTCAACCGCCTGCACTCTGCGCATGAAAGTGCCGTACTACCGCGACGCTGCTTGGACAATGAAGGTGGTGAGCTGGCTTTCTGACGCTGAGGCTGAAGAGAGGCCATGTGAACGCTGGCAGAGTGGGAGAGATGGTCAACAGTGAGAGCAGTAGAGCAACAACCACCTGGCGTCAACAAGGGCTACTTTGTACATATGTGAACACGGGGTAGCGAAGCTTTAAGTAAGCGATCTGCCCTAGACCCAACAGGGTCCTCCGACGACCACGGAGGTTACAAAGATGATGAGGGCGTCAATGGATCTGCTCTGATGCCAATTCCGTCCAGGGCACGCCCATAAACGCAAATCCTAGCGCCTTTTCGGGTGCGCGCCCCGATCCGAGCATGGCGGGAAAGGGTACCCACAGAGGCGTCAGTCATAATTACAATCTCAACCTGAGAACAGGAAGCAGTGCACGACCCATTGCATGAAGTGCAGACATCGTGCAGACGTGTCGAATACACTTTCTCGCTTATACTCTATTACTCCAACGAGCATTCATCCTTCTCCGGCCCCATCAGGCTACCGAAGCTCTGCGGCGGCTCTGAAATACGGTGACTTTCATGGACCGCCCGAGTGTTCGCAAGAGCGCGACATAAACTGGCGCCTACAATTGCGCAGATAATTTGGCGTTTATCGGTGAAACTTTGTTTACACCATCAACAAGACACTTTATATGTTCCTCAGGATCTTGTGCCAGTGTGTTTTTAGCCTGACTCCAGAACACGCTTGTAGAAAAACGGGTTTTCGCAAGGCAGTGGGAACGCTACAAGGGAGTGAGCTGAGAAGGACCCAACAAGACCTGAGCGTGTAGTGATAACTGATCCAAAGGCAAGCTTGAATCAGGCTAGATGATAGAGCTAGACATGTAGAACGTGATTCGCGAAAGGTCGAAGACGGGCTGGTCGCCGAATACGTACTGTCGGGATTAGGGTTGACGAATGAAGGCTGTGTGTTTGTTCTGAAGGAGGCTTTACCCGACGGCGATCGAGTGTTGAGACTGGTCCATATGCAGATCATCCAGTCGGGCCTCTGTTGCGCGACGCTAGCAGCATAAATAGAACGCTCGTAAGTATAGAGAACCTCTCTCAGTCGGAGGAAACTCAGATACGGACCCGTATGACGCCGTGTCAGAGCAGACCGTCTGGAATAGCTTGAATGTGCATAGAGGCGAGCTGAGACGTGTGCGAGACTCTGTGCGTTGTGAACATCCGGAGAATCTAAGAACGTTGCTGGCAGAACAAGCAGCGTGGAGAGATGGCCATGGCCCGGCCACCCTGCTAAGCGATATCTGAACGGCCTTTCGTATTCCTACATTCCAATACTGCATACGAACACGATAACGCAAGCCTCCCTGAGCGTCTTCTGCCACCGAGACGGGGTAAGGGACATGATCTCGTCATCGCTCTAGTGAATGGTGCCCAGGAGGGTGTCCATCTTGGCCAGTGCACTACCGGAATATCCGCTCTTTACGATTTCCTTGTCAGCTCATCCAGAGAAGGAGAACTCTTGATGTGGCAACCTTACCCCAAATAGAACAGTATGGTTTAGATAGTGGAAGAGCTCGTACAGGTCTCCGCGTTGCTCATATTGGTCGGCTGGCTCGGTCTTGGGAAGGTGTTTATGATACTCCTCGAAGAAAGATCGAGGGATCCCGCCAAAGATACGTGCAATCGCGAGGCTACAAAGCAAAAAGGGGATATATAGTCCACATTCTCTAAGGTCAAGAGCGATGAGATCGTGGCATGAGTAAGTACCCACTCAGCTTCGTTGTGGCCGTAAAATGACGAAGGGTCGAAGATAACAGGTTCTCCAGTTTCGCTCTTCGTACCCGTGTTTCCGCTCCCTAATGGGGATAAAACATATGTTTAGCGAGCCATCAAAAGTGGGATGAACGCAAGAACCCACATAAATCACCATGGCATAAAACAGGGTCTATATCGAGTGAACCGAGTAGAGCTGGGATCACTCTTGGGAAACGAGCTTGATTCCTCCTTGCATCTAAGCCTCGCAAGATCTGATTGACAACGTACCTCTCTCGAATTTTATCCCCTTTCCTGCATAGCTCTGGAAACTTTCCTCGCGACTTGAGCGTATCTAATAGATCCCCAATCATCACATCGAAACATTCCTCCCATCGGCTATACCAGCCATTTCTCATGCGAGTCGCGCCGCAATACGTCGGGACGGCAAACCCGAACCCATTCTCGCTCTTATACCAGTGCATCTCTGTGGCTAGTCTCTTCCCTAGCTCCGCTCCAGAGTTGTTATCCAGGGAGCCCATGGTGAGATACTCCGAGAGCATGAACGGTCGTGAGTCCGACTCGGAGACACCAGATGCAAAGACTCGAGGGACGAGGCCTGGAGCTGCGGCATCCATGGCCTTGAGCGATTCGGCTTCTCCGATGTACTGCTCTGTTTCTCTTGTTGAACCGACTTTGGCGAAGTAAGTCTGACCGGAAGAGGATTCGATACGAGGGAGACGACCGCTGAACTTCGCGTTTGGTTCGAGCGTCTCGAGGTGATGGAGAATGATAGCTGGAATTTGGACCATGATGGTAGTTTCAAGTTACCCGTTTGTCGCGTAGGAAGTGGATGAAGAGTGAGAGTGGGAGTTGCTGAGTGACATCATAGTTGAGCGCTACTGATGAGATGACTTGTTCTCAGCGTCCACTTCATGTTCGGGTGTGGCCGGCGACGCGTGCGACAATTGTCACAAGAACGAACCAGCGCCACTCATTCACCCGCCCTATCACTGAGAGCCGTCCTCATCTCACATCCATCCCATCATGAACCAACAAACGTACCACCCTAGTCTCGCAGGGGGAATCAGAACATGAGAGTACTCATGCAATCTCCGTTCCGATACGGACAATTACCGGAGGCCGCGAACAGCAAACGCTTTGCGAAACAATCGAACGAAGTGGCTACGAACTGAGCCATGTATTTATAAATACACAGGAACATGGATCAGCACGCTGTGATCGTGTTGGAATACGAGCTCTAAAGTGCTATCGCAACGACTGTTGTGCTATCGTCATCAGCGAATACTCAATGCCCCAATTGCAAGGAAAACGTAATGCAAAAAGTGTAGTACAGTAAAAGTAAGGATGATGCATTTGTCTGCGAGGTGTCTATATGCTTGTGGTGAGCCTAGGAGAGGTAAGGGTCAGGGTCAGGGTCATGAATCTTGAGAACAGAAGGCGTGAGATGGAAGACGCACCAGTCATAACGTATAAGTTCATCTGCATCCACGAAAGCCGCTGACGCCCACTCGCGCGCCTCTAGCCATACCCACAACTGTCAAGAAAAGATAGGTTTGCGCCCCATCAGCTTCGCTAGAAACGATTAACAGAAAAAGTAGTGAAGAAGCGGACCTTGATCATTGCGCCCAGGTTCCCCGACGGTAACTCGCTCATACCCTCCTGCACGGTCATCTTCTTCCCTAACTGCCTCAAGATAGGCAACGCACTCTTGAACAAGTCCAACCCAGGATCCAACTGCCTGCCAATGCCCTCTAATAATAGTATCGAAATCACGGTATTGATGAAGTCTCCCTCCATCTTCACGTGATGCTGCCTTACGGCCTTCAACACCTCCGTCAAGATATCTGATATCTTGATCTGGCCAAGCGAGAACGTCTTGCGCTTGACACTGAGCATAATGTGTTGCATCCGGAGCGCAAATGTTTCCGTGTCTATTGCAAGTTCGGGAGAGCGACATCGCTCGACCATAAGCTGACCGGTACGGTAACCGTCAAATTCGGCGACAGCGCGGAATAGGTCGAGGAAGTTTTGCCGGTTTTTCGAGTCGAGTGTGGTGATTAGGCCGGCGTCGATAAAGACGAGTTCGGGGAAGTAGCCTTGTGTGTGAAGGTCGTGGAGTTCCGCTCGCCATTCTTCTGGTGAAGAGGTGAGTGCTGAAAGGCGTTCGACGATGGCATCAGAATCTGGGCTGGTTGCGTGGTCCAACGCGGTGACAGATTGTTTGTCGCCGTTGAGTAGGGACGCCCAGAGGGTTTTGAGAAGAGCCGAAGTGCTAGGCTTTGTGAATTTGACCATGATGTTTCCGGGATGGAGGTCGGAGTGGACAAAGTTGTCCAACAACAGCATATTCTAGAAATCAAAAGTTAAAGCCTAATGCACCATGCTGCCTGGTCGAATGACATACTAAGAAAGCATCTAAACCGAGTTCTGCAAGCTGGTCATCGTACGGTCCACCTCCATTCTTCAGGAACGCTTCAAGGGGAAGTGCGTTCTGATATTCCTCCACAAGCAAGTCCTGGGTAGAGAACGTCCTTAAAGGTCGAGGGAACGTTATCGGTTCCTTGCGCGTCATGAAGTTGGTCTCGAACATCACAAGGTTATTCGCCTCGTGTCGGAGGTCGAGTTGCTCATACATCATCCGCCCAAACACCTCCACTTCCTCTGGAAGCGATATCCATTCCATCCCAGGGATAAGCGTAATCATATGAGCGAATAGCTTCATAATGGTAAGGTCTCGTGCGATGGTTTTGGCGACCCGTGGGTGAAGAACCTTGATAGCTACGGCGGCGGTAGGAACAGAAGGTATAGAATCTGGTAGGATGTGAGGAGCTATTGCGCCTGGGCCAGACCTGGGAGCGCGCTTTGGGTCGAAGTACGATGGAGGAAGTAGGTCTTGCTTCAATGTGGCGCGGTATACCTGGGAAGTAATCCTAGAGTTTGAGAAGAGTCGTAGATAGAGCGTCCGCTAGTATAACCTACCTGAGCGATTGCACCTGTGCCGATGGGTTCGTCGTCGAACTCCTCGAAAACATCTTCAAACCGTTTCGCAAAGACGCGTTCGATCACTTTCCTGGTATGCGAAAGAGGATGCGGCCTTCCACGGGAGTGCATCTTGCCCAACTTCTCGCAGAGCAATGAAGGGAATAGGTCCGCACGAGATGCTGCCCATTGCGCCAACTACGGCAATTAGTATTCAGGAAGCAAGAGGTGAGAATGGTACGAACACACCTTTATGAATGTGGGCCCAGCATACTCCATCTGAGCGACCAAGAAACCATACCACCAGACAGCTCCCCATCTATCTCCCTGCAACCTGCGTTCCGGCACTCCTACTAGCAGCATTGGCGCCGAGAGAATCACCGGCATAAATAGGCAGAATAAGTGAACGAAGCGTTTGGCTGTAAGGATAGGTTCCCAGATATTATCGCGGAGGATTGATAGTATACGGTTAAGAAGAGTAGAGTCGGGCTCGGCGGGGGAGATAATGAAAGGTTCTCTTCGACATTTTTTGGAGCAGGGGATGATTGTCGGTGAAGCAAACAGATTTGGGCTCAGAGGAGATTGTGGTTTGGGGAGGAGATACAGACCGACACCGCCTGCTAATGGAACGAGCCATAATGCGACAGAGCGGTATGGTATTCGGAGAGGTGGTGGGGCTCTGGTGAAAAAGGATCCGAAGGGATGTCCATGAGCCCAACGAGCAGCGTGCCGCGCAGAGAAGGAACGCGATGGGGCCGCGGGCAGAAGAGTAAGACGGAGGGACCGAGGAAGTGCATTGGTCCTGAACATCTTAGACAGCTAGCTCGTCGTAGTGAGCATCGTTAACGGCCAAGTCGTCCTCGAGCTTGTATGCAATCAAGTCTTGCTCGAGGCCGGCTCCAACATTCCACATCTGCCCGGAAGTCTGCGGGAAGTCCATAAGCGCCCGCGTCATCGGAAATTTATATAGAGCGGATCGGGCAGAACATCACTTGAACAAGTTTCACTAGGGTATCTTCACACATCCCGAAGGCGTCCACAGCGGTCCACGACCGGCAACTAGGTGCACTGTAGCGACCGTGCAATGGGCCAACAAATGGATTTCCGTTCAAAATCCCATACAGTCAAAGGACACGTATGTTGAAGACGCCTCCGCTTGTTACGCGTCGAGGATCCGCGGCCGGCACCAGTCGTGGAAGTATGGTTTCCCGTCCTGTCAACCGCTCCCTACGTGGACCCGAATTTCCCAGCGTTTTTTTTCGCCTATAAAACGCCGCAGGAAGCAATCATCTAAACTCACAAACTTCTCTCGTCCTCGTCGTCTTCTTCACCTGCCTTTTATCAGCATGTCCACCATCACCGTCCCACAAGGCTTCGGCTACGTCCCACCTGCCGCCTTGTTCCTTCTCGGCGTTCTAGTCTGGCAAACATCTAGAGTGGGCAGATCGAGGGGAAAGGCTGGGATTAAATATCCCCAAGGTCAGTTTCAATAGTTCTCGCCTTTCGTTGCCTGCTAACGTATCTGGGATAGTCTATGCCGATGCTGCTCAGCAGGCTGCTTCCAAGGAAGCTATGGTATTCAACTGTGCTCAAAGTCTGTGTTCGAAAGTCCTTCCTCTATCCGTTGACTCTGACCTCTGACTGAAGGAGCACACCAAAATACATTGGAGGCTCTCCCTATCGTCTTGACAACCACAGCAATCACCGCTCTTCAGTACCCTATCGTCGCAGCGGGTGGATTAGGTGTTTGGGCCTTCAGCCGTATCTTCTACACTCTTGGATACATGACTGGCCAGCCAGAAAAGGTGTGTAGATATCGCGTCTTCATTGATGAACTGTGTCGTTGACGCGGTACTCTCCTTCCAGCGCCGTCGCGGATTCTTCGGCTACTTCGGCATGTTTGGTACGCCAGAACCCCTCCAGTTCCTCCCCGTTGTACCGAATAACTCCTACTCACTCATCTTGTCTCCGTTTCAGCTCTCCTTGGGGGCTCTGTCGCAACCTCCTACAACCTGATCACCGCAGGCATCTAAGTGTCGAGTCTCATACTCTTGGGAGTGTGATTTTCTGTGCGGTCTGCTGGACATCATACTTGTTTGGTAATTTCTATAATGCATCTCTGTTTTTCCTGTCCGATGCTGTTCACAAACGCCGAAGCCTTCTTGTCTCCACTCAAAATGATTCAATGGCTGGTTATACGCGCTCTGTATGGCGCTTCCAGCGGATTTCGCTGCCGATCCAAAGAAAAATCATAACGATCGTCTCTTTTAAGGTTGCAATGGACCTTCAGAAGCTTCCTTAGCGCTCTGGGTGCTTGAGAGAATGGACATTCCTAACCACTCCTTATCAAACCTTTGTCCGCGAGGTTCCCCCTCGCCTGGCCGTCTCAGCTTCCATCGCACACCCTTCATAACAGCCACTGTTATATTTATTCGCCTTCGTGTTCTCCGCACCAACTCCGTCATTTCCACCCGTGGTCCTACAACAGAAAAACACACTCCAAATCAAGCCGGCCGTCGTGGTCCTGACGTCGCATGCCTCCATGTTGTCCTGTGTTGTCCAAGGCCTCATTTGATGCAGTATAAATATCAAGCAGCTCGAAGGTGAAGCACCTCGCGGTCGTGCTCGCAGTCTCCTCCTTGTTTGTGCCTCACCTAAACCTGACTATCGACATGTCTACGTCTACTATCGTCGTTCCGAATGGCTTTGCCTGGGTTGCTGCTTCTCTCCTCTCGACTACCGCTCTTCTCATCTGGCAATCTCAAATGGTGGCAAGATGGAGGGCTATAGCAGAGATCAAATTTCTTCAGAGTGTGTATACGGAGTCCAGAGAGCGCGAGCTAGGTTGCTAAACGCTTACTGTTGTCCTCATCAGCGTATGCGGATGCTGCCGCTCAGTCGAAGTCCAAGGATGCCTTGATATTCAACTGTACTCAGAGTGAGTAGACCTGCGATTATTATGATGTCGACCCATTATTTATCGGCCGCGTCGGGATCGATGCAAAGGAGCACACCAGAATACTCTGGAGTGCATCCCGATCATATACACATTGCACGTATCCTTTTCTCTCGTTCACTTTGACGAATGCGCTTGAATGAACGCTCTACAGGACTCTCTTGAGCTCTTTGAAGTACCCACATTGCGCGGCAGCAGGCTGTGGCCTTTGGTGTCTTGGTCGCGTCTACAACACTATTGGTTACATGTCAGGCAAACCTGCGAAGGTATTTATTTCTGAACAATTTATTGAAGAAACGCAGGCTTACGCGTGTTCCGCGCCCGTTTATTTAGCGCCACAACGGGGCCTTTGGCAAAATGGGCTTGTTATGTACGTGATATCTAAGAAGATTAGAACTCCTTCCTTGGTTCTTTTCATTCAACGCCCAACAGGTACTTTTCTAGGAGCACTCAAAGTTGTCTACGACATGTTCGTGGAACATGTATAAGCGCCGCGCATACGTACCGAGCATCCTGCTTGAAGTTCTTTTCTGATGGAGGGTCGAAACACGACCGAGGGCCTGTAATAGTATTATCCTCTGTTCGTCGGTCAATTCCCTGACGTTTGTATGGAACTATGCTATTAGTATGCCGTTGACTTGTTGGCGTTTGCGATGTGGCGTCAATCGGGCGAACCGCCACAAAGATGCTTGCCTGGCGTTATCCGTGCCTCTCCGCCCCTGCGCTTTGAAGAACGCGTTATAATTAGAGTTTATTTCGAAATGGAAGCCGCAGCAGCATCATCATCCTTTTGTCATTGCCAAGTTCGCGTAGATTTTGAAGCGAAATGCCAGAAGTGTGCAAGGAGGCCACCGTGAAGGGATTTCGGTCGAAATTGATACGGGAAAGCTTGCTGCTTGGATCCGGGGAACAGATGACGACGGTGTGGGGATGTTGATGATCACTGAGGAAGAACATTGAAGAAACTTGGGGAAGACAACAGACGATGCGGGGGAGATACGCGCTTACGTCAGGTCCGAAAGGAAGCGTCCCGGATTTGGACGCTTCGAAGCGTTTTCACCGCCTTCTCCTCCTCAGTCCTCTTTTCTCTTCTCCTTCGTCGTCCGTCGCGCTCAGCGCACCCTCTCGCGTGGGCTTCTTGTCCATGGCCTCTCCTTATGCCTTTGTTACTCTTCTGACGTCCGACTCGTATCTCCCCGGCGCACTCACTCTCGCGGCTGCTTTGAAGGACGTACATCCGTCTCCACCTTCTTCCCCAGAGGTTGCCTTTCAGACTGTTTGCTTGGTCACGCCGGAGACGCTTGACGTCGCAAGTGTAAAGCTCTTGAGAAGGGCGTACGATCTGGTGGTTGGGGTGGAGATTATTGAGGAAGATAATGCGCGGGGGTTACAATTGTTAGGTACGTCGGCTCGCAACCTCGTTTCGAAGGTAGTTTGGCGAATGGAGTACTGGTCGCCAGACGTACCTCTGGTCTCCAGACTTAGAGTCTGAGATCTGCCTAAGTCCTGAAACTTACAGTTAGAACGCACAAAAGTTGCACACCACACTTCCCATCGAATGCTCTCCCGTGCTTTGTCTCTAAAGCTTGTTCCTGACCATATCTTGCTCTCTCTTTTCTGATACAGGCCGCCCGGATCTCCATTCCGTTCTCACAAAGTTACACGTATTCCGCCTCACTCAATTCGGCAAGATCATATTCCTCGACGCAGACATTCTGCCGACTCGCCCGCTCTCTCATCTTTTCACTTTGCCACATGAGTTCTCTGCTGTTCCGGATGTTGGTTGGCCAGATATCTTCAACTCTGGACTGATGGTGTTGTCTCCCGGGGAAGATAAATTCAATGCGCTCATGGATATATCGAGGTCCAAGGGAAGCTGGGATGGAGGCGACCAGGGACTCCTGAACGAGTGGCGAGGGGATGATTGGAACAGATTAAGCTTCACGTATAACACAACACCTACCGCCGCATACACGTAAGTTTTCACCCATCGACTCAACGAGACCGCGAACCCAGTCACACGCTAAAATTTACCTCCTTCTCGAAGTTACGCCCCTGCATATACCCGTTTTGGCTCGAAGATATCCGCTATTCATTTTATTGGCTCCAATAAGCCCTGGAATTCTATTCCCTGGCGCGCGCCCGGTAGCACGAATACGCAACAAAACACCTCTGAGCCTCTCCAGGCTTACGATTATGGATCCCTTGTTGATCGTTGGTACGCCGTCTACGACAAGTATTACCGTTCGACGCCCGCCACCGTCCCCGCCCTACTTTCGGAATATGCCTCTAGCCGCTATGAATCCGCTTGGGACCAACCTGCTAGCCTTGGTGCCGAGGCATTGCCTTCTCCGACAGCCACAACACCCGGTCCTGCAACATTAGGTCTCGAAGCCTTACGGAAAATCGCCATTGAGGGTTTCAGCAATCCGGTCGGTGTGGAACAACCGATGCCGGGCGAAGGCGCGTACATTCGCATGCCGCTCGAAGGCCGAATCGATCTCATGCGGCGACGTCGAGAGCCGCAAAATGCCTCAGAGCACCATGGGTCTTCTGTGAAGGGATCCGGTGAGTCTTCGAGCGCAGGCTCGCAGCATTTTGAGGGTGGGCAGGATCAATCTACCCCAAGGTCGTCCGCACCGCCTTTGGGAGGACAGCCACCGACACCAGGACCAGATGATGTACCACCCGCCCCTCAGCATCATCCACTCGTTCTGCCTCGCTCGGACTCGTTCGATCCTGCCCAGTATCATGAACAACACCATCCATCCCAAGCCCCTGGTAACAGTCACACATCTACACCACCCTCCGGACCTCGACGCGGTATTCCCCCGCGTTCTGCATCACCTCCAATGATGTCTTGGAACGCCGCGATTGAGCCTCCTCCGAATACAACACCCACTTCCAACTTCCCTAAGGATACCTATTTTCCAAACGTGTGGGATAATTCGGATAACACGAGCCCCAGTCCAGGTCGTAATGACGAGCAGCCATCACCACCATCTTCCAGCGTTCTCTTCGCTCCCCCGGCCCCAACCCATATTCCCGAACGCTTGATTAGAGAGGGGCATTACACGAACGTTTTTGGTGGCAAGGCCGAAGCGGCTCCTATGCCTGATCCCGCGAAGGTCAAGAGCATATTTCCATGGGAGGAGAAGCCGCGTCAGATGCCCGCCAGAGTCTTCCCCGCGAGCGACGCCCCGCCTCCGGGCCTCTTCGTAGCACCTCCCAGTGCCTCCCCATCTCCATCCTCCAGCTCCCAGACTTTGCCTTCACCGCCTCAACGGCAACAACATGCTTTGATCTCACCGCCTGTGGGATTGCAGACGGGTATCGTATTCAAGAACGCGTGGGACACGGTTCCCAGTATTCAGAAGTACGCTTCGAAGCTCGTTCGCTCACCTCACAATGGGACCCTCGCGCCTGCGTTCGACCTTGCAGAATCTCGGAAGAACGAAGATCGCTTGTTCAACACTTTGCAGGATTCGGACGACCCCAGCATGGACGGCGATGACGAAGACACCAGTGACGAAAGCGACCTTGAGAACGAACACAGAGACGAATCCGGAAGGCGTCGTACCAAGTCCACTTCAAGCTCTCATTCACGCGGAGCTAGAAGCAAGAGAAAGGAATATTCTTCGACGAGTGTGCAGACGACCCCGAAGGAGACCAGAGACCAAGGTGTTCAGGTTAATCTCCTCCCTTTGCCCACCGACGCTGACCGCATCGGAAAAGACAAGGACCTACGATCTCCGGAATCGAAACCTCGCAGCAGCGGCTCGACGACCCCGAACGAGCATACGGCCAGGCGCGAGTGGCCCCGGGTCAGGACGTCAAGCAATTCCTCGTTCGGTGGTTCCACGGCTTTCTCTCCCAGCCAGTTAAGCGCTGAGACATTGTCACCTCTGGGATCCCCCACAGTAGGGCTGCGTAGCCCGCGGATGTTCCCCTCTCCTCGCGGTACCACACTCAGTCTCGGTGGCGTGCCTGAGACTTCGCGGCAGCCTTCCACAATCCGCCCGAGCGCGGCTGCACGGCGGTTCTCGAGCGATACGACTTCGTTGTCGTCTCCGGCTAGCACCGCGCCTCCTGGTTCTCCTCCGGATGGGCATTCGATTGGTCCTGGCTTCATGACTACCCCGGTCAAGAAGCCTGCGGGTCGCGTATGGGACCCCGCTCGCGGTGTTGATGTATTCAAGAAGGGTTCGGAGGAGGTCTTGGCCAGGTTTTTGAGGGGAGGTAACCCGACTTGAGCGGCTTGGGCTCGTCGCTGTAACATGAAGGCTCAGGCAGCGATATATGGACTATGGAGTATAAATACCCCCATCTCTTTCTTTGAAGTTTCCTGTTCCGCCTTATTTTGTTTCGGTTTGACGCATAACATTCATTCACCGGTATTCATGATTTAGCCCTGCCACACGCCAAGTTTCCTTGCCCGTTGCCATTATTTCCTTTGCACTCGCGTTATTGTTCATATGCATGTCGCTGATTATTGCACTCCTCTCTTTCGTCGTTTTCGATTTTCTTTGCCCACGTTCCTCTTTTTTGTTGCCGCTCTGTACATATGCAAGTCCCCCCTTCCTTCTCGTCATGATCATCGTAGATCTTCACTCTCTCTCCGACAATGTCATTACTTCTCTCTCTCTCTCTCTCTCTGGATTTCTCTTAGCCGCAGTCTGTGTGGCTCTGTTCGTCTACCTTCCTCTCATACCTCTCATATCTTCCATACTACCTCTCGTACGTACCCTTGTCTACCGGAAGCGTGCTGCTGCCCTATACACGAGCATTATAGTTCATTTGTCTCTGTATCGAGAACGACGCCACTCTCCACCAGGATTCTGAGTAGAGTATTGAGCGCCAATCCTTATCTAATCTTGAAATGGCCTGTCACAGTCGCGTCTCGTCACGATCGTGTTCCTTTTGTCACGATCACCCTCGATCACCGAACGCGTTTGAGGCTGGTGTATTTTTCTCCTCCCAACCACATCGAGTGAATGTACGCCCACTGATTCCAACCTCTCGAGCAATCGTAATTCATTAGCTACCAAGGCTCCCTCAGCTCTAATTGAGTAAGATGGCTCCCCGCTTGACCATGAGATATGCGAACTCACCATTTTGTCGTATCAATCTAATCCGACAGGTATGCTCACTCCAGGCTTCACTGCCCATGCACTTATAGACGCACGCAAGAAAGTCGAGAACGACATCGCTCAAATCTCTCAATCTATATATGCCCTGAAAACCCAGCGCAACCTCCTCTGCGCCATAAATTCCCTCCCTCCCGAAGTCCTCGCGCACGTATTCTCCTTCGTCGTCCGAAGGGAAGTTCGGTGTAATCGTAAACTCGGATGGATCAAACCCGTGGCCCACGTCTGTCAGCGCTGGCGAGAAATTGCATTCAGTTGTCCTAGGCTTTGGGGTACGATTGACTATTCGTCTGTCGAGCGCACGGAGATGATGCTCTCACTTGCGAAAAATACGCCCTTGACGGTCTTTTCGCTGGCCTACGAGACTATTCGGGAGGACGTAGACTTCCCGGGCCTGACGCTCCTTCTGAGTCCTGCCAATATATTGAAAATAGAAAAACTCAGGCTGTTCGCGTCTGTCAATATATTGCAGAAACTCGCGAAGCTATTACAAGGGTGCCCTGCACCGATGCTCAAGCGGCTCCTGTTGACCAATAATTCATCCTGTACTACTGTGAGGCTGCCGGATGCGCTGTTCAGAGGAGAGATGTCGAGATTGGAATACGTGCACTTCACTGGGTGTCGTCCTTTGCGGTGGAGCCTTCTTCCGATGTTGAGGAACGTCACCTATTTTTGGGCTGTTCATGCTCGCGGAAGGCGAGCGGCCTAAAATGCAGGATTGGCTTGGTCAGTGATTCAATAGCGCTTACTACTAGCTCAACTGAAACCCTTTCCGACTTTTACGACATAGCTAACCCTTACTTCCTCAGAACTACTGAAGAGCTTGCCGAACGTTGTATACTTGCGAGTAGTCCAAGCAATACCCCTTTATCCTGTTGATAACCAATCTGCGGAAAATGCACCGACCGTCGCGCCAAATGCAGTCCTCCTTCCCAACCTCAAAATCCTCGACATTGATGCCAGTGACTCCTATTTTAACAACGTTCAAGGCCTCGCCTACACCCTCTCGCGCATGATCATGCCCTCCCTCTCGCATTTTGAAGTCGTCTGTGGCCACGAGGAAATCGAAAACGGGCCCGCTTTCTCACTGGGCCCGCTCTGTCCTCTCATCACCCTCAATTGTTCGCCTAAATCACAGGTCTTGGACTCTGATTCGGACCGAGAAAAATCCATGGAAATTTCGGAACCTCTCCGTAGCATCGTTATCGAACAAAACTGGATCAACCATTGCTTTCACATCATAGCCGGATGGACGGATCCCGACACAGCCGCCCTCTTCCGCCACAAGAACATCCACAATCTCACCACCACGCGCGCCAAAGAAAGTGCTAGGGTGATCTTCAGCTTCGGAGACGAAGTGTGGGGGCTTTCGAAGGAGAACACAGTGAAGGAGAATGTGGAGGAGGTTCTGGGTGCGTTGCCCCTCGGGCACGTCCAGACTCTCACCGTCGACACGGCGATTGGCATGCTTGACGATGTGAGGTGGTGGACAAGCGTTCATGGCATGTTTCCTCAACTTCAAACCCTGTATTTATCAGGGCGAGGGACCGCCGACATGTTCCTGTCCGCATTCATCAACATCGACCAGGTACCCGATGCTGTTTCGCCCAACGGGAACATCGATCATACCTTGGCCTGGCTGGCCAAACACGCTCTGGATCCCGACATCGCACCTACGAACGCATCCAATAACACTGCACAGGAGAAACGAGAGGACGAAAAGCAACACCCCATCACATTCACCCCGGACAACATCATCTTCCCCCAATTGCGGTCCCTGTACATTACCTTTACTGCACTCCCGTCGCTCTCCTATCTTCTCGACGGCTTCGTCGACGCACTCGCGGCTCGACGAGAGCTCGGGGCTCCGATTGAGAAGTTAGAATTCGAGGGAAACTCGGGGTCGGTGTTGCGGCGATATATTACTCGCTTGCGCGAGATCGTGCCCGTTATTGTCGTCAATGGAGTATCGTACGATGGCAAGGGTTCGCTTGATGGCGACGATGATGCGACTATGGACGTCGAGGTTGACACCGATGATGAGAAGAGCGGCGGCGAAGAGGACGCGGACGACGACACGGAAGGAGATTCAGAGCAGTACAGCCAGGATTCGAGCTCGGAAGACGACTCTTCGGAGGACTCAGCCCGCAGTGGTATTCATGATCCAGGGGGAAGTCTTAGCATGATGGAAGCAAGAGAGGTAGATCCGTATGAGAGTGGGGACAGTGATTTTGAATGGCCCGGGATTCGATGATCCAGATCATGAGTGTTTTGATTTGGGGAGCGGCCACCTTGCTTCGGGGTAGCATGTCAGAACTGCGATAGTTCGTTTATCATCATCGTGTTACAAGTTCCCAAAAAATACCTCTCAATGGGATATGGACGTGCAACATCGTACAAATCAAAGGCTAGGTCTGCGAGACTTGAACAATATCGCGCAGAGCCCGTTTTCACCCATAATATCACTGCTGATTGGCCGTAATTTTGAATATAAAACAAAGTATGCCCGCCGTCGAAAACGGGAACATTTTTGGTAACAAGGTTGAAGCCTTGTTGTGTTTGACACGTTGAATTTATACGCCCTATCTTCAACACCAAGGTCTGCCTGTGGGAGACTATGTTGTGTCGAACCATCCCCTCCTCTAACTTAGGTCTGTTCCGGTCCAGTCCAGTGAAAATGCTAGTGCTGTGTATATAATTTCCATTGCATAATCCTGAATCGGGGGTGCTAGAGCGTGCGAGAGAAACAAAAAAAAATCAAAAACTCAAAAACTCAAAAAAAAAAAAACAAAGGTGGAAACGTCAAAAGAAAAAAAGAAAAAGAAAAAAGAAACCATCCCATGAAGACTGAAACCGAAATTGAAAGCCGTCAGGTTGAAAAGGGGCCATAAGGGTAAGTGATAAGTGATAAGTAGTCGGCATCAGCATCAAACGAAAACAAAAACAAAAAGAGGAACGTGCAGGAGAAGAGGAAGAGGAAGAGGAAAAGACGTGTCGAAGAACCAAGATGCAATACTAATTGTCCGGATGCACAGGTGTACTATGTTGGAATAAATGAATAAACGAATAAATGAATAGTGAATGATGGGCAGAGCGAGTAAGTAACGATTCAGATTCAACGTTAAAAACGGGAATAAAAAGGGAATAGAAAAATGGGATAGGTATGTGTGTGTAGTAGGAGGTATGAGAGTAGTAAAGCGTGCAGGTATGAGGACGAGGGAGGGAGGAGGGAGAGAACCATAGAGATTTCGCCAATGCAACTAGCCATAGCCAAATACTACTACGAACAAGATACTAACAGCAGCGCCTTCATCTGCAGTGGTATGTGTATGTATGTAACGGTGGTATTGTCGACGACGATGGGTGGTATGTGTATGTAGTAATATGTATGTTCAGGCGTAGGATGTACGGAGCTAACTTACTTACTACAGGATATTTGCTAGCGTTTAGCAGAGAGAGAGAGGGAGAGAGCTATTATAGAACCGAAAGCTTTGTAACTAAGTACAATCTCCGTGCAGACTTGAAGCATTGAAGCAAAAGGGGGGGAAATGGCACCGGGTACGGCGGATGGGAGAGGGACCAAAAGAGACAACAGATAATGAATAACATAAGAGGCAAGGCAAGAGCGCCGCGAACCAAAGCAGCAAACAAACTACAAAAAAAAACACAGACGAAAACGTATCAACGAATGAACGTGTGGACGAAGTGCATGGAAGGTAACGGGTAACGGGACACGAGAAGGAAGAGGAGGACTGAACGGGGTGTGTGTGTTATGTTATATAAAAAATGAACGTGAATATATACGCGTACCAGAGCGTGCAACCAGTCCAATCACCTCACCTCACCTCACCACATCTCGTCTCACCCCAAAAAAAAGAAGAGAAAGTCTACTCCGCTCGCTCCTGTCCGAATCCACCCTAGAGTGTAGTGTCTATCAAGACCAACCCAAAGGCCTACCCTAGAACCGATGTGGCCCAACTCCGACCTCCTCTCCCTCCTCGCTGCTCCTCGACATATCGAGCGACGCCTTCCCCATATCCAAGAAACTATCGTCCGCCGGCGGAAACTCCATCTTCTCCCCCTCATCCGCAATCTCCAAAAACGACGGCTTCTTCATCATCGACCGTCGCGCGACGATCTGCTCCTTATCCAACGCTCTTAGACTCCTCGACGCCTTGCGCGCAGGAGGAGGTGAAAGCGGCAGCATAGGCATGATGCTCGTCCGCTGTTCGGTTCGGTCAGCCGTCAATGGTCGTCGCGGCCGTGGAGGTGGTGGGAGCCCGAACGAAGTTGTCGATGGCTCGGGGAGGAATGACTCTTGCGAGGAAACGGAATAGTCTTGAGCGGTCCGTGGACGGCCGTGCGACGATGAAACGTTCACGCCCAATACCTTCGAGATCGCCCTGTGGCGCGGAGACCCGTCACTGTTGAGCCCTGACTGCTGTAGTCTATTATGCTGCGAAAGACCAGCCGACGAGTGAGGATGGTGGCTCGACGTTGGTGGTGTCGATGGCATGCCCGACTCGTGCGACGACTGTTCCGAAAACGCATTAGACATCGACGTCGAAATCGACGTGAACGACGTCCCTCTCGACCTCACAAACCCAACATCACTCTTCCCCTCCTGCACTAACGCCTCCAACCTCAACATATCCGCTGGACTCATAATCCGCTGCGGCACATAATCGTTCGCACCACCACCGCCCCCACCACCATGCCCATTCCCAACCGAACTCGAACCGGGACCGTCGTCCCACATCGAAGACCCCGAGTCCGCGGTCCCGAACGGATTAGTGTACCGATTCGGAAGCGAGTCCGGCTCGTTCGGTAAGCTGAAAACGGACTGCATATCGTCGTCCGTCGTCGAATGGGCATGCGAGGACGTCGAACGTCGGATACTACTCCCGGAGAACAGCCGCCGTCGACCGCTGCCCGGCGTCGGAGGCGCATGCGATTGCGATTGTGACGACTGCATGCTGTCTCGGTGATAATCCCCAGCCCCCGGGAACGGCTCGTCCGACGGCGGAGACGATACAGATACAGCGCCGTACGAATGATTGTGCCGCAACTGCGTCGGGACGGCCGGTACGGGGGCGCGACTCGCACTGTGGAACGACCGCTGCTTCTTGATAAATTTAACGTCTTCGACCGTCGTCGAAGAGGAAGACGCGATGCTGAGCACGGAGGGCCGTTTCGAGAGCGTTTGCTGGGAGATGGCTTTCTTTAGCGACTTTGGGGGGCTCAGTTCGGAGCGGAAGATGGACGAGGCGGAGGAGGTGATTGAGTCTCGTCCACCGATTACTGAACTACCGGCACTCGAGTCGCGTCCGTGGGATGGATATCTAGGATTGATAGGCGGCCTGGATGGCGGCCTGAAACTCTTGATAGATTGGGGCGCAGAGATTGAACCGGACGGGGAATACGGGTCATGATGCCCATGGTGGTGTGATCTACTACTACTACTACTAGGAGATGGCCGAGGAGGAAGTGGGGCAGTTGGAGGGGGAGGGGCTTGCATCTTCGTCAGAGAGGCTTGCCGTACCACAACACGAGGGTTCGAGTCCATGGTCGGGCCAGGGACGTAACTCGAAGGAGACAGAGAGGTCTCTGAAGTTGAAGACATGCCTCTTCTCGAGGGGCCGGCATCATTCACGGTCAGACCCCTGGGTCGTCGGGGCACAGGAGGAATGGGTGAGACATAGATTTGACCTTTATCCGTGAGGGTGGTGGAGGAAAGTGAACTGGGAAGGTTGGATTTAGAGCCTCCCCAGCCGTGATGGAGGGTTCCGGTTGGTGAGGTCGGAGACTCGGCCAGGAAAGCGGGTTCGCGCCTCGGCGATTTGTCGCTTTGTACAGTCATACTATTCAAGCGGGTGAGTGAAACTGGGAACACAAGGGGTTAGAGTAAAAAATATAGCGCCTACCGAGACGCTCGCCATCCTGGTTGGACGGGGAGGAGTGAAGAGGAGGAAGGACGGGCATGAGAGTCAGACTGTTGGGACTGGGAAGATGACGATGCAAAAGATATCCTGTGTGCGGAAAGAGCGTCGCCCTTTCCGCGAATGTCATGGTCTGGTACATCAGTATCTGAGAGGACGGAAAGGCGTGTGGGGTCACGGATAGAGGGAGGGACGACGATTTCGCGAGCGGCGAAGGGGTCGTCTGAGATAGTCATAACGGAGCGGGCATAGGAGGGTTTCGAGTCGAAAGGGGTGAGAGGTTCGAGCATGTCGTCCCAGTGCTGGCCATTGGAGTAGCCTGGACCTGACTGGGGAGAATTCGGCAGGGGTGGGGGATCTCCGATGTCTGTGTGTAGGGGCAGGACTGGCGAGGGCGGGTCCTGTATGGCAATGGAGGGTCTCTTTGGTTTGAGGCCGATAGCGGAGGCGAATATGTTGCGCTTTTTGGAGATGGAATGCGGCTTATCGCTAGAATAGGAAAGATGAGGGAAGTGCTGGCGGTTGAGGAAGAGAAGTACGGACGTCGTTGGGCTCTTTCCTGGGAGAGACGAGGAGGGCGCCGATGGCGACTGGCCAGAGCGAGACCACCAAGAACGGTTTGAGGAAGAGGCAGACATTCAAGCGGCCTTGGGCGATGGGGAAACAGAGAGCTGGCAAAGGAGCGGGAGGGTCGGGACGGAATGAGAGTGGGCGGTGAGGCAGAAGCTATCGGCTCGCGCTGGGCGACGGTGTGCGCTGGGACATGGACGTCGCCGTCGACGGCGCGGAGGAGATTGGCGCAGTCGACGTTGCGGATGGGCAGAGTGCGTTGGAGAAGAGAGAGAGACGGTCGGAAAAGAAGAGAGCAGGGCCAGCCAATATCTTACGTACGCCTCCCTCGTATTATAACTCCGTTCGATATCGTTCCTCTCGGTCTTCCCTCCATTTGCTTTCGTCGGCATCTGTATCCTCCTCGTATTTACGCTCACGCTCATCTGCGAGCTCTCTCTGCACCACTTTCATTTTCTAACATACTTCATCTCGTTCGGCGTTAGCGACCGCCATCTGCTCCCGAGCTCAAAACGAATATCGTACCGCCTCTCCATCCCATCTGTTTCGTCTATTTATTCATTTCACAGCGGATCACGCCTCACAGCTGCGAACACCGTAGCCGTCTGATACACGACACCGCCGCCCTGCCCCATCTCGAGCTCGACGCCCGCCACGTCTGACGCTAGACCCCGCCATCATGAGATTCTGATATTCGACCTGAACCGGTCACACAAGCTCAAGCTCCAGCCCTCGCCGCCGCATCTTTGCCGCCGGGCGCCCGGTGCCGCTTCCTCCATCAATCGGCTTCGCCTAATCTCGATAACCATGACGACGGTCCCTTGTCCGCTCCCTTCTTCCATGCACAATTGCGCCTTTCCACAGACGCGAACCCAGGCTCTGCTGACTGCAGTGAACTTCGAACCCCTCAACACCACACCACCACCGATCTTTTCGAGAAAGTGGAGATGGCTAATCGGGAGAAGTTAAGAGAATGGGGGACTTTGCATTGAACAGGCACCGTGTGGCTCGGCGATAACGAACCAGGTTACGCCACACGTGCCCCCCAAGGCTTGCGTTAAGGTGTGGTTCACTTGATGGAATACGCCCAGGAGTGCCCAGGGAATGAATGATACTTCGCAGAACCGTTTCATTATACTCGACTGCCCTGGTGCCTAAAGCTTTTCCTTCGCAACCCGTTCTCATGCAACTCACGACGAACCTCCACTGCGCGAACGGATCGCAGCCCGGTGGGAGTGGGCGTTATTACATTTAATATACACAATACACGCAAATCGGAGATCTTCTCGTCCATATGAACTTCTCCGTTCTCCGCTCCGGGACGTCTCTCGAATGTCTTGTGTTCGGGTTTGTGATAGAAAATACATGAATTGTTTTAGTCGAGAGGAGACAGGGCCAGTGCACCGAGCAAGATGCACGTGGTCGAAATATAGTGAGAAGAACAGAAATCAACGGAGTGTTCGTAGTGTATCCAAAGGTAACTCAGAGACTGAGAGAGAAAAAATAGAGAAAGAGAAGTATTACACCCATCCATGCAAATCCTAGGCACTCATCACCCGCCAAATCAGTCCGTCTCCTCCGTATGGTATCCCGCCCTCCTCATCGCCCCAAGCCTATGCCTCGCCGCCCCGAGCTCCTTCTCCAACTTCAAAATCTCCACCTGCTGCTCCATCTCCCTCTTCTTAAACTCCAAGCTCGCCATATTCTTATAATCCTCCTCGCCCTCGTCCATCTGCTTCGCCGAGATCGCCCTGACCTGCCTCACGAGCGCCTTACACGCCTCCGTCACCGCCTTCGCCGCCAACTCCAGCCTCTCCTGCGTCTTCGACATCAAATTCGCCTTCACCCTCGACGCAGCGACGAGCTGCGCCGTGCTCGCCGCGACCTCGTTCGACGCCACGATGAGCTGCTCGAGCGAATGCGTCCCGGACAACACACCATCCGCACTCTCAATAAGCAACCCCGTAGCGAACGCGACCGACCGTGCCGCAGAAATCAAACCCTCCGTCCACCGATTGTTCCGCTTGTAGAACTGCTGCGTCGTGCTCGACCCTTTACCCTGCGCGACGATCTCCTGCTGGCTCTCCGTCGCGGCCTGGATGAGCCGCCCGATAGCAGACGTGATGGCCATCGCGGCAGCGAGGATCGAGTCGTGCACCTGCAAGTCGACGGCACTGAATTTGCTCGAGTCGCGCGGGCGCGACATGAGCTCTTGTAGGCGTCGGGTGGCGGCTTCGATAGCCTGGGCAGCACCCAACATTTCCTGCTCAACGAGGTCACCGATGTCGCCATTCGCTTTCGCGAGCGCGTTCGATTTCGCGCCTTTGGGGATGATGGCGTCCACGGTTTCGGAGAGCTTGGTGAGCGCGGACCTGGTTTCGCCGTTATTGCGCATGGCGATGGTCACGCGCTGGGAACGGTCGACGAGGTCGAGTTTGTAGGATTGGAGGTTGAGGAAGAAACGCAGGCCAACGTCGCCGGCGGCTTTGGCGACGTTGATGAGTTTGTCGGAGGCGTCGTCGTCGTTTGCGAGACGGGTGATGCCTTTGACGTTGACGAGCGTGTCGGCGAGGGACTGGGCGAACTCGTTCGCACCTTTGATGACGTCGACGTGGTCGCCGCCGGGCTGGTTGTCGAGGTAGAGGTTGAAGACGGTGGCGAAGTCGGTCGAGTTCGAGAGCGCCTTTTCGATCATGGAAAGGGTGTACTCGGGCGTGGAGTTCTGGTTGCCGGTTTGACTTGGCGATTCGAGCTCGTAGATGGACTCGTCCACCTTCTGGACGCAGGCTTGGAGAATGGAGTCTATGCGTCAAGGTAAGCGTACTGAAGACAAGAGTAGTCTGTACTATTAAACATACCGATGATCTCGTTCAGCTTCTTGCGGTTGTCCAAGATCAAGGTGTCGATTTGGGCGTTGGTAGTCTCGTCGGCTATGCCTTGGTTCTAAAGGAAAGACGTAAGTAAGCAGAGTATCAAAGGACCTCGGAAAGCTATACATACCTGCTGAACCTCGGACAATTTCTGGATAGTACTGTCCATGCCCTCCTGGAGGATCATGATCTCCTGATCCTTCTCATCACGAAGCTTCTCAAGATCGTCAGAAGCAAGGTCCAACTTCTGCAGCAGATCGTCGATCTGAATTTGCTTGGCCTAACACGGAATAATACATCAGTACTCGCCACGCTAACAAGCGGGTAAAGAACGAGGAACCCACCCTGAGCGAATCTTCGAGCTCGGTCATCTGCCTGTTGTACTTCGACAACACACCAGACACCTCCGAGCTCTTCGACCGCGACGCATCCTCCGCCCGTTCGTTCGCGAAGTTAATTTCGCGACGGAGACGGTCCAACTCATCCTTATGAGACGCCTTCTGGCGGTCGACGTCGAACCGCGCACGGTCCCGTTCACGGATCATGTCTGCCAACTCGATATTCTTCGCCTTCAAGTCGCGCTCCATACGCTCCATGCGGTCGATGGCCTCCTGGGCAGAGTTGGCCTTGAGCTGATACTGCTTGAACTTGGAGAGCATGTCGAGATGTTCGGTACGGAGTTGGCTGTAGAGTTTGGCTAGGGCCTCGTATTTGTTGCGCCATAAGGTGACTTGATCCTGGAGTTGTTTGATCAGCTCGTCCTTGGAGGCTACCTGCGAGCCGACGTGCATGCCAACGGTCTGCAGTTCACCCTCAAGCGCTTTCACTCTCTGCTCAAGCGGTCAGCATGATACAAAGGCTCGAGAAGAAGCGAAACGAACGAACCCGGTCGTACTGCTCCAACAATAGCTGATCTCGCTCATACTGACCCCTCATGCCCAGTAACTCTCTCTCCAAATTCTGATAATGCTCCGCGGCCTGGTTATTCATCTGCATCATCTGTTGCTGCATAAGCTGCTCCTGGGCCAGCCTCTCCCTCTCCGCTTGCTCACGCTGCCTCTGCTCAAACTCGTGTTGCTGCTGCTGTTCCAATTCGAGACGACGACGTTCTTCGGCCTCCCGCGAGGCTTGCAACGCGGCCTGTTGTTGCTCGTATTCCTTGAGCATGCGAGCTTGTTCGCTGACGGCGGCTGCATCGGGGGAGGGAGCGACGGGGGGTGGTGTGGGCGCCTTTGTGGTCTGGGGGCGAGCAGGCAGATCTGGTGCGCTCCCCGCATCGGTGAGATTAGGCGGTTCCTATGTGTAACATCAATTTAGAAATGATATTCGTGTGTATAGTCGTGGATAACAGTTGACAATACTGACCTGCCCGAGCTTTGGAACGTTGATGAGACCGGTGAGATACTTGAGATTGGAACACTCGTAGTAAAACTTGCGCAGGGCGTAATGTTGCGAGTTGTAGCGCTGTCTTAGTGGCTCGAGCGCTTCCGTGTCATTTGTCCCTAGTCACAGGATGTGAGATCAGCGTCGTAAAGAGAGAACCAAAAGGGGTAAATGCCGCTCACTCCTGTACATCGCGCGCAGCATGCTCGTGATGAACCTGTAGATACCCCAGCTCTCCTTTACCAGGGGGACAAGAGCAGAAATCCGGCATTCGTTGTTGGCGGAGTGGCGGAAGTGGGCGAATATGATCTTCTGGAAAGACTCGATTTGGTCTTGAAGGGCCATGAGATCTGAAATTGTCTCGTATCTGCCAGAGTGTCAGTGGATTCCAACAGCTCGACGGCACAAGTCCACTCACCCTTCATTTGGGTCGTCGATACCCTTCAATGTGACATACTCCTCATACTCAAAGAGACCATTAAACTCGGGACGAAGACGATGGAAACGGAGCTTGGCCATGAGAAACTGGACATAGGTGCGGATGAGGGAACCATAGCCTATGCGTTGCGCCGTCAGCCTAATCCCAGCAAGAAGGCTTCAAGCACCGCACCTTTCGCGCCTTCATGACCAATGGTTCTTGCGCAAGTTTCGAGCCATCCAGTCTGACTTTGCGATTCTTTGATAGTCTGACGTAGGAGGTCTTATACATCTCTGACGAGGAGAGGGTGTAATTTTAATAGAACGTACATTCGGATGTCCCTCTTGTAACACCTTATGCACGGTAATCAATGCCTTGAAAGTCTGAACCTCATCGGAGAGAATAGGCTGCACTCTCAGGCCAGACCAGAACGATATTGAGGAGTGGTAGTCCCAGGTATACACGATGCATTCTGGGGCAAGTCAGGGGAAATGACGGAGACATAAGACGAAGAAGCACATACTGCGGACATGTTTCTGTTTCGGTGCGGTCTCCTCTGGACTTGTAGCCTTCTTGATATTCACAACGAGCTCCTGCTCTGCCTTGTCCTTGTCTACCGGTCGTGTGGGATAATGCACCTCGTCTCCGTCGATGTCATAGTTCTGACGCGACCGCTGTCCCGAGAACCTGTTTGACGTGATATAGAGCTATTGAGCCATGAGTCGCCCAAGCCAACAGATAAATTTACGCACATAATTGCAACAGACGGTGCTAGTGGAAGTGAAGTGACGCGTAGATGTGGGACCGGCTAGAGCTATAAAGACGAGTGGGTAATGCTCCCGTAGTGGGCCCGCCGCGTGGGAATGATGGTGGACGAGAGCAAGCTTGAGACCGGCTCTCTGCGAACTTTCATTCTGACCACCTCCAAGGCTGTGAACGACTGCCCAAAGTCGCAGCACAGTGCAGCTCTCTTTTCTTGCTCGACATGCTCGGCAGGCTCGGCTTTACCTCTAGTATCTTCAAACGAAGCACTCTGCGACTGCGCTCAAATGTATTCCCCGCATCGAGGAAACCTCATGCCCGACTCGAGCACACCTCATCCGCCAATCCGACATACAACGCCAAGCGCTATTCACGCTTCCATCCTACGTTCATAGCCCTTGGAGCTGTACCTATACTTACCTTTGCGCTTGGAACATGGCAACTTCAACGGCTGCAGTGGAAAATTGCTCTCATTGACGAGTTGACGGAGAAACTTGAGCGGGAACCTATATCCCTACCAAACAAAGTCAAGTGCGTCCTCATATCATATTTCTCTAAACAATGCTCATGCTCTGGTATGTTTACAAGTATTGCAGCCATCCCCGAATTTATATATCGCAAAGTCATTCTGCGAGGCAAGTGGGATCATGCACACGCAATGCCTCTCGGTCCTCGGGTGAAAGACGGCACGCTTGGCTACCACCTCATCACCCCTCTTGTTCGAACGAATGGATCCACCGTGCTAGTTGACAGAGGCTTTGTTGCGCGAGAATACGTCGAAGAGAATAAACCACGCGCGGAAGACCCGGAAGGCGAGGTAGAGGTCTGTGGCATGCTTCGTGCATCACAAGCACGCAATGCTTTCACTCCGGACAACCACCCAGAGCAAAATTTGTGGTACTGGACAGACGTCGATGCGATGGCAGAATTTTCTGGAGGCGCTGAGGCCAATGTTCAACCTGTCCTTGTGGAAGAGATATTCCGTGTGTAACTTCGTACTTGGATCGTCCACATTTTACTCACACGAATAGGGGTTTCAGAGGGCCGCGTCGGAGAATCGAGCTGGAGATTGTCGAAGGGTATTCCTGTTGGCAAGGAGGCTATCGTAGATGTACGGAACTCGCATGCTTCCTACGTCGTGACATGGTGAGTCTGCTCTCTACTCCAACGTTTGATATTGTGCTAACTCCCTCCTAGGTACTGCTTATCCGCGTTCACCACAGTTATGTTTATACGGCTAATGCTGAAGCAGCGCACTCCCTTCCGCCGCCTCTCGCGGTAATTCATACCACTCAGATACGTAGTGAGTGGCGTAATGTGCCTACCTTTGACTTGCCTCGCTATGCGCCCCCAGTCATAGCAGAGACCTAGACTGATACGGGAACTTGAGGCCTACCACGTATGCTTATGTCTAGTGTGTCGCGTTCTTGCGGCTGTCGATCACTTTAGTGGCTTAGCCCCACAAAATGCAGCGTGTATGTGCCGATCTCTGCGAGAACTTCGTTGCCATTACACAATTGTGGCTCAGTGACATCCGGCACGCTGGCAGCATGTCTCCGTTTCCTACCTCGACACTATGCAACTTCACACGTGTTAGCGACTCCATTATGCAAATCAGAAATGCAGCAGGAATTGAAATTGGAGCCTCTATAAAGCTGGGGGTTACTTCTCTTTACCCCTCAGGTCTTCCGTGTACCTTCAAACCCTCGTTACTCAGTGTCCGCACTGCACATCCCTGCTCGATCCTTGGCATGGCTTCGGCAGGCTTACCTTCGAGTTCTGGCTCCAGTGCTCTTCCTCGCCGTCATACACTGGATAACCCATCTGGCACACCATTTTCACATCGACCATCCAGTACGACCGTTCAACCTATCCGTGACGCTTGGTGGAGTGGGCCAAACCGGGGTCTACCTTTGAGAAGCCACACGGATAGTCTCGTCGAGTCTGAGTGGGATGATGCTATACGACGACGACACTCTGCTGGTATGTATTACTTCCTCGCGCAACGTATGCCAAAGGCTGATCAACAGGGTAAAGATGAATTTATGGCGTCTGAAGTTGAACGAGCCTTGCGGTATCAAAGGCGAGCTCACTCACGTCGAAATAGCGAGATTTCGACCCTTGGGGCTTCGCCGACGAGAGACAATACGCCCAGCAATGGAGTCGCTCAAACAGAGGGCTTGTTCTCTACGCCTGCAACACCCAACCCTCGCTCGCCAACACATTCCCGCTTCCTCGAGCATAAAGCTCCAGCCCCATTAACTCCGATCGAGCTTCACCATATTCAGTTTCCTAGAGGTAAGGTTCTCTCCTCCTCTCTACGTGATTTTAGTCCTGATAACATCTCCTTGTAAAGAACCTCGCATCCAGTATCCAGTTCCACCTACACAATGGGATAAGGAGGATGAAGAGGATACAACTCGCCTCCGCCGCTTCTCCTCTCCCCAGTTATGGCTGGATTTGGTGGAAAGCTTCAAACGGGATCATATGTCGATTCCTGCGAAACCAAAGCCAAACGCGCCTCCTTCACCCAGCAAAAGACGTTTCCTGATACCCCACCTTGGTTCATCTTCGCCGACAAATACTGGGCAGTTGGAGGATAACACCGCACGATCCAGGGCGGCGACAGACGCTCAACCTCGCAACTCTACTTTTCCTCGTTCGATTACGAAGCGAATGACTGGGTTCTTCTAGTGCTCAATGTCGATCGTTGATTTGGGGTAGTGGCTAGTCAATTCGTTTCTGTTGACTTGGTCTTGTTCGCATTCTCTAGGACCCTGCGTTCTGTCCTTCGAAGCTCAAGCTTTTATGTATCTCAATACTGCATTTTCTCTCCCTTTGAGTACATTGTACAGTCGATATATCTGAGGACATTCTGTACAATACAACACATGTGATTACACCTGTGGGCGTCTGATGGTGCAAGCATTCGAACTGGCAAATGCCGACGCAGCAAAGTGACAGGGCGATCTGGTGTAAGCGCGTTCAGTTCCCGATCTCAGCTAAAACGTCCACATCATCGCTGTTCTGACCGAGCTCATCCTCGAGGCCCCCAGACTCTCTGGGCGAGGCATACTCCTCTTAATTACCTTACTTCATTTCTCTTACATCCATCAAGGTCGTCGACGAGGTGATTCCACACACCACGCATGGCTCGCCCGGAGCCGCCATCCACTCTCCCCACAGACAATGGCGAAGGTCCCAGCACAGGCACGGGCACTAGCACCAACTCTCGCAACCGTCACTCTCGCACACAGTTCCCCTCTCTCGAACAAGACAATTCGTTCGCTTCTGGGTCTTCGAATGGTGGTGAACCCTACAAATCGTCCCCTGGCATAGGCCTTGGGCCACCTCCGAACATTCGTCGTTCGTCAACCCAATCTCGAGCAGGTCCTTCGAGTACCACGTCCTCTACTCGGCAGCATGACACTCGGAGACGTGTACGCTCTGTTCATGCTTCTGGACGCGAGGAGGAGTCTGTCCTGGGTGGAATGTCTCCTTCAATGTCGATTCGGCGACGAACGCTCACGACACAAGGACTTTCACACAAGACGTCCAGGAATCACCTAGGGGAGAATGTGGAATCTCCGTCAGACGACATTGGGCCGGGGGTGTTCTCTGACGAATATGATCTATGTGCGTCCGTCCTCAACTAGCTGGATGTTCTGCTTGCTAACACGTTATCCGCTTCTAAAGCTCATGACGGTGCGTACCTCCCTGCACTGGCAGTGAACTGGACTAAGGCCTTCTCCATCATCGGCAGACCCTCAGATTCTAGAGGATGTCCAGCGCGCTCTTAAATTGAAGGCTAGACGTGAAGCACGGAAACGTGCCAACTCCTCCGTACCGGGTGGGACGTCTACGTCGACCATGGCATCCACATCATATTCACCCCTCTCCTCTCCTGGTCGCCCACCGACTGCACTATCATCTATCCCTCCTCCACCTCTGAATGGTCCTAGCGTTGAGTCTGAGATAGACTTTAGCCCGTCGGTCGGTGTGGAGAGGCTACATCCCGTCCCTACGTCTAATAATATGGGCATCACACTGGACTGGAGTAATCCGGCCTCTGAGGATGAGAAGTCCGACAAGAGATGGTCTTTATCTTTGCCAAAGAAGAAACTAAAGGATAAACCGGAGAATGCGAGCAAGGAAGTCTTGGAGAGACAGGAAGCCCTCTACGTTAGTAAGTGTTGTGTGTGGCGATTCATGTATATCGAGGATACTAAGCTGTTTCGGCGCAGATAAACTTGGGAGAATCAAATCATCAGCAAAGTCTGCCACATTAAAGAAGGCTGAAATAACAGCCCAACAACTTCGAAGACGATATAGCATGCTCTACTCGACATTGGGCTCGACTCAGGAGCCGTCCCTCACCAAGGTCGTCCGATGGTACTCGAAACTTGACCCGGCTCTCCAGAACTCGTTCCATCAAGCAGAACCGCATACCTGGGCTAAGCACCTTCGCGACCGCAAAGAGGGCGGGAATACATCTCGTTCCGCTTGGAACGTCTCCGCCCTTATAGTCGAAGAGTATGTCAAATTACGAACCAGACGGGAGACCATGGAGACTATCCCAGAGGATGGGTACGCGGTTGGATCTCCTACCGCTCAGGGCTTTTCTCCATGGCTTCCTGGGTCTTCAGCGTCGAAGGGTCAAGCAGCCTCCGAAGAGAGTGCAGCCGTTCAACTTGGTGCCTCACTTTCTCGCCGGAGATCTCACGAGGGTCACGTATCTTTCGAGCCCCTCATCGATTCGTCACGGCCTCCCGTGGCTGAAGACAACCGCCGCCGGAGTACTGACGGAATTTCCAAGAGCTGGAGGCATTCCCTACCAGCAATGAGCGACTCTCCTCGAAGTTCGATATACAGCAGTATTTTCAGCGGTGGCGTATCTCCGTCTAGCAGTCGCATGCATCTTCGTGGTATCGCCAGAAGAGTTCGCCGCCGAGGACAAGAAAGCGACGATGCTTCCTCATCGCATCAGTCACTATCGGATCACGATCACAGTCACTCGGAGAGCGGCAGCATGAAGCCTCAGCGCCGCCTTCGCCCATCGGATCTAGAGTTGAATGCTCGTCCCGATGGGAAACGTGGTGATGAGGAACCTCCGTCATTCGAAAGGTCTCCGCCCTTACCTGAAGACCCGGTCACGGCCAAGATCATGCTTACGGAGTCCTCCCCTGAAGAGCAGCGTCAGCCACCAGGGCCACTTGCTTCGCCGTTCAATGATGTGAATACTCCGCGAATCCCACAACGTACTCGTCTGCGGACATCTCTGCCTAATTCGGAACCACCGTCTTTGCTCGAGGAGGAACGACGGCAACAGCAAGTCGATGAAGAGGCGGAGCACCGTGAGTATGAACGTAGAGAACAGTACGTGTATGAATTATGTTATCGTCTTTTCGCATCTTGTGCTCACACGAACAACAGACTTCTGGAACAGGCACACGCGCAGAATGCTCGAAATCGGCAACTGTTGCAGCGTATTGCCACTAGTGTCAAGGACTACGAGGGTATACAAGACACTCTGTACAAGCTAATCGGATTATCTCGCACCGGCCTTTCGCCAGACCTCATGGACGCGCTGTCGCACGATCCAGCCGTCATCACTGGCTCAACGCGTGGAGTCAGGGGTTGGAGAGCGGTGGAAAATATCCACGAGCATCTCATTCGACAGGCGGAGACTATCCAGACGTTCCTTCAGTCTGCAGACACGGTCGGAGATGTGGAGCTGCATCCTAACGCGCTAGACCAACACCTTGCTGGATTGACTCAATCACTTGACATTCTGGAGAGTCGTCGCGTCGATTTGGAGAAGCGGTCAAGCATTGTCGCAGAAACGTTGAGTCGGATCAAGATCGTACATGCGTCAGTGAAGGCAGAGTATCGGGATGCTGTCATGCATACTTCAGCCGTGTATCCCGAGGTCCGTCATCTTCTGTGGCTCTCTAACCTTTTACTCATCTACGTCTGCAGCTATCCCACATCGTCGCCTTGGAGGAGAGCTATAAGGACAATTACCAGCAGCTCTGGGAGTTCGGTATGGATGCTCTCACCCTCATCCTGGACACGGTCACTCCCTTCTGGCGTGTATACGGAAAGATCATAGGCGAAGACGTGACAGACTTCCTCATCATACCTTGGTATCGAAACGAGTTCACCGGAGAAGATAAACGATATCCCATAAAGTTCCCTCGGCGGTCCTTTCGACATTGGGTGGGTCTCTTCGTATTCTTTTGCCTCAATGTAGGCATATTTGGGCTGCAGGTCGGGGGTGCGGTTGCTTCCAGTGCACATTACAGATATCCTTTCACGCTGCATCCTGGTTTCTGGTGGGTGGTGTTGCCCACTTATTGGAGTGTCATTACAGTACAATGGTGTGCTGCTCTCGTCGAATTGTGCATAGTCGCCCTTCAGATCCTTTGTGTCGTCTGGTGGTTAGGGTGGTCGGCTAACATCGTGGACTAATTATTTGCATGCACTTCCGTTCGTTTCTCACTTTCTTTCCTACACGTCTCTCCCGCTTTCCTGAACCTCATTGTAATATTCCCCTCACACGCTGGACGCTGGATCTCACCTCTATATCATACCTGTAATTTGCTCTGCTGGCATACCCTCTTTACTCATTGTTCCATATCATACTTATATTCCCCCCGACCGTTCCCGGGTCCTTTTCGCATGCTACTACTACTCTAGGCACTACTTACTGGGCGCGGACCCGCACGACGGAGGAGGGTTCGCATGGGAATATACCACGAATGGTGACTGACCGTGATGGGTCGAGCCGTTTCGCGCACTGGAAGCGCTATAGCCTGAGGGACCGGCCGACGTCATGCTGCTATAGTGACTCGTCGTTGGTAGTGGTGTGGCGAGCGATGTGTAGGAACGTGAAGGCCCCGCAGAAGCTGAGGTAGAGGATCCCGGCTGCCTTGGTTTTCCCGTGTCGACACAGGTTCTGCAAAAGCCTACAAACACGGACGCGTGAGATATGTCGTGGCCATACATCACAGCTAAACGAACCAGACGACGTACGTCCTCCAAGCATTAAAGGGACATCAGCTTGTCCGCATCCCACACATGCAATTTTCTTGGGTTGTGGCACAGTGGGAGTGGCGGCAGGTTTAGGTTGAGAAGGTCGTCGCCGTTTCGAAGTCGAGGCTTTTTCACTGTCTGGGGCATCAGGCTTTGGTCGCTTGACTTTTGTCTTTTCCTTATAAGTTGTCTTCATCGGCCTCATTACATAGGGTGACGTCGCAGCCTGCGTAGATCCTGTGAGCCTAATGACGACTCTGCCAGAGTTTTCAGACTTACCTCTCGCAGTTGGGCGAGCAGATCGCCTTCGGGTAACCGTTGCTGTAGATAGACCCGTTTAGGGGGTCTCTGGAGAGCACACAAATTCGATCAGTGATACAAATGTCGAAGAAAGGTAGATGGCAGAATCACAATTGACTTCAAGATGGCCCGATTTCTCTCCATTTCGTCCGGGCCACCACACCATTTCACGAGATTATCCCATAGAGTCGGGTGTGCGTTCGTAAGGTGAAACGTCACCACCTGTCGTGGGGCTTCAAGCTTTTTGCTCAACGATGCATCGAGAGTGGAAGGAGGAAACGCTGATTTAGGGAACGGAAGAACGGTAGAAATGAGGATCTCTTCGACACGTCCTGTTGGAGGTTTGCGTTCGCAAGCTGTATGTCCTCTGGGAAAAAGCCACCTGTCGTGAGTCTTCTCCTTGAACTCGAGGATAATGTCATAATTCCTCTGCATCTGAGGCGGCGGCGTCGGTTGAGCGGGAGCATACGATGGTACGGTGGTGTATCCGTGTCCTTGACTTGGTTGCTGGTATGCCGGCGCGCCGTATGCTGGAGGAACGTAGGGAGGGCGTCCGGTGTTTATCACAGAAGCAGTCGTCGCTACTGGTGGGGTCAGGGCGCTGGGACCCGACGCAAGTGACTTAATGAGTAAATGGAGGGTTTCCATTTGATCAGGATTGGCATGCCCACTAAGGGCCTGACGGATGAGGTTGGAGAGCGTAGGGTTTGATGCAGCTGCATCGTCAAGAAGGGAGGCCAATGTCGACGGTCGAGGAAGCTCAGGAGCGATAGATGAGACGAGTGGCGTGGTGGCGCGAACTGTCTGAGCACTTGGTAAAGACGGAGTCTGTGTCTGAGGAGGTGCAGAGGGAGAATTGTAGGAGTATTGTGAGTATGGAGAGGAGTTGTATGGTCTCGACGGTTGCCAGCTCGTGCTGGACGTAGAGGGATAGCTCGGTGTTGTGAGAGGAGCCGCACCCGAGTAATGAACCTCGTAAAGGGCGGTGTCGACGAATACATGTGGACCTATAGCGAGGTTACATTTCCCAAGAGATATGGCGCGATGTTCTGGAGGTATAACATCGACTGGCTTGTTCGCTCGTGGTTTCGTGGAGAACTTGGGAAATACGGTGGAAAGCCATTCTGTGCGAGCTGATGTAACACGTCAAAATCACTATAATGGAAAGAAATATAGCCGTGTGCGCACATTGTTTGAGAGCATTGGGAATTACGAAGCTTGAAGTATGAAAAGATCAGGATATGGATCCGAGCAGCTGCTGGGCCTTGTGCGTACCTCTTCGCCACAGCGTTCAATATTTTCGCGTGTCCCTCGTGGCCGGCCTTGACCTCCCAGCCTGGGGAAGGTCCGACAGGTAGATGTAACGCAGTGGCCATATTTGTCAGTACCAGGAAACCACGGAATTACTTTATGTGCAACTTGCGAAGTAAGAACAAGGTGTGGCGTAGCTTGAAGGATTGTTGAAGGATTTCAAATTAAAGCGTCGCGAAAGGTGAGGCGGTTGTTTGCATTTGTTTCGCCCAATCACCGCACGCTTCACAAGGCTTCACAGAATCACACTTCGAGCTAAGTACTTCAACGAGCCAACAACATATCCTCAACCTGCATATCACCCACAGATTCGTATCGAGTACAAGTTTGTCTGCACCGGACACGTACACTACGCTTCAACGTACAATTACCGCGGCTTACAGGTAGCGCATGAAAATATTGTTCCAATAATCACAGAAGTCCCTAATGACATACAAGCCAAATATTCAAGCCCTCTTCTCATTCTCTGCTATTTTCGAAGCGTTCACAGCCCCGCCAGTCTCCGCTGGGTAGGGCGTTGATGTACTATGCGGTCCGCTCTCCAGTGGTGCTGTGTGCGACGGTACGGCAGAAGGTGAGGAAGTGGCGCCGCCAACGTAGGTCTGGGCCTTCTCCAGGATGGAGTCGACGACTGGCTGAGCCTTAGCTTGAGCGAGCTCGACATGAGGCCGGGCCAATGCCTGTGCTTGTGCAAGGGCAGACTGAGCAGCAGCTACGGCGTTCCCCGCCGTTGACTTGACGTTGTCGGTAGTACCTGAGGTTTGGGTGGACGTGGCGGGGCTTGGATTCGTACCGCCAGCGCTGCTGGGGAGGTAAGACTGTACACAAACACAATTATTATTAGCCAACCCACTGGAGAGGGCGATGCGGTATATTATAAATACTGACCCGAGCTGTCGCTAAGGCGTTGCCCGCAAAATCTCTAGCTTGGTCCGTCATAGGCTGAGAGGTACTAGAAGTGGTGGAGTTGCTGGTGTTTGTGCCACCCACAGATGGGGGAAGGTACGCCTAACAAAGATCAAGTCAGATACTGCTCACTTCGATGACAGTGAGGTTATAATTGACCTGAGCTGCAGCCAGCGTGCTTGCGGCCAGATCCTTTGCCTGGGAAACGTAGCCTGCACCTGCCTCCTTCGCAGCCTCTACATCTCTCTGACCTTCAGCCACAGCAGCGTCCGTGGTAGCTTTGGCGTCCTTGCCGAGGGCGTATGCGGAGTCCTTAGTGCTGTCGGTAGTCCCATCTCCCTTCGTCTGTCGACTTCTGGTTAGACAAGGGTTGAAGTAATGTGATGGTTGAGACGTACATAGGCAGTTGATGCTGCATCCCCAGCAGCACTTTGAATTCCATGAGCGGTCCTATGGATGTTCGTAGCCGCAGAGTTGGTGGGAGCTTGTGACTCGAGGTTCGCAGCAGTCGTGGTGGCTCCTGCGGGACTATAACGGTGTAATATCAGAACGTAGCACCTACAGAGAAGGATAGGTAGGGACATACATTGTGCCAGCCGGTGCAGCGACGTGCTATGTATCACACGGCATCAATTCGCCATATCACTCAGCAGAGAAAAACTACTGAAACATACCTGAGCGGTGGTAGCAGCATCGACAGCGGCCTTGTGAGCAATTTCTGCTTGGTGGTGGACTTCGCTGGCGAGTTTGGCAGTAGAGGTCTCCGCCTCGATGCGAGCAGCAGTCGTTTCGTATCTGAATAGGTAAACAGGATGAGTCCAAAGTAACGACTGGGATGGATGGTCGATGCGTACTCTGCTTGAGACATGGTGGCGGTTGTTGAATACGATGAGTTGGGTGGGTTATGTGGAGAGCTTGTAGAGGAGTGGAGAGTTTGCGGGAGTGGAATAATGAGAGACTGCTTGCGCAGACGCGCTCCGCTTTATAGCTCGCCTCCAGAACCATACTGTAATGACAGCTTTGCGCTTGCTCCACGCCAATGACATCACAGTTCAACTCGAACGGCGTTACGCCGGACGTATGTACCCGGACCTTGGCGCAGAAACAAAGTGAGGTGGCACCAGGACTGAGGGCATGTTAAATTAATCCTTGTGTAGAAGACAACATATGTACGGTCCATGCACTGTTATTCATGATACACCCGTTAGTTCAAGACCCCGTTCGAGAAACCCTATTCAAATATCATCGGCAGCCATCTTCGACATCGCACGCAACCTGGCATCACGTGTCGTCAGTATGATGCTGCATGCACATATCTCACAGATTGACGATACGAACTTCGGGCCATATATGTAGAAGAGAAATGGCACGACTGCAAGTAGCACCGATATGCAACCAAGCAGCGTACATGCCCAATTGATGCCTAAATTATGGAACAACGGCTGGGCCACAAGCGGGAGGGCGGCGGCGAAGATGCTACGCATGAATGTGTTGGCTGCAACTGCCGATGCGGCATATTTCGTGTAAGCATCAAGAAGATAGTTTATTCCCGCCTGTGTATGAGTGGAATTAGTTGAGTCACAGCCCAAGACTCCGAAGAAAGCACTATACCTGGAAAATAAGCAGAAAACTGGACCAGAGAAATCACCTAAATCACCTAGCTGTTGTTATGTCCAAGAATGAAGAGATCGTACCTCATGCCGATGAAAGCAAGTCCGAGCACACTGGGAAACCAATTGATGCTGGGATCACTTGTCCATCCGAGGAGGAAGAACCCTACGGGGAAGGTGATGGCGCCGAGCACTAGAACGATGTTAGACGTGGTGAAATTTCGCCACGAGAAAAGGAACGCACTCATAGGTGGTAACCTTCGCTCTGGTGGTGCTCGACCGCCATGTTTCTCGAGGTAGGGTGCAAATACATGCGACGAATAATAAATGTTGACCATTGCAGCTGTAAGAGTCCCTACCTGTGCAATTGATAAAGCATAAGCTTCAGGAGGTTAAAGACACGGAAGAAAATACCAGCACACCAGAACGGCCAAGAACGGCAGGCTTCCTACGAGCGGATTCCAGCCACGCTTTTCTTCATATACGATGGGGACAGCACCGAAGAGCAGGTACAAAATTCCGTCTGGAATGTGATCAAGATGTAGCACGACATCTGGGACAACAGGCCAAGGGTAGACTCACAAGCGAAGCTGTTATAAAGTGTCAAAACTCTTTAGAGTTGGTCAGTAAGTGAGCTTCATACCATCACAAAAATCAGGACGTACCCGACCATAGGTTCCAAAACGATCATTCTCAACGGCCTCGTCAAGTTCTTCTCGACGAAGGTCTCAATCGCGAAATCCTGCATCTCTTGCCGACTGTGCAGCTCCCATCTACCAGTCTTCAGACGAAGGCGCCTTGCCTTGGCGGATAGCAAAGCTGGTGCAAAGGTTTCCGGTAGAAACATTATGTTGAAGGAAATCTAAGGAAATTCAGAAATCAATCGGCAGAGAAGAAGACAAAATCCATCAAGAAATGCGTACCACAGTACTCGTCAGAATGACCACAAGATACTCAGTCCACCTCCAACCAAATTTGGGTTGTTCAGCCACGGCACTACCTATAATCTATTCTGACATGAGTATGGAGTACAAGGCACGAAAGCGGACAGACGAGGCGAGGCAGAGGACAGAACGACAAACCGGGCCTAACGTGGGACCTGCAATAACGGCCAAAGAGTACCAGACTAAAGGCCTACGTCAGTAGCGATACCAATAAGGTAAGTGATGAGACCGGTATAACGCACCGACTGCTACACCCCGTTCCTTCTGATTGAACATATCCTAAGAGAGCGGAATGATTGCAATGAGACTAAATTATCGGTACTGGCAATGTGTAGGTTCTTACAGCGAGTCCTCCTCCCACGTTTACTACCGGAGAGCTGGCCATTACACCTCCAAAGAAACCTGAGAACATGATGCAACAAATATAGTGTCGCAGTGAGAAGTCAGCATCATCGGTAGTATAGTATAGATTGCTCACGAGTGATGAAAATTGTTTGAATATCTTTGGCAGTTGCTGTGGCAGCGGAAAAGCAGATGAAGACAAACATCGGGATCAAGACTGCTGGTCGTCGCCCATAGATCTCAGATAAAGGAGCGAAGAAGATAGGGCCTGGTACATAGCCTGATTCGGAAAATGAGCTCCCAGGTCAACGAAGGCGTGCATTCGGTGTTACATACCGAGGACAAAAAGACTAAGGCCAAGGATGGTGACCTCAGTGCTCACACCTATCAGAGAGGGAGATAGTTAAGAAAGGTAGCATATTCAAGCAGAGAGTAGCGCGAGATGTGATGATACGAACCGTATTGTTCGCTGACATCGTTCGAGGCAGAGCTGAAAATACTGCTGGCAAATGTGGAGCCTATCGTACCAGATACACAAAGAAGTGTGAGACCCAATTCATGGCGTGCGAGTATCCGGGGCGTACACATTGTGATCATTCCGAAGAGCACGGTGACGATAACCTTGTAGCTATACGACCAGTTCTGTGGATTTTCAGGATCATCTTTCGAGTCCCATCTAGACAGAAGTAAGGATTAAAAGTGACAGCTTTAAGAAAGTAATACTGACGGACTTACGTGACAATATCATCCTTCCACCTCCTTTCTTCCGGGGGCAAGTCAGCTTGAATCTCGTCTATCCGACTACGCTCCCTCTTTGCCACCACTTCTCGATCGGCGTCCTCTACTGGTGTTTGTTCCCCATCTCGATCTTCATGGTTTTCGTCGTTGTCAGGATCGTGATCAGCACCTTCGTCTGGAACGCAGCATGAATCGATATGATTTGTTGGCATTCTACGGATGCGTGTTGAATATAGAGCTTCTGAGTCGGGGTCTGCAGGAGCACTGAGAGCGCGTCGCGGAAATGAGTCTGTCACTGGCATGGTAGATGAGGGTTATGGAGGTGAGGAAACTAGCGGAGCCCAATGCACTTCTTATTATACGTTGGGAGCAAAGACATCATGTACAAGTCGGCCGTGGTCAGCCGCAGGCTGTGGAACTTTCGCGGCATGGAGAAACCCGTGCTTCGACAATCCTAAGGGTATGATACTACTGTGAGGGTCGTTGAGTGATGTCATTGACCAGCATCGCTGAGCGTTATTTATATCAACGAGTGGGTCAGCAACTGCGAGTACCATCGCAGTCAATACATCCTCCTAAACATCTCGGTATTGGTTCCCATGCGTCTGTTTCAGTCAGATGATTATTTTCGTTAGATCAGCACCGAGAACACGAAACGACAGATCACCTACTTGTCTGCTAACAGCGTTGAACTGTTGCACCGGCTCACGTACGCGGACAGTAGCGTTTTTCAGCGGAGTAACGCTGCATCGATTCTGGCAGCCGAACGCGGAGCCCTACTAGCCCTATGTTACGCTGAGGCCAAGTGTTGGTTCAAGGAGAAAAATGTCTCTTTCAAGAAAGTGAAGACTTGAACGTTTGAACTATTGGTCAAGCTTCGAACAGTCACCTTTACTTGATTCAGTGGCTGATGATGGCCGCGAGTAAGAGATCTAGAACAAGAACACCGCCACACTGGGATAGGTTGATCGTGCGAAGATGCGACGCAACCAGCCACGTGTCTCTTGTACCCCGCTGCCAGTCCGAGCGCGAAATCGGAGGCGTTCTCCGCTTCCACAACGCGCTCGACGTTGGACCGCTCGTTTTATGTCTTTACAAAGCCTCTCCATATCACTTTTTGGGCCTAACAAGTGCGAAATAGTGAGTAAGCCGCTTCATATTCTCCAGGACCTTGTCACGGTCACGTCGACGGTCGCCCACCGCGAGAATTGGAGCCGGTGCCAATTGGTCTGTTGGAACAATGACCTCGTAACTTCTGCAATCTCCATGCAGCTCGGGGGGCTAGTAGACGCTCATTACGCGAGCATGATGTGCGTGCCGAAGTCAACACTGTCGGCGTCGGACGGAGTCCTCAGGCTTGCGCACTGGTACAAGGCGACCTTAAGCTCCATTCTATGTCAAACGCAGCGCTGCTTATTCGCGTCACCCTTTCCTCGTTGCTCTTATGTTTCTCTTTACCATCGGCTCCGAAGGTCGAAGTAGTAACACTACGGGACATGCGTACGCACTCATGCGCAATTGCCAGGGCACGTCAGTGCATCAATTGACATACTCATACGACGGATTATGGCAGGTGCTAGCGTGCCTGTCACTGAGATTGTATCGACGATAGATGAAAGGTTTGAAAATTTGAATGTTCAAGACCGCAACAATAAAGGACCGGAGTCGTTGTGATCTTTCGTGCTATGAGCGATGCTTGTCGCGGTGGTAGAACGGGCTGAGATGAGGTCCGCAGGTCAGGCTTGGGAGGGGGATATGTCGGCCTTCCGCATACGCAGGCCCGGTCTATCTCCCTCAGTTTATTTCGGCGTGTTAGACCCTGTCGCAAGAATAATACTTCAATAGCAGATTGACATCAACGCTTGACGCACCTTTCTCACTTCTGTGTTCCAATTCTGCCCTCCAACGTCACACCATGGAATCCTCCCAAGGCGCAACGAGTATTAGCCAGCTTGTTCGGGTATCTGATGGCCTTCCTCTGACCGTGAAAGAGTTTGTTTGCCGCTACAGTGTCGACGGACCTCTTATATCGTTCAAGGATGGTCTTCCCATCAGCAAGGTGAAACAGGATAAAGTTAAGACCGTAGTTCTTCGCTACGGAAGTAGCGCATCCTCTTGGAACACTGACGCTCTACTCGCCTTCCGCGTGGTTCCAATCCGTGGTCTACACCCCTCCAGTATCATTCCATGCTACAATGAGATTGAAAGGCTCCAACCTCTTGGTGAGCGTCAACGTCTCAGGTTCATACACCCAAAACAAACTACTAATGTACGTATTCAAAACATGATAGCACGCAAGGATATGCTCGATCAACTTTGCAAGCCATCGGCAGCAGATCTTGGCTACATCACACACGATAAACTCCCATCGAACCTACCTGCGCTTCGGAATCGTCAAGAAAAGGTGAAGAGGGAACAACTTCGACGGGAGAGAACTGGCGAGGAGGCGTTCGTGGATCACAGCCCTGATTCCACGACAATGGAAGCTGGCTACCTCCGAGATTTCATTTCGAACCCATTTTTATCCGTCTTCACCGCCATCCGAGACCTTCGCAGCCGTCAATTGGCCGAGAAATATCAAGACTCGAAGAACTTCTCTCTTAAGATGTCGACTCAGGCGCACGAAAATAAATCCGAGCAGAGCAGCGAAGAGTTACTACATCGTCTAATGGAGATTATTTTGCTTCTTTCTCAAGACGCAGGCGAGGATTGGCTGCGAAGGTGAGCTATTCTAGCACCTATGTCGAGCAAAAACTCACTGACGCGACTTATAGCACGCCGGCGCATCTGAAGCTTCATGTGAACGTTCCCTCGGGAGAGGAAGCTCCTGATCCGTTCGATCAAAATGATATCTCTGTGACGAACAACAAGACCATCGTAAAGGATCTAGGAATCATGATCAAGTGCACAGCCATTGACGATGGATATCTGTACCTCAGCCGCTACGGAAAAGTGACCGGAAGTAACAGGTTTTCTGAAGTGCCTGTTCTTCGATACGAGGTCTGTATTTTTTCCCTCCACGAATTTACAAATGGACTGATTTCGACTGGGTGCAGGCGAAGAGATTCCAGAAGTTGAAAAAGGCAAAGGTGCGCTACTCGACCACATTGCAGACGGGGGTCGGTTGTGGAAGGCAAGTACGCTCAACGAGTTGTTTTGTAACAGGCTCAGGAGGCAGACGGATCAGACACAGACGTGCGATTCATTGTTTGGATGTCGAAGTCGTGTTCCTTACTAGTAATAATCGCCGACAGACAACGGAACTCGAAGAAGAAATAGAGATCACGAACGAAAAGCCTAAAGAAGAACAGGATCAACCCAAGAATAAGAAGGTCAGTTCCTCGCATCCATATCTGAACCACTATATGCCCATGTAGCTCACAGGACACCAGGCTGGTTCGAACGTTCACGTCGACGATGGGATCACAGCCCAACAATTCGCTGAAATGCTCACATCTATCATAGCCAACGAGACATATATGACCGAACGTGCTGCACGACTTCAGACCGCTTCCACTTTCAGAACGACATCCCTGAGGATGAACCTGTCACCCTCGCAGCTGCGAGTCCTCAAGGAGCAGCAGAGGAAGGATCGCGTGTCGGCGAAGGACAAGGAGAGGAATAATCGCGTATTGGATAAGGAACAGGTGAGGGACGATGCGAGGTCGGACACAAAGGAGAATCGCCGTCGAGCTAGACAGAAATCACGGTCTGACCGAGAGCGAATGACGAAGAAGAGGGGGGAGCGAGCTCCAAGATATTCTCGTCTAGCGTCTAGAGACTGGGTAATCTCAGTGCACCCTGATGAGGCCTCGGGAGGGTCACCAGATGGGGAGTTGCAACGTGAAGTAGAGAAGCGTTTTGATCTAGAATCTGAGGGAGATTCAGAGCGGGAAGATGAGGAATGTTCGCACGAGGGCTCCGACCTAGGGTTAGAGACAAACTCCGTGAATCCCTCAAGGTCGATGAACGTCGATCTTGAGGGGTTTCAAATTGGCGTATGTGTTGCTCATTTATTTGCATCGGCTTCTCCCTGATATGTGTTGCAAGGCGAGTTGTCTGCTCACTCAACCCAAGAGGTACATACTTTGCATTGCCTGATGATCAAGCTACTATGCTTCCTCCAGACATTCAACGTTCGCATCGCACACATGTCTCTCAGCATTGCTCGCCTCTACGCCCCAGGGCCCTACCTAGACGCCATCACGTCGAATCACCAGCTAACCTTCACCGACCCCATTGTCTACTCTCAGAGGACGGAGGAGTTTAACCTTCTGCACCGTGAAGGTAGAGCAAACGCAGGGAAAGCGATTTGGGCTCTTCTGGCGTACTTGAAAAGTGGTGAAGCACTTGTAGGGCGGCTTAGCGAAATCAACAGTGATTCGAGTAGGTGTTTCTCCTACTCTGATTACAGCGAAATCACAGAACGACCACTGCTTCACACCCGTACTACAGTACCCGGTGTCTATCCGGCCTGGTACGGACCACATCAAGGCAGTCAACCGCGAAGTAGTCCCACACGCGGGATTTTTAACTTCGGATCTTCGTGTTACATGAGCGTTGTGTTACAGGCTTTGGCGGCAACATACGAACTCTCCACTCTGTGTGCACACGTTCCGTCGAACCTTACAGACCAACGCATCGTAAAATCGACATTGTATCTTATATGGCAGCTGAGAGCAGAGCCATGTGGAGAGGTGGTCCAGCCAGACTGGTTGAGGGTGAGTACGAAGTCAACCTTTGAACCTTTTTTCTCAACTAATTTATGGTCGAACTCAAGATCGCTGTTGCAGATACAGATATCGGATGGGATGGTAGCACTCATCAAGACGCGAGCAAGTTTCTAGCAGTCTTGCTGAGCGGATTAGTTTCAGCCGATGACATCTTTAAAACACTGTTCACGGGCACCAAGAAAATTAGCCTTAGGTGTTCTACAGCTGGATGTCCTGAGGTGAGTTCTGTTAAGCTTCATTATTTCGCAAAGGAACTCAGTACTTCTGATCAGTCAATTTCTCTGGGGGGAGGCTACTCCACTGTCCTACCGATACAGATTGCCCAATAACAAGCTTCCGTGACGGTACAAGGCCTGCTTGATGGAGACAGGCCAGTAGAACAAAGTTATTGGTAAGTAATCCAAGAGTGCGACCGAACCATTGAACTTTAATCCCCTTACGTTGCTTCGCAGGAAATGCAAGGATCACACGACGAACCCTTACCGAAATACCTTTATCGTAGCGGCCCCTCCTATCCTCATAATTGTGTTGAAGCGCTTTACGAACGGAGCTAGGGTCGATACACCGGTCGACCTCTTTCCTGGGACTGGTCCTGACCTCATTATCACTAACGAAAATGGACGTCTGATGTATGACTTGTTCGCGGTAGTTCATCATGTGGGAGAGCAAGCGAATACAGGTCATTGTACGCCCTGTTTATCTTCCTCCTCGTTACCAGCCTTCGTATTAATCGCTACTAAGCAGACTTCGCCCATACGATGCATGACGTTGACGGGATGAATCAATGGTATCTATGTGATGACGAAACAGTGACTGCCGTCCGGAAAGACCAAGTCGTAAGTTATGTTCTCCAAGGGCCCCGATTAATTTTGATCCACTCACTTGAATGATACGATCGACTTCTTTGCTTGGAGTCACCTCTTTCGGCCCTTGTTAACGCACAAAGGGAGGGTGGGATGGAGGAAGAAGGCGAAGGGATTGATAAGTCAAATCAAATCGGAATAGAAGAGGATGGACCAAATGGGATTGTTTTACAGGAGGGGGTCGGAGCAACACCTTATATCCTTGTCTACAGAAGGAGAGCTATGGCGCCCTAGATCTCCGTGTTAGGGGATCACAATCTAGTCCGTTCTGATGCTGTTTTTTTGTATATCTTATGCGCTATCAAGCGAGAGTTTTAGATTTGTCCTTTGTTCAAGCCTTTTTCAAGCTAAGGAAAGAGCCTTGCGAGATAGATGACTTCAAACAAAGAGTCGTGTAGGGTATCGCCGCAGTGCTTGAGATGCGATCCAGGCAGCTTGCGGTCGACTTGAGCGAACACATATGTCAGTAAGGCCAACGACAGGACATTCGAGCAGAGCAAACATCATATATTTTGGCCCCTACGCCTCAGCCCAGCGCAATAAGTCCTCAGCTGTCAGGGCCTTGATATCCACGCCCTGGAAGAGTGACGATGTCAGAGGAGGAGTCGCGAGTATAGAGTGAAACACTTATAATCAGCACTCACAAGCAGAACTGGTGGGCGTTGACTAGATTCCTGTGATGGCCGCAAACCAACGCTTTCTCCAACCACCGTTCGCGAATCCGTGCCGCTGGCGGACTGGCGTGTAGCGGATCGAAGATCTGCCAGTCTCGCTTCCAGAGTATCACATTTTCTGCATAAGAGAGCTCAAAAATGACGAAAGGAACCGCAAAGATGCAATGTCTTACTCATGTATTTTCTTCGTTTCCTCTCTTCGAAGCTCTAGTTGTCGCGTCATCATCTGTTCCAGGTTCGCTCGGGCCTGCCGCTTTGTAAGTATCGTACAGCCATGAAAAGAACGAGCTTACTTGTACAGGCCGCAAGTCGTTCGCTGCCGCCATCATGTTCTGCGTTAGTATCGTGATCCATTCGACTTCCCTTTCCCATTCTGGATGATGTGGTTCCGGTGCCGGAGGCGCTAGGAGCGATCGAAGAAGAGAAGAATACGTGACCAGGGAAGAGCGAAGAATAGACAGTAGTGCTGGTCTGCGATCTGAGAAGATAATATGGAGAGCTCAGCTTTCCTGACCGAGACGAGGAAATATGTAACCCCACCAATATCAGGATCTGAAGGATACAACTGGCGGCCTCCGAGAGACTCAAGCGAAGGTATCGTCTGTTTCAGCTACAAAAGAGTCAGGTTCAAGGAGACGTTCCATAATATCGGCACTAGAAGTACCTACATTCCAAAAATCACCAAAGGTAGTATAGTGACCCTCTTCCAAGATCCAGTCAACTCGAGGTTTCTCCAACTGTGTCAAGGGCCACTCGGGAACATCAGGCTGGTCAGACAAAACCTGTTGCTGATCCAGTTCCGAGTCGGCTGACTCTGACGTTCTTTGCTTTAGAAGGGTAAACAGTTCCAAGTTATGGGTCGTATATTTTGTGTAATGTGATGGCGGAGAAGGGAAAGGACTCCGAAGCTCGCCGTCGAGTTCATCCTCCATGGTAGACGTTCGCGATAGAGACTAGATATCAACAATCGTTCAATGATAGCACAGCAATCAGAATGTGCGAGAGAATAAAAAGATCGCTCGAGAGTCACGACGAACAAGCTAGTGGAGCCGTTGCGGAGGTTGTACAGCGTCGTTGAGTTAGAAGTTCGTGTCCAAGCCGATCTGGCCACCGCGCGTGTCATTGACTGCCGGGTTTTGCCGGTGCCACAGCGAGGAAATAATGCTGCGATTTTTTCTGAGAGATTTCTCTTTTTTGTTCCTCCTCTACATCTAGACTCAGAAAGAGCCTTCTATAACTTTATATATAAGGGCGAGCAATCATTATGACCACAAACTCGACCGAGAACCGTAGAACTGTAGAACAGAAGGCATAGATACAAATCAACACAAGTATCTAATCTACTCATAAGATGCTTCGGTAAGACAGCGACGATCTGACCGACATAGCAGCGACATAGTCCTTCAACCCACAGTACGGAAGGAACATCAAATCTACCACCAAACCTGACTGACACAACTCCTTACAAGTCTGGTCCGTCAACTGTGTCTCCCCATCTACTCCCAGAGTTTTCATGAGCCCTCGCACCCTCGCTTCCAGGTTTATGCCACCCGCCAAATTCTCCGCCGCCTACCGTCTGACCTCCATATATGTCCTAGCATCAACAGCGTTCACAGTACTCTGAAACCCACTGAGGGTGGCAATCGCGGGAATGCGACGAAGGTATGTGCACTCTTCTACTGACATTTGCGTTTCAGTTATCGAATCTTCCATCTTCAGGTTATATTCTGGCCGCACCCGAAGAACAACTGCGATCGGTGGATGGTGAAGAGCTTCGCCGATTGGAATTCATAGTGCCCATCGTTCCTTGATCTTATCGAACGACCTATCGTTAGAATTGGCATACGAGAAGACTGGCTTCCATGTCATTCCGAGTCCATGAGATGAGTGGCGTGCGACGTGAACGAAAACGTGGGCTACATAGAATACAAAATAAAGATACAGCATCCGACGCGGCGGGTAAAAAAAGTTCGACAAAGGCTACAAACCGTGCACCAGCACTTCACCCATGAAACGACACCCGAGCACAGCTCGAACGCTTCGGCGGCCCAGTTCTGATAATACTCGCCCGCGCAGCAGACGGTGGCGGGATACTTGGACGCGGAGGCTGAGGAGGCGGAGGAGGAAGCTGAGGGCGAATTTCATCCCGATCCCGACCCTCAAGCTGCATGAGCGTACTATGTGTTTGCGTATAACCGGGCAACTCCCCCCTCGAATCAAACCCCGTCAAAATCGACGAAATTTCTGTAGACAAATCGTCCCCGCTCTTCCCCGGAATCTCCAAAAGCACGTCGATCTGCGGTACCTGGGGCGCGAGTCGCATGCTGTGCCGAAGGTTGGTGATGGTGGTATATTCGGAGTAGCCGTGCGAGTCGCAGGTGGTTGCGACGGTGGTGAGGTGCTGGGCTCGGACGGCGGACATTGGCATTAATGCTGGGACGTTGGAGAAGCGGGCGTCTCGGCGGATGAAGGAGGGGTAGTGGTTGGGTGTTAAGGGGACGTTGAGGTTTGGTAGGCCACCGAAGACCTTGTCGACGTATTTCTGGAGGTTGCGATACATTCGCGTGGAGCCGATCGTTCTGTTGATGCAGTCAGTAAAATTGTTCACTTCTTGGAGGAAGCAGTATGATGCTTACAGAGCAATTACTAAACAATTGGAGGGTAGGTTCGTGAGTTAACATGTCAATAATTTGGTGTGACAGAAACACATACAAGCTGGTGTCTGAAACATCTGCAAGACACGTCAGTGGAGTAGATTTATGGAAAGATCGTAAGGCTTACCAGGTTCAAAGGGGCTATCGTGGTCATCGGAGCATCGTTAATACAAGTATACCGACGATTAAATAAAATGTACCATACCATTGTAATTCAGTAGAACCATGACCTGGAAAGCACGTGTGAGTTCGAGATGAATTGAGCATCGAAATTACTGGGACATACAGTGGGAGGAATCTCGGCAAATGCTGACAGCACAATCCATATAATCCCCTGAAGTTCCATGAGCGATCGCTCCGAAGACACGATACAGCTAGCGAAGATCGACGTACATGTCGGCAGATCATCTTCCACAGGCCGCCGTCGTGTTTATGTCGGACGATGCCACCCAACATGATGGCCAGAAGCAGAAAGTCAGTGATGAGCGTGGAGATGAGGTTCTCCTTGTTCTTCGCTGTTGAGAGAATGCTGCATGTCTTTGTTGAAGGATCCCATTCGGCATTAGCCTACACCGAGATTACAGGCAAACGATATGGGCTGTCAGCTCCTGTCGATATTCGCGCAATATTGATTTAGACTGACGGTGATAATGCCTGGAAATTATCGTGTCAGGAGGACGTATGTGTATAGCTAGAGGTCACCCACCATAGAGCAGAAATCCAACATTGACGAGCCAGATCGAGAGCGAAAGGGCAACCACGGGTAGTCGACGTTCCCATAATGCTATTCTGTTTAACATTAGCATCGAGTAGCGCAAGGAAAACAAGCAAACTCACGACCGCATCACAATCAAGAGTGATGAGAGAGACAATGCCATATAAGAAAACGTCTAGTAGTGATCAGCGATGAGGAGATGTTTCGAGACTAGAGAATGAACTGCTTCTCACAAATGTCGCGAGGAGCCACCCCTAGAGAATACGTCAGCTCAGGGCAGAGTCAAAGACAGTCGAGCGCCACATACAGTACAGTCGAAATGCACAGGGATATCGAAGCCGGTCAACACGGTCACGCAGGACGCAAGGGTGAAGAATCGACATGACATGTAGATCTGCAATACGATAAGCGAGCAATAGGGGTTCAAGGACAAAAAATGCGCACCGCCATCGTCCATCTCCATGGTCGCTTGCGGGAAATGATCTCCCACTCATAGTCCAATGTTGAGAAGTACTCCCAGCTGAGATGGCCTAGTCGTTATTGCGAGCAGATGAGCATAGTAGATGCAGCCTTACATGAACATTCCTGCGAGCGCGTGGACCGTCTTCTGCAAAATGGCTGGCGAGACAATCGCTCTGTGAGCGATGAAAGGACGAGTGGCGACATGAAATGGCTCACCTAGCTGGGTGTTAATGACCTCCGGAGCTTGCCAATCCACCATGAAGAACGCGTCGGCCTCGAGCACAGTCGAGGGCTTGAAAGCGAAACGGACGTGCAACTCAAGAGCTGCTGTGAACGTTAAGACGAAGGTGAACCCGACCGGGGGATAGCGACGAGCCTCATAAGCTCACACTCAAGTACCCGTCGGTGGAGATGAGGCGCGGGAGCCGGCAGAAGCGAACAAGACAAAAAGCAAGGGGACCATATTGGATACATCACTACGGGAGGATAACAATTGTGTGATGACATTCGGGAGCGCCTGCCTGGTGACTCTGCCTGGCGGACTCCTGTCTACTCGCTGAAAGGCTTTCATTGTGTCTTTCTACCGCCAAGTAGCCTACACAGCGTCTGGAAGTCGCCTTTGAGATAAAGCAATAGTTCAGACAGCCACTCCAGCCATGGCACAGCTCGATACCTTGTTCGTTCTGTGGGATCCGAAGTGTGAGCGAGCCACGTGCGGCGCTTGGGGGTGCTCTTGTCCTATTGTTTCGCACCTCGCCTGTAACGCAGGATGACGGGTGCCGGATATCCGTGCGAGCCTGGTTCAGTAATGCGCAGGCAGAGTGAATATAATCTAGAAAGATGCTCAGAGATGACCTTGCGTTACATTTCTCGTATCTGCCTGTGGAAAGTTGAAAATGCTAGCCACAGCGCTTGCCATGAGGGCTAGAGAAGGTCGCAGGGCATCGAATCATGGAGAATATCGTACATGCGCAAACGACGCGTTCCTTTGAGATGAGTTGGCAGCGATCCGGAAGGGGCAGATAACTGGTCTTCGAACAGCAGAAAGCAAGAGGCTGGTCCCTGTTGGTCCGCTGAATCTGAGTTGAATAGCCGCTCGACGCGTGTGGCGAGGGTGCGGAACCCAAACTGTGGCGCAAACGTTACGCTTTGCTATATAAACTTGCTTTCAAGCGCATGTGTTGTAATGGATGCCGTTCTGTAAGTACAGTATAACTTTACTTGAGCAGAAGACGGTGAATGCGCTGGGCGTGAGGTGTATGATTTTAGCAGAGTCTAACCAAGCCAGGACACGAGGCAAAGCATTGGAAGACCTCAAGGCGTGCACGTTTCGTACACGCACCGTCAACGCCCACAGACGAAAGGATATCTACTCGGTCAGCCCGTCTCGTTCTCTCTTCAAGCAGGTTCATCTTTGTAGGACTTGTGAGAGGCCCGACGTTTTCATCCAAGCACTTTCTTCGGTCGAGACTAGCTCGCACCCTCCGGGGCTCTTTGCGTAGCTCGACCAAGCCACCCGACTCTTACACCGGTCATCTCGCTCGACCGGCTGCACCAGAGTCTCTATCCCCTTCTCACTTCACAGAGACTAAGGGACTAGCCACAGTCTTAGAAGAGGACTCTCTTGACGACTGGGTCGACGACTTTGAGCCCATCTCCCGTGACGAGATACCCGAGCTCGAGGTACAACCTCCGCCGGAACCAGATCCTCCTCGACCATCTCTCACTAGCTCGAGGTCCATCGATAATCCTCCGAAATCTCCTGAGCCACTAGTACGTACGACGTCCGAGCGCTCTCACTCCTCTGATCCCTTCGCCACTCCGAGTAATTATCGCTCGCCCGTCGACTCTGTACACCCATACACCCTCCCTTCCCGACCTTCGTCTGCCCCTCCAGTCTCCCCAGTCCGAAGTCGTACAACCAGTCGGGCATCCAAACGCTCTCGGCGTTCTTCTCGCAGGAACAGCCAGCCTCACGATCCTCACAATCTCCATCTCATCCTCGACTTTCCCTTACCTCCCAATCACATACCAACTCCCGTCTCAACCCAACTCTCTCCTCCCAAAGAGGCACCTACTCCAGTTGCAGACGACAGCTCTATATTCTACGACCAAGATCCGTTCAGAGCAGATTCCATCAACCTCGAGCGTGAGCCCGTAGAACGACCTGCATCTCCCACCAAGACCGATCCTACAACAGCAGGCTCTTCAGCTTCCTTCCATACTGCACTTTCGCGGGCACCAACACCTACACCCACCCAGGCTTCCAGCACCGGCACTGCTACCTTACGCCGCCTCGGTTCATTCGCACGAGAAGCGAAAGACTCCCTGAGAGCATCATTCCGAACTCCGATATCAGAAATATCGTCGACCCGCTCTCGCAAACCGAAACGCGTTCAGAGAGTATTTGCTGAGAGGACTCCGGAATCACCCTCAACACCCAGAGTCAGCTTCGATCTTCTACCTGAATTCATTCCAGAGGGTCTCAATATTTCTTTTCCGTCATTCGATAACGCTGCACCTCGTTCCCCGCAATCAGCCCCTTTTCGACCTTCGCGACTCGTCACACCATATTACACCTCACTCGACAACGTCTCGACGAGCGCCATCCTTCAGAACCAGGATCCCAGTCCACGTACCCGGCTCCAGTCCGCACCTTCCCTTTTCAGCCCCGTTAATCCCGTGCCGGAAGCAGAACAGCCTGAGAATTCCACTCAGCTTGCTTCCCCTCCACCCGTCCCGCGTCCGCCGCCACCCAATCGACCACTACCGCCACTCCCCTTCCCCGCACTTCCGCCTCCCAAGTTCGCTGTGAACTTCGAGTTTGTCAATCCTCTCGACTTGACAGCATCTCCCGCCCCATCAACTCAGTATCGGTATTCGGCAGCGACAACTTCTTTCGCGCCTTCACCATCCTGGTTATCTCGGAACGTTCGAGAACTCGAGCTATACCTTGCGAACCAAGGCGCCAACAGTCCCGAATCGATCCACTCTGCGGTCGCTGACGTTGACTCAGACACCTCCCAGAACACCGATTTCTTCGACAGCAGTGTCCGTTACTCTATCGAAGTCGAATCCCCATCATCGCCGTCGCCCATCCCCGTCCCATCGCAGCTACCTCTTCCCCGTCCTGCTCCTCAGTCCGTCTACCTACAAGGCCACGTCCCCATCCACACCGCTGATTCATCATCGGAGACGTTCCATTCCGTTGACACCTTCACCGAGACCACCGCAGAACCGGTCACGTCACCTAGCAGCCAAGTCACTCGCAGTCGGACAAGCTCTCGTCGTACCTCGTCAGTAGCCACTTACACTGCCCTAAGGCCGGGTAGATCACCTTCCAGAGTCTCCAGTCCTCATCATCCTCGCTCCCGTAATTCTTCGGTCACTCGTGCCACCATCACCCATTATCGTCGCTCTATCACCGAGACCAGGAAGAAGCAGCGTACCATCAGCTCTTCAAACTCGAGGTCTACACGAACAGCTTCGCAAACCATCCTTGCCGTTGAGAAGGTGAGCATATTGAGTAATCTTCAGCCCGTATTGGTCTGACCATTGCGCCGTACAGCCTTCTCTACCTCGCTTGTTCCCCGTTGCTACAACCCAATCACAGTCTTCTAGGCTCTCTTCTCCTACGATCTCCCTCCTTACACCTCTTGAACTCGTCTCTCCTGGTACGTGCCTTCACACCGATGTTACTTGCATGAAATTGATTGTCCACATAGACTCCGAGTCCTCGTTCGGTACATTCACGACCCCCGTCCCAGTCCATCCTCGACCTCTACCACATTCTCAGAGATCCTACCAATAAATCCACCCCAACCCCCCCTCCAACACTTTGAACACAGCCATGTCTTTCGGAAAACCAGCCGAGACCGTCGATTTTGGCGGTGAGATGAATTATGAGGGATACGAGTGGTTCAAGGAGCCACCGCCAGAACGCCCCGAGGTTCGCTTCTGCTATATTTCTTTGTCCCGAATAGCAAGCTGAAAAATGTGTAACCTTTTTTTTTTTGGATGACAGCCTCCTCCCCCTCGCGAGCAATACGTCCCACAACCCGGCGTCATCGAGCAAAACGAGATGTTCGACTTCGCACTAAAAGCCGCTCCAAACGTCCTCTACTCGCGATACAAGCAATACGGGCAGGTACGCTTCTTCTTCATGTCCCTTATCTCACACACACACCATCCTCACCTCTCCATCTCTTAATCTCCGCTCCGTCTACAGTTGGGCGTGCTAGCCTGGTGCGCCGAATTCAGCGAGATGATCGACGCCATCAAGCAGCTCGGCGTCGACGGCAACATGTTCGTCTCCACGCGCCTGCAGGCCCTCCGGACATGCGAAGAGATCCTCCGACTAGACCTCGACGTGCAGATGCAGATTATCGTTATACATCTAATCACGCAGGTCCAGCGGCTGAGGAGGTTCTTGGACGGGGAGAAGCAGTGGGACGATTATCCGGATATCACGTTCCCGTTGGATCCTGAGCAGTACAACCAGCAACAGCAGCAACAGCAACACCAGCAGAGCCCGAGGAGACGTTGAGGGTGTCTGTGATGTGTCTGATGTGGATTTCTTTATCTTTTTCGTTTCTGTTTGTGCGTTTGATTGTTTTTCTTCTTTTCTTTCTGTCCTAGGCTGTAGGTTGCATTGTTGTGTGATCACTGTCTTGCTCGTATGTCTTGCGCCTTGTGTCTTGTGCTTCTAGTCGGAGAGTTTTGTTTCGCCCCACGATGTGCTGTACTCACTGTGCTGTCTACTCACCCCTTCCCTGCCAACGTCATCAATTGTTTTCACCGTTCTATCACTTTTCGTCTTCTCTCTTCTCTCATCTGCTTATGTCTTTCCTAGTCTTCCATCTTCCTCCTGTAGTATACACTTCCAATGCACGAAATCATCTATGTATCCACGTGTCCTACTAGTAGTAACTCAGCTCACTCTGTTCAACTCCATACCACGTCCATCAAAATTCGCGCGTGCCTCATGAATATATAGCTCGCAGCGAGACGTGTCCAAGGAGATGCAAGAAACGACACCAATCAAATAATAAAAAATGACCCGTAGATCACAGCTCCAACTTGCCCTTAAACCGTGCCCCTTCAAGAGTCGACATATGAAGAATTACTGTAAATAAATAACGCAAGAAGTACACCGAGGAGTCTTTATCACAAACAAAATCAACACACCAACAACTTACTAAACAACCAGCCAGCCAGCGCTACCCTAAAACAAACAGAAACAGAAGAAAAAAGTTATTCGAAGAACAGTGTCCGTGAGTTGTGTAAGTAGCAAGTAAAACTAGGTGATAAGTGACAAAAAAGGACGTCTCGAAGATGATAGCAAGCCTAGGTCTGTAGAAGAAGAAGAAAGACTGCAGTAGAATGGGGATTGGAAGGATGACGCAGAAGTACGAGAGCTCGTGAAAGGTGAGGTCATTGACAGACATCATGATGGGTGAGATATGAATGTATGAGAACGAACGGATCGGGTCGGAGCAAGGAGCAATGTGCAATGTGGTAGACTAGAAGCCAATGCAATTGCAGGTGGGGGTAGCCAGAGTCGGAGATGAGACGAGACAAGAAAGAGAGCGAGCGAGCGTACGAGAGAACAAGCAGGAGCCTGGAGTCGGAGTCAGAATCAGAGCAATAATAGCGAGAGACAGAAAAAAAAAACGAAAACGAACGGACGATCGATCTATGTATAACCATGTAGATAATGCAGACTGCGAAGCCGGAAGAAAACATCTCGAGACCGAAGTGCATGTGCATGAAATGAAATGAAGCGAGCAAGTAAAAAGTAGATAACTAAGAAGCAGCCAAATAATTAATCGTCATAATGCATAGCAGCTGCAAATATGTAGTGTAACACAGAAGATGAAGAAACTAACGTCCATGGTATCAACATCAACATGTTCGAGGACAAGGATGACGACGACGACGGCGAATAGATCAACTCTGCGTGGGTGGCACCCTCGTCACGCCCGCATACTTAGCCCAATACTCCGCCGAATGCGGGGAATCGTGCTCGCTCAAAGACGCAGGAAGTGGTGCAGGTGTATAGGGTGACATCCTCGGAGGTTCCGGGAGCGGATTCGTACGCGGTCGACGGGGAGAAGAATCTATAGAGTCTGATTCGGAGGGGATGGTGGCAAGGTCGGGGTATGAATTGTACCCATATCCATGGGATTCTTTAGGATATGCATGAGGATCCGAAGCGTAGATGACAGGAGACCCGTTGGACATCGAGTCATACGACGATGAAGGAGCAGCTGGGGGTTGGAAAGGCGCTTGTAGCTTGAAAGAAGTGTGGGCTGAACCGTGTCCGGTACTGATCCTGTGCATCTCTCCTTCGATACTGGCGTTGGATGCGAGGGATCCGTCTCCGTGTATGGTCTGAGCGTAAACGACCTGTGTGCCCTCAGAACCATAAGCCAGACTCCGCCCCTTCCATAGTCTATCCATCTCCCAAGCTTCCTTCGCCCTGATCGCATGCAAGTCTGCCGCGGTCGTTCCGTCAGAGGTGGGTCGTTGGGTTGAAGCAGACGCCGAAGGACGTCGCTCTAGGGCCTGCCCACTTCCACTCCCACTCCCGCTCGCCACCCCCGAATGCTTGTGGGTCCTGGTACTAATCTCCGCGACAGCTTTATCACCTCCATTGAGTGACCGGCGCTCATCGTGACTTGCGCGTTTTCGGCTCGGTGAACTGCTCCTTTTTACGTGAGAGGACGTTATGGTGGTGGTGCTGAGCGGAATGTCCGTTTCTGCTGTGTGGGGGGCGCGTGCCTGCATAAGTATGTACATATGAAGTCAGGAAGGAGCACCTCCAAGGTAAAGAGGGACGGTCGACAAATCAGACCTGATGAGCCGACTTGCTCGCACCTTCGGCGGTCTTCTCTTTATCCACCCTCTCCTTAGAATCCGCCTTATGGTGTTTCTCAGCCCGTTCCCTCTCAGATCTCTCTCGTGCTACCTTCTCCTTCTCCAATCTATCCCTCTCTGCCCTCTCTTTCGCCTTTGCTTTCTCCCTCTCCCTCTCCGAACGCTCACGCTCCTTCGCCCTTTCCCGCTCAGCTCTCTCCTTCTCCTTCTGCCTCTCCCGCTCAGCACGCTCCTTTTCCTTCTCTCTCTCTCTATCAGCACGATCTCTCTCCCTCTGACGTTCCTTCTCCTTCTCAGCACGTGCCCTCTCCTTCTCTCGCTCTCTCTCCTTCTCCCTCGCCGCCCGCTCCCTCTCCTTCTCTCTTTCCCTCTCCCTCTCCTTCTCTGCCCTCCTCGCCTCCCTCTCCCTCTCTCGCTCCTTGTCCCTCTCCCTCTCCCTTTCTCGCTCCTTATCCTTCTCTCTCTCCCGTTCTTTCTCCTTCTCACGTCCCCTCTCCTTCTCCCTCTGACTCCCCCTCCCATGCTTCGACTCCTCCCTCCCCAACTTCCTCTTCACCGGCTCCGGACTCCCCACAACCTCCCAATGCTCCCCATGCGCCACGATCGTCTCCATCCCACCGCCACCAGTCATCCCACTTCCACTTGCACCATTAATCTCACCGCTTCCTCTAATACCGTTCGCATCACTCATATCACCATTGACAATGACGCCTTCAGGCCCACCCTGCAGCTCATTCCCCTGCGACGGCGATCTGACAAGTCTGAACGTCTCCGTTTCGCGCTTCTTCACAGGAACAGGGCTCGTCGATTTCGTGCGGTGGTGCTGGTGCTCTGTCCTCTCCGTCCTCTCCGTCTTGCCGTTACTGACGGATGTCGCGGCCGTAGTAGTAGCGGGAGTGGCAGTCGTTGCGGTGGTGGGAGCGGGGGTGGCGGCGGTGGTAGGGGCAGCGGTGGTAGGAGCAGTGGAAGGAGCAGGTGTAGGTTCGCTCGTCCGACGAGTAGTATGAGCATTCGAAGCGGGAGCGGGGTTGGTGTGATTAATATCGAGTTTAATCTCGGGTCTAGTCCTCGTCACGACAACAGAGGCAGAGGATGATTCGGCATGCGCATGTGTATGGGCGTGGGTGTGGGTGGTGGTGGAAGGAGTCGTGGTCGAAGGTGAGCGTTGACGGTTCGAGAAGGGTGATGTGGCGGGTACCGGGGAGGAGGATGGAGAGGTTGCCGGTGGTACGGGTGCGGGTGCGGGTGCAGGAGCGGGTGCAGTGACGGAAGGTGAACGTTGGCGGTTCGAGAAGGGTGATGAGATTGGTAGTGTAGAAGATGGAGGGGAGACGGGCGAAGTGATCGATGGTAGTACGGGCGCCGGTGCAGGTGCAGGTGAGGACACGGGAACGCTAGCTAATGGAGGTATCTGTACAGGAGGGGTATAAGGCGTGGGCGGATTCACCATCAGCGAAGCTCTCGAGAGTGGCGAATCGGCCGACGCAGAAGACGAAGAAGCGATGGCGGCGATAGCTGGTGGAGGAACTAAAGGCTGAGAAGGCGGAGATGAGGAGGAAGAAGACGAGTAGGAGGGGATGGTCGGAAATGTCGTGGTGGAGGAAATTACTGGTGCGGACATTAGAGGAGAAGGATGAATGGGTGTGGCCCAAGGAGTCTCGTGCGTTATTTGCATTGGTGATTGGACGAGGACAGTTGGTGAAGGGTCGGGATTGAATGGAGAGGGTGGAGGGAGGGGAGGAACGGGCTTGTCTTCCGGTGACGCTGGCGAAAAGGCCTCGGAGAAGGGCATGTGTTGTGTTATGGGAGAGGCATCACTAAGGCTTTGCACGTCTGGGTTGGCGATGGTGAGTTTCCCATTCGAAATCGGAACCTCAAATGAAGGAGTCGAAGAGTTTCGATCGGCGTATTCACTATTGGGCGTGCTGTCGAGACTGACGCTGGTGGTGGTGGGTGGCTCAGAATATTCGGGCTCAAGGGATGGAGGTGGGACGCGCTTGCTCGCGTCTGCGCTGTTCCTCACGGGCTTCGTGGGTGAAGCGCGTCTAGGTGGCTCGAGCGACGCCCGATTCACGTTCTGCCAGTCATCATCAACTTCCTTGGCACCGGATCCAGACGATCTATGGTTATCGTGACCTTTCCTCAAGACGCTGAACCGACGCGCTATTTTTCCGAGAACGCTCGTTCGTTTTTCCTTCTTCTCGGGCACCGCTAACGACGTTGTAGATTCTGGCGTGAGGGAGGGAACACCGAGGTGCTGATTCATTCCGGACGTCCGTCTCGACATCTTGCGCAGAAGGGTCCTAGGCTCAGTTTTATCCTGATAGGTAGGGTCAAGCGGTGTAGTAGGCGCAGAAATTACGCCGGGCTGCGCGCTGTCCGAAAGAGAGCTGAACACGCCGCGAACGCTCGGTTTGCGGCGTTTTGTCAGTTTTCGGCCGAGTTCTACGCCATCGGGTTCTGAATATTGGAGGTGAATGGCAGATGTCGATTGGGACAAAGGGGATGGCGTGGTGGTCTTGTGCAGGTTACCATTCATGCTGGACATGCGAGATCGAGACCGCACGCGGTTCTGTGATAGATGATAAGCTAACATTGAATAGACAAGAGGGAACGTGGATACTGACATCTGATGGTTCTGCAGAGACGGGACTAGGGTTGAGCGCATCGTATGGAGACTGGTGGTGCCAGTTGGTCCCCCAAGGATCGGACGCGTCGAGCATGTCGACATTATCGTGAGGAGTATTGGACAGCTTGCGTGTGCGAGGCTTTCCAGGCTCTTGGATGCGGACTTGGGAAGAATTTGGGGTGGAGAGTGGGGAACGTGAGGGGGTGCGACTGCGGGGACGGACTTGGTCCTCTATGCGGTCGGGAGCCATGGGTGGGAAGGAAGGGGAGAAGACGGAGGAGGGACGGTTGGATGGAGGAGATAGATGACAATTCTTGTAATAACGAGGGCCAACTGGGTTGTGTATGGGGTATCTAGCACGAAATTGAATGACCGAGGCGACGTCGCCCTGAGTGTTGTACCATGAGGGGAGCGTGGCGAGGACGTCGGGGATGATGGAGCGGGCGACGGGGGGGATACCGAGGGTGTCGGTGGACTCATTGTTGGGGAGAGGGCTGAGGACATCGCGCTCGTTGTCGCTGTCGTCGGACTGGGCAGAGGCGCGGCGAGAGGGTTTGGTCGGGTCCTGGGCAGACGCACGCTTCGAGAGCCTGCGGGTGAAGATGGACCTCGACGGCTTCAGCTTCGAGTTCTTTGCGGGCTGGTCGACGGCCGTGTGCATTGGTCTGAGGTCAGTGATAGTGCTGGCATCTGAGGGCGTCGACGAGCGCGATGTCGTCGTCGTCGTCGTTGAGGTCGTCGCTGGCCGTGCCGACGACTCAGGCTGGGACTGCGAAGTGCAAAAAGGAAATTAGGCGCGTGCTTCCCTAATCTCGCGTAAAGCGATCATGCTCGCCACACAAGCAGCTCACCTCCTCGTACGGCTCCAGCCCGAACCCGTACGTCTCTTCGTACCAGCTCGTCTGTCTCCCGGCAGACATGACGAGCAGCAGTAAAGATAATGCGTGGGCAAATACAGGAGTCTTTCCCTGTATGTTCGTCTTTCCCCCACTGCTCACACTGCGCGAACCGTATAACCTTTGCCGACGAAATCCCTGCGCACGGCCCCGTGTTCGCTCCTTGTGCGCGCTGCGGTTTCTTCTCGCCGCATCCAAGCTTTCCCTCGTCTCTTCACTTCCGATTGCTTCCTTGTCGCACCCAACAGGTGCCTCACGTACCTGTGTGGCGCCAAGTCCAACACGCATCATTGGCATCCCCCTAACTCCTTCAGGCTCATGTCGGACCGCGAAGCAGAAGTCTATCATAAGATTACTGCAATATCCCCATCGAAAGATACCTTGTTCAACTATTGCCTGTTCCTACGAAGAGAACATCAAAATGCCACCTCACAGTTCGCTGCGCCACCCGGAGTCTATCATTCCGAATCGATCTTATCTTATCTGAAAACCTAGATCCAAATTGAGATCCATTCAAAGCAACCTCGAAATTTACCGCTCGCCGATTTCAATGTATCTCCTCACCCTCTGCCTTCTGGAGCTCCATGGCGGCCCTCAAAATCCTCGTCCTCGGCAACGGAGGCCGCGAACACGCCCTCGCATGGAAGCTCGCTCAGTCTGATCTCGTAGAGCATATCTATGTTTGTCCAGGGAATGGAGGAACGAGCTCGGGCTCGTCCAAGATCTCGAACGTCTCGGACGTTTCTGCTTCCCAGTTCAGCCTGCTCGTAAAATGGGCGGTGAAGAACGAGGTATGTGCGTAAACTACGATTTGAGACTCTGGTGCTGAATATCTTGGGTAGATCAACCTCGTTCTTCCTGGACCTGAACAACCCCTCGTCGATGGCGTCGAATCCTACTTCCGCAAAGGTAACCCACCCACTAACTCCCCACCTTCCATACAAATCTAATCATAATGCCCTCCAGTTGGCATCCCCGTCTTCGGACCCAGTGCCCTCGCCGCACGCATGGAAGGCTCCAAAGCCTTCTCAAAAGACTTCATGGCTCGACACAACATCCCCACAGCCGCCTATCGCATTTTCCCCTCGTCCCAAGTCAAAGATGCCATCGAGTACGTCCGGACATGTGGACATAAGGTTGTTCTCAAGGCGAGTGGCCTAGCGGCCGGGAAGGGTGTTTTGATTCCGGAGACAGTGGAAGAGGCTGTCAAGGGCCTCGAAGAGATCATGGTCGCTCATGCGTTCGGTTCTGCTGGTGAGTCAGATTTGAGTGCTGGATGCTCGATGTGGAATATGGAAAACTCAAATGCTGATACAAATGTGGCGCAGGCGACGAAGTGGTGGTCGAAGAACTCCTCGAAGGCCCCGAAATCTCCGTCCTCGCCTTCTCAGACGGATACACCATCGTCCCCCTCCCCGCCGCACAGGACCACAAACGCATAGGTGAGGGCGACACGGGTCTCAACACCGGCGGAATGGGCGCCTATGCCCCTGCGCCGGTCGCTACAGGGGCGATCATGGAGCAGATCATGAAGGAGACTTTGCAGCCTACGATCAATGGGATGCGTCGCGAGGGTATGTGTGCTCCTGCCTGCCTTCGTTGTTTGCAAAGGTTTGAATGCTCAAAATTGAATGTGTGTGGACGTGCATTAGGCTTCCCGTTCGTAGGTTTGCTCTTCACGGGCTTCATGTTAACAGAATCGGGCCCTAAAGTCCTCGAATATAACGTTCGTTTCGGGGACCCCGAGACCGAAGCTCTGATGCTCCTCCTGAGCAACGACACCGACCTTGCCGCCGTCATCCTGGTTCGTTTCTTGTTTACCCTCAATCGTATACTATTTCTTTGGGTGTTGATGAAGGATGAATGTATATGTAGGCGTGCGCAGAACATCGCCTCGATTCTGTCAAGATCGACACTAAACCCGGTTCCGCCGTCTCTGTCGTCCTCGCCTCTGCTGGGTATCCCGGGAGCTATCCTAAAGGCAAACCTATCACCGTTGGCGAAGTCCCGCAAAGTGAGTCTTCTTTCCCACCCATCCTTACTCGCAGCGATACCGATACCAGTGTGTTGACCGATACAATTGATTGGTTGGTACTCAGACACCGTCGTCTTCCACGCTGGAACCGTTCAGTCCGGGAACGTGATTAAAACTTCAGGCGGCCGTGTCATTGCCGTTTCGGCACATGCTCCGACTTTGAAGGAAGCACTTGATGCCGTGTACGCTGCTGTCGACAAGGTCGATTTTGAGGGAAAGACCTACAGACGCGACATCGCCCACAGGTACCTACCCTTAACCTCCTTCTCCGCCACAATCACCACATACCATTCCATCTTCTCACAAACCCCCTAATTCCAACAGAGCACTCAAAGCAGCCTCACAATCCCAGTCCCAATCGCAATCCACAGGCCTCACCTACGCCCAAGCCGGCGTCTCCGTCGACGCCGGCAACTCCCTCGTCGAGACCATAAAGCCGTACGTGCGCGCCACGCGCCGTTCAGGCGCGGACGCCGAGATCGGTGGTTTCGGCGGTGTGTTCGACCTCAAGGCGACGGGCTATGTCGATCCGGTGCTCGTCAGCGGGACGGATGGGGTGGGCACGAAGTTGAGGGTGGCGGTGGATGCGGGGATACATGATCTTGTTGGTGCGTGCTCTTTGGCATACATGTTTCGAAGTTTCAAGAGTGTTAGTTGGGGCGTTGGCTGACTGGGTGCACATGTACGTATAGGGATTGACCTGGTCGCGATGTCGGTGAACGACCTGATCGTGCAAGGGGCCGAGCCGCTCTATTTCTTGGATTATTATGGGTGTAGCAAGTTGGAGGTCGACGTTGCTTCGCAGGTTATCAAAGGTATCGCGGAGGGTTGTCAGATTGCGGGATGTGCGCTCATTGGGGGCGAGACGGCTGAGATGCCTGGGATGTATCAGCCTGGTCAGTGAGCTATCTTTTGCTGCATTCACCTTTTAACCGTCTACGCACACTTTTGCTGACGGGCATTGACGATTATAACGAACAGGCGACTACGATCTGGCCGGCTTCGCTGTCGGTGCGGTCGAACGCTCACAGATCCTTCCCAAGCCTGATATCAAACCCGGCGATGTCCTCCTCGGCCTACCTTCCTCAGGCCTGCACTCCAACGGCTTCTCCCTCGTCCGCAAAGTCGTCTCCCTCTCCGACCTCACCTACTCCTCCCCCTGCCCTTGGTCGTCCACCTCGACCGAGCAACAACCAACCCTCGGCCGCGCCCTCCTCGAACCCACCAAAATCTACATCAAATCCCTCCTCCCAGCCATCCACCTCTCCCTCATCAAAGCCATGTCACACATCACCGGCGGTGGCTTCATCGAGAACATCCCGCGGATCTTCCCCAAGCACTCTGGCCTGGGCTGTTACGTCGACGTCTCCGCTTGGTCTTTACCGCCCGTGTTCAGATTTTTGATGGAGAAGGGCGGGATCGAGCCGTTGGAGATGTGTAGGACTTTTAATTGTGGGGTGGGGATGGTGTTGGTTGTTGAGGCGGGGAAGGTCGAGGAGGTGATTAGGGTGCTTGGGGAGAGTGGGGAGAGGGAGGTGTGGAGGATTGGGGAGGTTACGGGGACGGAGGGGGTCGAGATGAGGAGTTTGGAGGGGTGGAAGGCTTAGAAACTGAAGGGTTTGTGTGAGAGAAATAAAAGAGAATGGGAGGCGGAGGGATACGAGTTTTGAATATGAGGATTTGATGGTAAGTTAGCGCAGATACATAAGTATGTTTGTAACCTAGAATGCTTTCCTCAATATCGGCGTGCGATGGCTCTCATGATACTCGTTATGACCTCGAGTGAGATGATCGTCTACGAAATTTCTCGACTTATTTCTCTTGTGTTTCTCAAGTTCGAACTTGCTCTGGGCCTTTCAAGGTGGCTCGGCATCTCCCGAAAAGATTTACAGTGGCGCAACCAGAAAGCTGGGCCACACCATCTGCCAGCCTCGACACAATTTTCAAAGTACCCAAAACACACACGCTAAATATTCCCGAGGGAGCGAACGACGCCCCATGCCCGCGCCGCGGACAAGGATAGTGATCATTATACTACTGTGACTGTCGCCCCACTGGCAACAAAAGCCCACAGCGATAATCGATAAGCCGTGACACCGAGAACGTATACGGCGATGTCGGTGAATATGTGAGTATGTGTGTGAGTGTGTGTGCGGGACAATCAATGTGTGGATGTATGTGCAGAAAAAGATGGTCAGACGACCGAGGAGGTCGCGTAACTGATATACTGACAGCGAATGGATGTTACAGTATGAAGCATCGTTTACATGTCAATGGAGTAGGGGGGTAGTAAGCGGCTGAATAGTGAAGAGGAAGCAGAAAAAAGAGGAAGAAGAAAAAAAGACGAAGTGAGGAACAGATGTGAGAGACTACAACCGTCGAGACCATGTAATTGCTTTTATACCTCCATGGAGGCCGTGCGATGATAGTGAAAGAACGGTAGAACGGTACGATGGCGGGGACGAATGGGCCGGGGAAAAAAGAGCGACAGAGGGTAAGTATGTGGAACGAAAGAGAATAAGAAAAATAGATAGACACAGGCCGATCAGAATACGTACGAAACAGTGAGCTGAGACACAAAGGCAGACAAAGAGAAGGCGAAAAGCATATCTGGGTGACAAAGTAAGCCGAGACGAGGACAGGGCCAGCAGTCTCGAGTATCAGAAAGAGAACCGAGATAGGATAAACATGCGAATAAGAAGGGGCATTGGCTGAGCGTGCGGGCGCTGGGTGGCGGGACGAGCATGAGGGTGAGGAAAGGAAACGGTGAGAAGTGCGAATCTAGAAGAAGCAATTCGACAACACAGGTGCAGCGATAGTGAGAGAGTGAGAGAGATTTGATATAAGTATGAACTTGAAACGATCTTGATGAATGCGGGGAGACGGAACCTAAACTTGCGCAGAGCAGGGAGGGGTCCGTGACGTATTGCAAATTAGCGGAAGCAAGATGTAGAGTGAATCAAGCACACCCCGGATCAGGAGAAGCAAAAGACAGAGAAAGAGCCCAACACGAGAGTGAGGAGAACTGACGAACGACCAAGTAGAGAGATAGAACATATGGAAGAAATACACGAGGCGTAATGATGCATTGTCTATGACGATGAGGGATGCGAAAAGGTTGGCTAGCCAGCCATTTTACGCCGATACAGAGACTTCCTTGGCAGCGTCGGGCGCACCGTTAGCGACGGCGGCGAACGAGACAGGAAGCTTGTTGACGACGGGCTCCTGCAGAGGGGCAGAAGTAGGTGCGTGATTCACCTCAGAGGCGGGTTTAGAGGGCTAGACAGAAGTTGAGCTCCAAGCCTAGCATGAAAAGGGCAAGCACTTACTTGAGTGGGTTGAGCCGACTCGGGAGTCTGACTGCGCGACGAGGTCGAGGTATCCCTGTAGCTATCTTTACGGGCAGGGGGAGGTGCTCGCAGGACTTGCGCGGCGGTCGGGCCTGAAAGACCATTCATATGACCGTTGATACCAGGGCTTTGGGCGGGAGGGGTCGTCGATCCACCGAGGACAGGGAACTCATCAGCGTTAGGTACGCGCTGTTTTGAGGCGATAGGCTTCACAGGACGTGGCCCATTAGTCACCGGGCCGTTAACGGGCTTCGGCACTGGTGGAAGACGAGCACGGTTGGCGGCATCGGGAGAACCACCGGTGCCGTTGGTGCCATTCACTTCTGGTCGGCGTGGAGGGACGTTGTTCTATAAAAGTATGTAAGAAAAGGTGTATATCTTCCAGAGGAAACAACGACTGACCTCACGAACGGTCAAGGCCGCAAACTTTTCCTCGATGGATCCATTCTGCTCGTGACCATTCACGCCGTTCGCGGCGTGGAATCCGTTCATGAAATGCGGGGGACGGAAGCGGCCACGACCTGCGAAGTGCGGCGGCTGGTGGGGCATGGGTGCGCTATCGGGCATAACGTGAGGGAATCGACAGTCGGACCTGAAATGAACATCGAAGATGAGTCTCGAGGCATTCACATTGAGCTATATTAGATAATCTAATTACCCATTCTTGCACCTGCCGGACGGGTAGAAGAGGCATGGAGGCTTCCTAGCGGCGAAAGGAGGTTTACGGAGACCGCTTCCTCGTCGGTGGTGGCCCATCCCATCGCGATGACCGTTCGGACCGTATGGGTCAGCAACAAGTGGTGGCGATCTCTGCATGCCGTTGACTTCCGGTGCCCTCTGAGCGGGTGGCACCGGTGGGTACTGGCTGATAGAATTCCTGCGAGGATCGTAGCCGTTGACGGACGGATTCGGAGCAGCAGTCGGCTGTGTAGGGTACATGGCCGGTGGAGACTGAGGCATACCGTTCGGCAGCGGCACGGAGTTGATCGGAGGCGGCATGGAGAGAGGAAGGGGAGCCTGACCAGACTGAGAATACGATGGAGAGATGGGAGAGATTGGGTACGGGACGATGGTAGGTGCGGGAGCACCATTCGGAGTGAACGGCGGCTGCGACGGGGACACAATCTCGGAGTTGCTTCTGGCATGGGGCATCGCGGGTGGCGACTGCATGCCAGACTGGGGAGAAAGCGGAGTCATGTGAGGCGGGTGGATGCCGTTAGGAGGCTGGGCAAATGAAGGCGGTGGCATCTGATAGAAGTTGGGGGCATAAGGAGGGGCACTCATGGGCTCATAATGAGTGGGATACTGAGCGGGAGGGGGCATGGAACCCTGGTAATAAGGCCCTTGAGGATGAGCGAACATACACGAAGCTCCATAGCGGCAGGTGGGGAAATATCTGCAGGGAATGAGGCGTGCGATCTCGGGAGGGGGAAGGTTGGACAGCTGGCCTCCATGAGACTGTTCGTCGGTGGGATGGGCAGGCGGTGCGGGCGGAGGGTAATAAGGGACCGCGCCCTCGGGAAGGGGCGGGACGGGCATGCCGGGATAATAACCGTACGGAACGGGTGGAGGCATGTAGTACCCACCCTTGGAGGGATCAACGTTGGGATCCATCGGATATCCTGGATGGGGTGGCCTGAACGCCTGTGGATTTATTCTGGCACGAATAGCTTCGATGATGGCAGGATCGGCGGTGTGCTGCTCAGGCAAACCCTGGTGGGACGAGTTCAAAGGATCGGCACCTTTCGGCAGTCGTAGAACATAAGCTCCAAGATGTTTTGAACCAGAAACAACGATTCGCACCTTTTTCCAGGAGCACCTTGACCACCTCCAGATGCCCGTTTTTAACGGCCTCGATGAGCGGAGTCATCCCATCCTGATCTAGTGCAAACGGGTGGACATGATTCAAAAATCAGTACTTATACTCAGAGTCACCGGAACAGCCCAGTAGATCGATTTACGCACCTTTGACCTCGATGTCTGCGATGGACGCCTCGACCAAAAGTTCATTGACTTTTTGGAGGTCGCCCTCGGAACAAGCCTTCCAGAGATCAGAGACCATAGCACTTGCAAGGATAAAATAGACGGTAAAGCCTAAGAAAATCCGGGGACGAGTGGGGAGATGAGGCTGGATGAAGAGTACGAAAGGAAAGCGTTGAGGATGGCGAGGACGAGGAAGGAGGAGAGCGCGAGCGCGAGTGGCCACGACCTTTCTTTCAAAAAATTGCGTGGGACAGATCGAGATAACGAGATCTGATCAGCCCATTTGAGCCTGTCATCAGGCACTTCGATCCCGCGGCCTGGCTTCCGTCGCGTGGCTTCATCTTGGCTCCGACGAATTGCGCCTGTCCGTTCATGAATTCAACAACGGCTGCCATATCCAGCGGCACAGAGGTATCGTACAAAGCATACACTTTTACGCTTCACCCAGCTTTCTCATCAGCTCCTTCAACGGCCCCCCGGTTCCTTCCGGAAGATCCACTTCTTTTTGCGGAGGAAGTTCCATCAGCGCTCGCGCTCCCTCCTCCACATTCTTTCCTGCTCATGAAACACATTTCAGTCAATCAATCTCCACGTATATCCGAGCAACGAGACTCCCATGACTTACCCTCGTACAAGACTTCATACACCTGCTCCACGGTCGCCGGTCGTATCCCTGCAGTAAGCCAGCATCTGACGAACGACGTAAATCAAGCGCACGCACCCCAGTCGCGATAGGCGCGTACACCCCAAGCTTGTCAATAATCGCCTTCAAGCCTTTAGCCGTCGTCACACCCTCGGCCACACTACCCAATGTCTTGATGATCTCATCCAATGCCTCACCCTTCCCGAGCCGGAATCCTACTGTATAATTACGACTGCTCGGAGAACTGCACGTCAAGAACAGATCCCCTACGCCGGCTAGAGACAGAAAAGTGAGCGGACTGGCGCCATATGCGACGCCGATCCTTGTCATCTCAGCAAGTCCTCGGGTGATGAGACCTAGAATAGATACAAAGAGTTACGATTTCGTTTAAGTCGAGGGCGTAGCGCTCACTAGCTCTCGTGTTATTCTCAAAGCCCAGACCCTCTCCTATCCCTGAGTTGGCAAGAGTGAGCTCAAGTATCTCGAAAATTACTCCAGATAGAGGCTGACCCGAAGCAATAGCATAAACGTTCTTTAGAGCGCCCGCCAATTCGATTCCAATGGGATCCCCGCCCGTATAGCTGTCCGTGGGTCAGAAAACACCGAGTCTCATCATTCAAACACTACGGACCATCGGAACCACGGCTGATGGAATAACTGCGAGGCTTTATCCGCATGGGCCTCGGACAGTGAGGCCACAGAGACAGAGGTGGGCTGTCGTCTCACAACTATCAATAGAATTAGGATGGTGCGAACATTCTGTGTTTCGAGCGCCTACTTTCTTTTGCGAACGAAGGACCGGACTGCAGGAATCACATGAACACGGACTGCTATGAATAATTGGTTGTATCGATTATGACAGACTCACAATGAACGTCGCACACCGTGCTATATCTTTTCCGCAGGTGTCCACGATGATCTCCAAAGTCAAAGCATGCGTGGACGTCTCGATACCCTTATTGACGAAGATTAACAACGGCAAATTCTTCTCGTCCAGGCGCGGTCGCAGTTGCGTCAGTGTCGATCTAGACAAACTTCAAGTCAGCAGCTCACCGCCAATACCCTTTCCGGATGAGGACGAACCTCACACCCTCCGTGGGTATAGCAAACAAAATGACGTCGACGGTCTTGATGAACTCGGCAGAAGGTAACTCAGGTCCAATTGCTTGCACAGAGAGCGAGAAATCGTGGTCAGTCAGGTATCGCAGATTTTTGTGGTGTTGGTTGAAGTAGTCTATGAGGTCTTCTTCGCGACTCCACATATAGACATCGTGGCTCGAGTCTCCGAGATGATCAGCCAGGCAACTCCCAAAGTTTCCTGCACCGAGTACGAGAACCTTTGACTTGCGACCAGGCGAGAGAGGTGTAGCTGGATGATGGTTCGGATTCATCCTAAAGCCTGAGGGAGATACGTATCGTGGTCGATGATGGTATTGACGAGAGAAGTATAGCGATGTGGGTGTTGGAGCAGAGCAAAGAGGATGCGGACGAGACGAGGACGTTGAAGCCGGATATAGAAAGCGATGGAGCAGCAAACTCGGGACCGCCTGGAATGTACTAGGCTGTAAGGTAGATTGGACCTGTTCCGGATAGAATCCACGCACGCGCGGAACTCTTTCGTTCGGTCTTGGACTGGCATAGTGGTGGATTTAGGGGGAAGTCGGGTATATGAATATGTGAAGAATATAAGGTTCCGAGGGTGTGCTGTAAGGGCGCAGAATGAAAGAGTGTAAAGGAAAATGGACAACGACTGAAGCGCTGAACGATGGCGGTGCCAATGAAGCTGAGGCGTGACACCCGATAGTGGAGTCGTCACAAATATCACTAACGGTGTGACGCGGAGTTATATCGCTCAGAATAGGAGGCGCTTTGCAGGGTAATGTTGTATTCCACGCCCTCCGGGCCAGACCTGTTCCTTCAGATCGAACAACGCTGGCCGCCTAATCATAATGCATCTTTGGACCAGCTTTCTCGTCAAAGATCTCTGAAAAAAAAGATACTGGCAACCCTTGCTGTGGCGAAAACGCCACAAAAGTTTAAAGCTCACAGCACGTTCACCTCCCGTTCAAAGAAAGAACCAGCACGGCATGCCCGTGGCTTGAGACATTAGAATCCTCACATGTTTGGAAGAATGTAAGCTGTAATTAGTCCACATTTGTTGGTTCGAACTTGTCAGGCATATTTGAGCGCTGCACGACGCAGGGCCCAGGCATAGTAGTACTGACCGGAACGAGACGGAAGGACCGGGACGGACCGGGAACCGAGAGTGATGGAGGACGAGTGACCGTAACAAAAATCTCGAGCGACGACTCCCAGGAAAAAGACGCCACCGCCACCGAAGAGGCGTGACGTGACGCTGTGACATAGCTCGTCTCAAGACCTGTCCTAACGGAACAGGAACTCAATGTTCAAAGTCTTGCCCTTGTACCTCCCGTGAACTTCAGTCAGTGTCTGTTCATGCTAGCTTCTCGTACGAGTTTCCCAAGTTGCACACGACAGTTCACGGGGCGCGGAAGCCAAGCAGCGTTTGCTCGATGGGAGAGGGCACAACAAGAGTGAGTTTTCGAGGATGGCGACTTCTATTGGGAAGGATATCAGTACCACGGGAATCAAGTTGACGAAGCTGGGCCAGCGTGAGTTCGTCTCGAGATAGAATTCCTTTCAGGTGCTGGCGGAAGCTGAGACAGATGTGCTCTTATAGTTGCCAAGCGGAAAACCCTGTTCGATGACAGGCCTGTCGAGATCAGTGTGCGCTTCTCTATGTTGTATTATGCATGGTCAATGGGACTTATCGCGTTTCCCTTCGAAATAGGAACTCACCTTCGTCATCAAGCAAGACATTGCCAACATCAACAAGCAGATAGCTTCCCTACAGGCCTATGTCAAACAACGCAAACTCCAGAATACCTCCAAGTCACCTGAGTCAAAACAACTGGATGAGCATAACAACAACGTCGTCATGCTGCTGCAGAACAAACTTGCGGAGACGAGTATGACTTTCAAGGACGTGCTCGAGATCCGGACACAGGTGCGTTACTGTTCTAAGCGCATAAATGCTCTCAGAAGATTCACCGCAATTTCACTCAGAACATGAAAGAGTCGAAAGACCGGACGGAGCAGTTCATGTACTCTACCGCTACTGCGGCCAACCAAGCACCTTCAAGTAAGTGCAACTGGCGAATATCCCCCTTCCATAATTACTAACGATGTAGAAACAGATTCGTATCTCTTCTCTAGCACACAGCGGGCAGATCCCATGGGCGATGGGTCCACTGGACGGTTGGACACCAAGGGCAAAGGTCGCGCCACACCGAACGGCGACATGCTTGCCCTTGACCTCGACCGAGTAGAAGAAGGTATGGCTGGTCAGAATGGCGGAGGTGCTTTCATGCAGATGCAGCTCGTAGAGCAACAGGTGCGTCATTCCCTTCTCAGCTCAAGGACAACATGTTTATAAATGTTACCACTACAGGACAACTACATTCAATCCCGGTCCACCGCTATCGAGTCCATTGAATCCACCATCGCAGAGCTCGGTCAAATCTTCAACCAACTCGCACACATGGTCGCCGAGCAGCGAGAAACTGTACAGCGAATCGACGCAGACACGGCAGATATCGCAGCCAACGTCGGTGGCGCCCAGCGGGAACTCCTGAAATACTATGCGAGCATTTCGAGCAATCGCTGGCTCATGCTGAAAGTGTTCGGCGTCTTGATTGTCTTCGTACGTGGTCCCTCCGGCATCATTGGTATAGCTACGTGGCTGACGTTTTGCATTCGTGGCAGTTCCTCGTTTTTATTTTGGTTTCATGATCTGGACTTACCCGGCCGGCGCCGTGGCTGTAGATATATACTCTCCCCTCCCATGCACTATGGACATTTCACTCGTTATGATTCTTTTGGAAAAAAGGTGTGGCGTTCCTGTGAAGCTCGTTTATACGAGGTAAGTACAACACACAAGGCCGCTCAACCGACTGGTATGGCGTTGACACCAGTTCCCTGAGGCCTTGTCCGCACTCCTCTGACCTTCTTCTTAGCATTTTTGCCCCCACGATGCGTCTCCCCGTCGTCAACATCACCCACTGTCCATGTCCGCTTCCCAGCTGAAGCCTGACCTTCGCCCGATGTGGTAGAATACCTTTGTGGCCGATCCGGGGCCACCTGCTCGCCGTCCGCTACAGCCTTCTGCATCCTCTTCTCCTACAAAATACATGAGTACTCGTTCAAAGCGTAGATTCACGTAAACGAATGAAATATGGACCCACCCTTTGAGATGCGAGCTCTTTATTCCTCGTTTGGAGTTTCGTCAGCCTTGACTCGCTTTTCCCTCCACCTCCGGCAGTGAGCTCCACGTTTATCTTTCGGCTTTCGAGTTCAGAATGGTGTAGTTTGAGGGCTTGTTGGAGGGCATTGCGACTTGTGAATTCGAGGAAGGCGCAACCTTTGGACTTTGCGGTAGGGGCACCTGGCCTTGTCTGTTTGGGTGAGAGGAGGCGGATGGTCGGTGGAGGATCTGGGGGAATGAAATCTCAGTGCGAAAACGGAGATGGAATGATAATTATAATACATACCACAGATAGCGAAATGTTGTTGGATAGCTTCTTTTGAGGTAGTATATTTGAGGTTACCTACATATGACTGTATAAGCAAGCAGAAAATAACAAGAGAAAGAAAAAACACACCAACGAAAAGGATGAACCGTTGCTTTGTCTTATCCTTTGCGTCCTCCTTTGTCCTGTCCTCGCTCCCAGCTGCTCCTTCCCCATCCGCTTTGGCATCGCCTTTTTTCCGCTTCTTTTTCCTCTTCTCATCACCGTTGGCTGCTTTCTTCCCTTCCTTCCCCTCCACCTCACCGTCTCCATTCTCTCCCTGACCTTCATCTGCCTCACCATCCCGCTTTCTCTTCTTCGACTTCGTCTCATCCTTCGTTACATCTCCTTCCTTCCTAGCCTTCTCCTTGCCCTTTCCTTTTCCCTTCGCCACAACCTCCTTAGGTTTCGAGACTTCATGCACCTCAGCATCAGCGCCAGCAGCCCCATCCGCCTCAGCTTCCGCCTCATCCAAGTTCTCCGATACTGGAACGTCGAGGATTTCGTCTTCGCGTTTGGAGGTACGAGAGCTTCCGGACTTGCCAGGTTTGCCGGATCGTTCGCGGAAGGCGAGAGCCTTCTTTTGTTTTTTGGTCAATTGTTTCGAAGAATCAGGTGGCATTGCGGGGGATAGTTATGTGGTATGTTTCCAGGATTTCGAGGAGTTATCTCTGAGGAGCGGGACAGTAGAGGAGGGAAGAGGAGGAACAATCCGGTGTGGCGAATGTAAACTTTTCTGGGCGGCGTTTGCTCCCGCGGCACCCACCGATAGGCACCGATCACTCGGCGGCCCACGTTGCCACCACGGTGGCGGGGATCACGACACGCTGTTTTGTGTCTTGCAGACTTCTCCGACGACAACGACGTCCTGTGACTGTCGTCTACAAAAGCGTCGAAACGTTCCTCCGCGCTTTCGCCATTACCAGACCCTGCTCACCACATGGGAACGACCCGACGACGACTCACTTTATGAATGATCCTAGCGGTCAAAAGCTTCAAATGTCCTCCATTCGTGATGAGCTCATCTTCCCCCAACTGCTATGGTAATTCATATATATATATATTGGAGACTGGTGGTTGAAACTGGAGCCCTTCATGGATTCCTTCATTGACACGTTGATTACTCGACGCGAGCTGGGTAGCGCGCTCGAGCGGTTGGGTTTCACCAACCGCGGTGCCATCAGAGGGGTTCGCATGCGGCGAATAAGAGAAGTGGTCCCTGTCGTATTTCGTGGTAAGTGGGTAAAGGGTAAATCGGGTCTCGTACAAGAATTGTCGGAGGATGAGCATGACAATATCGTTTGCGGTCGGAAGCTCAGAAACGGCTGGACACGAACTTCCCGATTCGGTGGGACAAGTTGTATATCGTGATCGTTTTCTGTCTTTCGGTTTTACCTTCTTTTTTGTAGAACGATCATGGCCGTCCTCTTTTCTGGTCTTCTCGTTGCTGACATTGTGGCGGGCATTGTGATGGGCGGGCTTCAATGGGAGATAGATGCACTAATATGACATGGGGTACAGTTGCAATGCCATGTATCTACGTTGAACATGTTCTCTGAGTGGACAGGAGGTGACTGAGCAGAGGAGGCATACGGATATCTTGACTGTGTGGCGCAGACTCGGATGGTTGTGTTTTGTGCCCACGTGGCGCTGTTTAGCGCGTCGCGTCGCGTCCTTCAAATCTGAATTCATTCTTCCGTACCGCCTTTCAAGCACGTATACTACTACTTACACTCTCCTACACCAGTACTTCCTTCAAAATGTCCACTCGTCGTAGAATTGGAGTCAGTATTGCAACGTCGGAAGCAGCACGCCGCCAGCTCATGCAGGCCACGCCCTGCTGGCAGAAGGTATGGGCCTTACCGGACAATGCACCCCAAGGCTCGACGATCAAAGTCTTCAAATGGGTCAAAACCAACAAAATACAGGTACGTATATCTCATCCTTTTTTATGGATGAGTTCTCATCTTCCGAGCCTTGGTCGTAGCAATTCAGCGACGACGAAGGAGACGTGGACGAGCCGCTGGCTCCGCTTCCGGATGAGCCAGAGGTGGTAGAAGGGGAGGAGGAGGACCAGGACGAAAAGGAGGAGAGTACACCGGCTCTTGCACCGGATGTTTCAAGGGATATTTCTGAGCTCCCTCCGGCTTCGAAGGAGGAAGAGTCTCCTTCCAAAGCCCCTTCACCGAAACCTCACCCATTATCCATGTCCTTCCAGCCAAGTGGTCTCTCGGCAGAGCAGACGGTCGACGACCTCGACAACCCGCTACAGCCCGACATGGAGTCCTCAGACAATAACCTCGATATTGGAGAGACAAACCTCACTATGGGTGGGGAGCAGGTCGACGAGGGAGAGACGTTGATATTGGGAACGCCGCAAGACATGATGGGTAGTGATCTTGACCTTGGAGTGCCGGAGGGCGCAGGAGACGGGTTGGATTTGGATTCTGCGATGAATGTGGAGGGTGGGGAGGGGTTGGACTTGGATTTGTCGGGGCTGGGGCCGGATGGAGAGGCGTTTGAGTCGGCACACGATTTGTCGCAGATGGAGCCTACCGATGCGATTATGGGAGGGACTATGATGGATGACAGTATGGATCCTTTCGCGACGGAGCCAAGCTAGGGGTGAGGAGGGGTATTGTTAGGAGTTGTGCGCTCCATGTCGGGTGAGTGCCTGTCACTGTTCTGTTGGTTAGGCTATGCCTCACACCCTTGTACTTTCTAGTGTATCTTGAGTTATTGTATTCATATTCTTCGTGTGGTATGAGTTGATGGCATGGTGTCAGGACTTGACTTCCTCGCAACAAGGTCGATGCATGTCTGAAGCGTCCTAACTGGCTGCAGCGACCAGCAGCTACTCCCTTAGAGTTACCGATTCGGGTTGTGTCCCAAATCGGCACCCTCAACCTTGCCTCAACCCTTCTCGAGCGACCTAAGTCTACCACTTGCCGGCGGCGTTATGACCTACCAATTTGTATCTAGACGCACCATAACAAGAAGCCCGGCGGGCAAGTAGCCGCATGTATCACGACATATTATGGTCAGGGCAAACAATGTTCAGCCTTTCGAAAGGCCTGTCTTTCTCTGTGGTTCTGCCGGCTGAACCAAGTTATTCCGGCGAACTTCTAAAGTGTCTATCGAGAACTTGTGAGACAGGGTGATTGGTGGGAAATCACCACTGGCATGGGGTTTGCGTTTCGTTCCGAAGAATTTCAACAAGATCCGCTCGGAAGCGCTCAACTGGGTATGTTTCAACCATTCAGAAGCAGGTTGTCTCGGTGAGCTGCATGCGTAGTGCCCGAGAGCATGCAAAAAAAGGAAGGGAGGGTTTCTTATACTGCGAGATCCGTGTATCACGATGCTCTCGCAAGTTTCCAAGCGACCCCCGATACAACTAGTTCTCTCTCGATCGACAGCGGCTTATATAAAGGGCATTGCGCTGCAAGTTCCGTAAGTTCCTTTCCCCCCTTTTCCCTCCCACATTGCACCACTCGTAGACTCGATATGACCGAGTTTGAATCACCTTTCGGTCCTCTTCCTCACATCCCGGATGATGTTACCCTCCCTCAGTTTCTTTTGGATTCCACGCACCCTCGACGACCGGTACGCAAGGAGGGAATTCCATGGCTCATCGAGGATGCCACTGGACGGAGGATTGGATTTGAGGAGGTGCGTGGGGGCAGCAGTACGGCCCCTGTCAACATTATCCTCATGGAGTTACCCCGCAATAGATTCGCGCTCGTGTAGACGGTCTTGCAAACGCGCTAAGTCTCAAATGGTCAATACGTACGTTGTTTGAATACATGTCGGGTGCCGACTCGAACTTTTGACCGATACTTGTTGGTTCTCTAGGGGAAGACGAAGTTGGTATGTTGCTAGCCTACACTAGCACTCGCGCAAATTCAGTGCTAGTTTCTGACCTGTTTAATATACACAAGTCTGCATCTTCAGTCCAAACCATGTCGGTATGTCGTTCCGTTCGAGTCCGTTTGTCTTTTGTGCTGCAGCCTTACGACAGTGTGGCAGACTATCCCGTCGCAATCTATGCGGTACATAGGCTGGGTGCGATAGTCACGTAGGTTCCAGGTTCTCCTCTGCTCGACTACGTTGATTCTCATCTCTTCCATCTTCTGTGGAACGCAGGGCTGCAAACCCCGCGTACAACGCAGCCGAGCTTGAATATCAGCTGTCCACGACAAAAACTGTCAGCATAATCGTCCACCCCGCCTTCTTACCGGCAGCATTAGAGGCCGCGTCAAAATGTAGCATTCCAGCCGAGCGTATCATTCTTCTCAGTGATTCGCAATCATCGAAGTCGAAGGACGTGCATCCCCACCTGGACGACCTTATCGCCTACGGCCTGAGTCAGAAACCGAATTTCGTGGAGCGCAGGCTGGCGAAGGGCGAGGCAAAGACAAAGCTTGCGTTCCTGTCATTCTCGTCCGGGACGACAGGTAAACCCAAGGTTCGTCTGGTCTCTGCGGAATATGTTCCTCGCAGGTGCTGATGGTTGCGACCCAGGCCGTGGCCATCCCGCACTATGCTCCCATAGCCAATGTCCTCCAAATGACGCCCTCGCAAAAGGTACGTTTAATATAACACAAAGGCTGGTAAACGTAGAATTCCTGAAAGCAGTTTCTATTGGGTTCGAAAGCTGAACGAAAACTATACATCGTGGGACAAGCAACGATACAGGCCGGGAGATGTCTGCTCTGCAGGTGAGTCTTACTTTGTCTTCTACAATTCTGGGCCTGGTGATTGACTGTTTTCTCCCAGTGTTACCGTTTTTCCGTAAGCATTCTGCCTCTTAGCTACGCGTCGGTTTATTGATATGTATATAACAGACATCTATGGTCTTGTTGTGAACGTAGGCTGACTCAGGTCCTACTTACAATGGATGACATCCTCTGACCTTACGTTTCTATAGATGAGCTTCATGTTATTCGCAGGGGTAAGACACGCTTTGTAGTCTCTCTCGATATTTACTCACCATATCATGTATCCGGCATAGTTAACGCTTGTCGTCATCTCGAAATACGACCATGCCAGATTCTTAGAAAGCATTCACAAGTACCGCATAACTCATTTACTGTCAGTTTTTTTTTTTTGTGTTTTTTTGGCCATATCTCTGATCATCATGTTCTTCAGAGTCGTCCCTCCCCAGGTCGTGTTGCTCTGCAAGGTTCGGACCTCTTCATTCTCGAATGCTCTCTCGCGGGCTCACATCGCGAACAGCATCCTGCGACGAAGAAATACGACCTTAGCCACGTCCGCTTCCTCATGAGTGGCGCAGCACCGCTGTCCAAGGAGCTCACACAACAGTTACTCAAAGTCCTGCCAAACGCAGAGATTGGCCAGGGTTATGGTACGTTTATCACCGCCATTCTGTATCTGACCGACTTCAAGTCCTGACGATATGCGCCAGGTATGACGGAAACGTCGACGACTATCTGCATGGTCCCTTGGAATCAGAGGATCGGCACGTTGGGCAGTGGAGGGCAGTTTGTCGCTGGAATTCGCGCAAGGGTGCTGAAAGAGGATGGTTCGCTGGCGACGTATGGCGAGCAGGGTGAATTGCATGTTTCGGGGCCTGCTATGGCTTTGAGGTATTCCAATAACCCAGAGGCGTAAGTCGTTTCCTTGTGTTGTGCATGTTTAGTCTGAACTAACCGTTGGTCTAGGACGAATGAGACTTTCGTCGATGGGTACGTTGCTTCATCTGGATGACTTATTCTGGCTCGGACTAATGTTGTCTCCTCTACAGCTGGGTCCGCACAGGTATGCCCAATGAGCTATTTCATGGGTGATAGTTAATCTAGGGTAAAATAGGTGATGAGGTCGTCATTGACAAGAATAACGATGTCTATATCGTCGACAGGCTGAAGGTTCGTCTACTCTCATTCTGGCTCCAAAATCTTGATATGTTTCTAATCTATTGCTCATTTCTGAAACAGGAAATCATGAAAGTCCGTGGCTTCCAGGTAGCCCCAGCCGAGCTCGAAGGGCACTTGTTACAGCACCCCGCTGTTGCGGATACCTGCGTCGTGGGCGTGCCTGACGAGTACAGCGGCGAGGTCCCGTTGGCTTTCGTCGTTCTCCATCAGGAGATAGCGAGAAAGGCAGCATCAAACTCAACTGAAGCGGCGAAGCTGAAGGAGGATATCAAGAAGGTGCGCAGTCACTGTCTCTTTCCAGGTGACGCCGACGTAAACGGAAATTGATGTTCTTTCTCGATAACGTAGTGGGTCACTGACCATAAGGTGCACTACAAGAAGCTTGCTGGTGGTGTTGAGTTTGTGGACGTTATACCCAAGAACCCGAGTGGGAAGCTGTTGCGGAGGTTGCTGAGAGATAAGGCGAAGGAGCTTCGTGTGCCTGTGAAGGCGAAGCTATAAACTCAGAGAGACGGTGGTTGTGGACGGATTCTGAGCATTGCTGCATGTATAACGCATTTACCAACTATTGGATGGAACTCACCACCATACGACTGCTTTCACTAAAAGCATACAAACTGAAACCAAAATATTCAAGCCTTTTCGGTGGCGTAAACATATACTAGTATCTTGCTGTGTGGCCCCGCTTAGGTAAGAAAAGGCGAACCGCCTCGCCGCCAACGCGTCTGCCTCCAGATTTTTCCAAGTCGCGTTGCGTTTCGTGTTCCAATGGTCAGACGCATCCCGACCCAGGTGCACCAACAGGCCTCCCGTCTTCTCAAGACAAACTTCATAAAACGAGAACCAGCATGGTACAGAGCCGTCCTTGACAACCCTCCTCTCCCTCTACCCGCTCGCGCACCACCACGGCGAACGGCCTTCGACGCACCTACGTCCAAGCCTGGCCTCCCTCCGAGAAAAACTCCAGGTCCAAAACCGCTGCCTATCACCTACATAGAGGATGAGGTCCGAAGACAGTTCTTTAGAGATCACTCGTTCGAGACATTTCGTCCGGTGAGCTTGGTGGAGGCAGGAACTATTGAGGAGGAGAACCCGATTCAAGGGGAAATTTGGACGAGGCTTCGTCAGAGAGGGCGGAATCCGAGTCCTGAAACGTATGTTTCGTGTGAATCGTTATTATCCTGAGACTTAGAACTGACAACCGTTATTCCGCTCTGTTGTTAGTGCTGTCCGGTTCGCTGTGAACCTCCACGTCCACCACAGCTTTCCCCTCACAGAAGCCTACTCAACTGCCATCGGTCAATTCCGCGCTCTCCGCTCAGAACAACACATCGCCACCGCCTTCGCAGCCCAAGAGGCCGAAGCCTACGGCGCACTCTTCGGTCCCTCCGCCGTACAGCGCGGGTTCGCAAAGGAGGAGCGTGTGTTCGCGAAGAACAAGATGAAGCAGGAGGAGATTGACGAGAAAGAGTTGACGGCGAGGAAGCGTTGGCGCGCGATTGTGAACAGGGGAGGACACATCGGAGAGTGGAGCAAGGGAGAGCAGTATGTGAGGTTATGGAAGGAGGGTCTGAGGCCGGATTATTCGCCTCAGTTGACGGCGCCGATACAGGAGGCTCCGAGCAAGTATGATATCGCAGCGTCGCCGGATTACATGGGTCTCAAGCGATAGGTCGTTTTTGTACCCGCTGCTTTCCCTTATTCCACTCTCTTATCCGCCCACTCTACTCCTCAACATCGCGCCACGAAGTTCTGTGGACTTTGAAGATGCGAAGAAAGGTCCATTACACAACTACAGCTACATACAAAAAATCATGCCTTAATCTTCGACTGTGCCGCCTGGGCAGCGTTCATCTCCATCCACGTCTTCTCCACGAACCCGAGCAGCTTTTGCATGTCTGAACTCCAGTCGTTCATGACGTCCTCTGCGCTACGCTTGTTGCGGAAGTTGATGATCCCTGCTGGACGGTCGATACGCGCCCAAATCGTCCCTGAGACGACGAGACGACCAAGTGTCTCTTCTGCTTGTTGTGCGCTGAGATCAAGGAGGGAGTTGAGACGGGTAAGGGTGATGCGGGTGTAGTATTTGGCGATGACGCGGATGTTCTGTGAACAATTAAAACACAACTATCAATACCAAGTAACATGAGAAAAGGGTTCAAGTCATACGTGTTCGATGACCCGAGTATGGAGGTCCTTCCAGTGCTTTTCCTCCTTGAACGTTTCCGTTTGACGGAGGAAGGGGCCATAGATGGACTCGATGCCGGGCCACCTCATCAGCTCCGTCGTGGTAAACGACTTGACAAGGTTGCTGCAATATCGTCAGTGACCCTGTCCAGAGACAAATACAAGTATCACGTACTAGTGCAGCTCGAGTTTTGTGAGAGCAGGATCCAGGAATAGCCGGTGCATCATATCTGACTGCTCATTGTCGTGTGGCGCCAGAACCACGAAGTAGACAATGTGTTCGAGGGCCTAAATGAAGGAAATGTCAGTGTTGAGCCCAATACTTCATGGAAGAATCGACCTACTATTCGGCCCTTGCCACTAACATCCTCTTTGATTGTTGGTGTCTCCCAAACCTTGTAGTAGTACTTGGCGACGTCGAGGTAAGCAGTGTGGCGGAGGCCGTGTTGGACCATCATGTCGTAGTATTTGAGTTTGAGATCCTACGAATAACTCAGCATGGACTAGATAACTCAAACAAAAATTGGAACACACCTCATTTTCCTTCTCCTTCAAGAACTCCTCGTTGACCTTCCTACTCCCGACCCGGACCTTCACCCATTCACCCTCTCCGCCACCCATAGCGTCCTTGCCGTCCTTCCCACTCTCTGCATCCTTCAGTCTCGCCACAGCGATCAGCAACCTCATCTGCTCCAGAATAAATTCTGTCTTCTCTCGGCGCTCCATGGAGGAGTATGTCTCGACTTGCAGGTCAGATAAGAGGTCAGATGCAGTGATGAAGGCTTCGCGAGCCTCGGGAGAAGTTGCGGCGCCAGTCGAGGCGAGAGATTCATGATGTTGAGCGAGAAGAAGAGTGACGCGCGCTCGTTGTGTTTCCAAAAAGATCTTATGTATGGTGTCAGCGTCATTGACATCGAACAATCATCATAACAAAGCACGTACCTTTCCCTCCGTAACGGCACGCAGAGTCTCAAGAAGCTCAAGCCACTTCTCCAACCCATCCCGCTGCTTGATCTCCTCCAACCAGCCCATAGCGAGCTCCACCATCGCCTGAATGGAAGCCTTGAGCTGGCCCTGTTTCTTGCTCAGCACATTGATACTCGAGATCAATTGTTTGTGGTCCCGTGCGGCGTAGCAAAGTTCGAGGATGGCCGTTACGAGACGGGTGGTAGACTTCAAGTCTGATGCCTACATGGAACCTACAGGTAAACCCTTGGCCACGAAGGAGAAGATAATGAAGCATACATTTCGTGTTTGTTTCTCGAGCGCAAAGAGCTTTTCGAGTGAATCCTGTAGCTTCCCTGACTTTTGAACAACATCGGTAAGCTTCACGCCGCGCGTCCCTCAACGAGTTTCATCTATGCCACATACCTCAGCCAGTGACTTCGCCTCAGGCAAAGCCTCGTCCACCTCTTTGGTGTAATCCTTTTCTTGCTTCTTCGGTTCAGACATGTAGTATTCGTAGATGTATTCGTGGGCGGTGTGTGGGGGTCTGGAGGGCGCAGGGGATGAGGACGATGACGATGAAGCAGAGTTTGAGCTGTGGCTGGCGGCGCGTACGCGTCCTCGCGATTCAATCGCGTTCTCAGGCGCCGAGGCGTCGGTCCTGTCAGCTCGGACGACGCCGAGCGGACCAAGTTCGAGCGGTGTGTCGTGCGCTGGTGTGGCGCCCTGCGATGGGGGTTGAAAGTCGGTCGTATTTGTCAGGTCGTCAAGTTCGTGGTGCGTATAAGTAGTGTTATCGTGAATAGCGTTAGATGAGTTCGTGTCCGTTCGTATGACAGTCTGAGCAGTGTCCTGCGTCCAGCGAGAGCACCAAAACCATACAGTAATCGTAAGTAAACGTGAAGATCGTACGTGATGACGGAGAGGATTATACACAGACAGGGGAGATCGCGCCGTTCATCCCCACTCCCAATCCCATCCCTGTCGCGGGCCTCTCATACTCCTGGTGAGCATGAATCCCTTCCTTCTCCCTCTCCTTCTCCTGGTCGTTCTCCTCCGTCGGTGAGCCCACCTCCATAACTTCCATCGCATGGTCCTCTCCTCCGTGACGTCCATTTTCTTGTGGATGATTTATCTCTTGTTGTTTTCTGTGTCCACTGAACGGAGCCGGAGTCATAGCCCAAATCTCACGAGCGACGGATGTCATGAGATTAGGCCCGAACATCATCGTCCTCCACGCAAGGGATATGGCCCCACTGACCGCCTGAGGGACGTACAGCTGCGGGATGTGCGGCAATCCAGGTAGTCCAGGTACGTGCAATTTTGGCTCTTCCTTCGATGGCTCCGGCTCCGGCTCGACGATAGCGTGGATATACTTCGTCTCCGTCGACACGACCGCGCTGATCTCCTTCGACTCCACGGCCGGCGTCGCATCGATTTCTTCCTCCTCGACATCCGGAACGGCATCGACCTCCATCTCCGCATACTCAGGCATCGCCTGCACCTCCATCTCCTGCACCTCCGGCATGACCTGTATTTCTTCCTCCTGCACCTCCGGCTGTACCTGTATCTCCTGATCCACATTCACACGGTTCACGACGGCCATGACCCCCCTCTCCCTCGTCCTCACCGTCGCATCGACCGCCTTATTGTACCTCGCAGGAGGTAACGGCGAGCGATACACCGCCGCCTTGCGTTCGACGAGCCGCATAGACTGCAGATGGGGCAACATCTCCGAGACACGCATCCAGCCCTGCGAATGCGTCTCGATGAACCCCGGCCTGTTCCTCTCATGGAACCACTTCAGGTTCTCGATATACGGCGAGAGATGCGACAACAATATCGAAGCCTGGAGCGGATCGCGGATCCAGGAATGTCCCATGTGGAGCTTGAAGAGCGAGCGGGAGGAGACGTCCGTGTGCGCGTAGATGGTCTCGTTCCCGGCGGGGAGAGCGTTCACCACGACTGCGAGAGTGTGCAGACGGCGACATTTCGCGGTTAGCGGGGCGAGTCCTTCGAGTGTGAGTTGTGGAGGGCCAGAGGCGATGGGGAAGCGGGCGAAGGGGGAGAGACGGAGGATTTCGAGGTTGGGACAGGCACTGGCGATGCGGTATATGTCCGAGTTCGAATAGATCACTGATTCGGGGAGGTCGATCTCCAGACGTTGAAGAGACGGCAAGCTCGAAATCCCATCCATCGCGAGCCTCCTCGCGCTGAACTCCGCCCTCGCCGTCGAACGAATGAGATCATTAAACCTCGACACGCTGCTCGCCGAGACCTTCAGCGACTGCAACGAGTCCCCGAACGAATGACACAAAAGCGCACAGAGCTCCTGCCAGTCCGCCCTCTCGAACGGATCCTCGACGACGAGCTCGAGCTGCGCGAGCGGAGTCGCCAGGTGCCTCAGGAACACGACGATATTCGCCACCTCGCCCGTAAGGTGCAAATGCCTCAGCGCCCCAAACGCACCCACGATCGGCCCCCTCGTCCCCGTCCCCTCCTCCGTCAACCTCAACGTCGACCGCTTAATCTCCGTAAAATCAATATCCTCGCCCGAAAACACCCCGCTATCCGGCGAATCCGGACTATCAGGAGTGTCGTACCCCGAGCCGCCAGCCCCACCCACCACCTCGATATCATCAAAGAACCCCTCGACAGCCGTCATCGACCTCCCCGTCAGATCGACCTGCAAGCTCCTCAACGCCCCCAACTCGGACGCCCACCGTCCCACACCGGGCGAAAGCGCACCAGGCGCCATGAGCGCGACCCGTTCCAGCTCCGTCTGCGGCCTCAACAGCCTCGCGAAATCGTCCGGGAGGCTGCTCGGCGAGCTGATCGACAACGAGGCGAGCCGCGTGCGCATGGAGAGGTCGGTCAGGAAGGCGCGCAGTTGTGGGAATTTCCCACCGAGCTCGAGGACTAGGTTTTGCAGGTCTGGGTTCAGGAAGAGGTGCGCGCGGTCGAGGCCCGCGGGCGTTTCGGCGCGCCAGATGAGGGTGGTGAGGTTGGGGAGGATGTACGTGCGAGGACGGTATTCTTCGATTATGGGGAAGATGGAGGGAGAGATGGATTTGGAGGATTCGTCGTAGGTGAGACGACGGACGCGGGAACCGTATTCGAGGATTTTGGACCAGTCTTCTTCGAGTGGCATGATGGCCTACATACATAAGTTAATTTCAGTTCACTAAGCCAGAGAATTCACAGAAAGAAATGGAAACGCACCAAACCCAAACCAGGACGACGAGACCTCTTAAACAAATGATTCGGAAACTGAGTAATCAGCGGAAGAAGCGAATCCAGCTCCTTCCACAGCATATCCAACGCCGGCTCACAAAACGCCCTACACGTCCTCGCGATCCTCGACAGCGACCTCTTCCCGCCCGGAGAATCGGTCACATACTCGAGCAACTTCCTCGTCGCGTCTGCGTCTCTGAATATCGTGGGGCCCATCGCCTGATGATGCACGGAATACGAAACGTAAGAGGATTGGGAGGCGTTAGATCTTTGGCGGCGGAGGCTGTTCGATTTGGATTTGGATTTGGAGGGGAATAGACTGTTGATGCTGCCGCGGGAGGAACGACGGAAGAGCGGGTTTGGGAGGGAGATGGAGACAGAGGATACTTTAGAACGGACGCGGTTAGCCCAGCTGGTGGTGGTGGGCGGCGTAGAAGATGAAGACATGGTGCGAGAGGGAGGGGGCGGGACAGAAATACTACCCCTTACAGCGCATACGTGCGTTACACGCAAAGGACACGCACGGCAGGGCTGGGGTTAGCTCCGCCTTGGGCCATCGAAACATCGTGAAGGCCACACTTGTGATAGACTGGGATCGCGAAGGCCACGGCTGTGACTGAGATCGCGGAACGAGGACCTTAGACGGATAGAAATGGACGACGATGCACCGCAAAGGACGACGGCTGGACTCGGCTGGAAGGGTCAGAGTAGTGCGTGTGGCCCACCTGGACCACAATGCGGAGTCGACGCGCCACATATCCATGAAGGTGAGAAGATTAGACAGGGAAACATGGGCGGTGCGCATCTAGGAGGAGATGCAGGCAGGGTTCATCTGCACGATTGGTGTTCATCTAAGAGAAGAAATGTGGGGTCCGTGCGGCTGTCAGTGATCAGAATGTTTGCCTCACGCTTCAGAATCATCGTCCTATAAATGTTCTCCTAACACGGTCCTGGACCTATAAGCGTCCTCCTGACGTTGTAGAGTTATATGCATCCCATAAGCAGAGAGCTCATCATCTACTGTATCCTGCGCGGCCCGTAAGCAGTGTATCATAGTGCAGCAGAAACGCGGTTTAATGAAGCAGGCCCGGCGGTTCAGGCAACTGAAGGGGAGGGGACGTGATGCACGAGGATAACACGCAATCATCGCTTCGCCGCCTTGTTATAGCCAAAAGCAAAAACCGTAAACGCACAACCATCATCGGTATCGCGCATCTCAATCAAAACATGACCACATAAGAGTGAAGGAACACGACAAGAAACACGATAAAGGCGCGGATAAAGCCCGAGCATAAAAGACGAGCAAGTCTATCTAGACACTAGACAAACCACCCCTCGAATCGAATCTCGATCAATCCTCGCAATGTGTTGCAACGCGGATTCAACGGTCCTCGTCCTCGCTAGATCAACGCCTGGATCATCATTGCTTCTCCAGAGAGCAAGGGGAGAGGGGGGAGGGGGGACCAAACGATGGCACGCCATCGCGCATCTCAATCGAGACAATTGGCACCCTCTCGTCATCGCGCATCTCAATATAAGATTCAATATTTAAGAGTGAAAGTGAAAGAAGAGGATAAGAGAACACGACCACGAACACGACCAAGCTCAAGCCCGAGGAAAAGTCTGTCTTGTCTAGACTTTGAACATTGACCATCGGACAAACGCCCTTCGAATCTCGCAATGCAACGCGGAATCGACGGTCCCCGGTCCTCGCTAGTTCGTCATTGCCATCAGCGAGCAGGGGGGGACCAAACGATGATAAAATAATGCACAGAGCAAAAGAGCAAAAGAGCAAGAGACGACTTTGACTTATAACAAGAACACAAAAAACGAACCTATATCCCTTCATCTCCGAGTCCACAAACCTACATACCAGTGTCTCCCTACCTCAAACTCGTTCCAACCCTCCAACCTCGTATCCGTTCCCTCTCTAGTCCCCTCCATCCCTCAAGTCCTCCATCTCTAAAGCTCCCCAACCTCCCACGGAACCGGCTCCCCCTCCCAATCCCCATCTTCCTCCTCCACCTCCACCCTCTCCCTTTCCCTCTCTTCCCCCTCCCCTCCTTCCCCCATCTCATCTCCCTCCCTTTCCCACTCCCCCATCCCATACCCGTCCATCTCCCCCATCTCCCCCATCTCATCCTCCCCCTCAACCTCCCCAACCCCCCAAACCTCCCCTCCCCTCCCTCCCTCATATCCCCCCTTCCCGCTCAACAACCCCCTCACCAGCCCTTCCTGCTTCCTATCTCGCGCTCTGGCGCTACTTTTGGAGGGTGAGATGGCCAGGAGACGAAGGAGGTGATCGGGGAGGGAGATGGATATCGGGGCGTCCGAGGTGGGTGCGTGTTGTGCAGAGTTTTGGGTGGGATGGGAAGAGGAAGCGACGAGGGCTGCGCGGGAAATGGAAGCGAAACGAAGGATGGGATCGTCGATGTCGATATCCGAGCCTTCACCAGTCCCAGTCCCCATCCCGTTCTTACCACTCCTACTCCGAAGCCCCTGTTTCTGCCACCTCCATTCCCGGACCTGTACATTATCCATCCCGTTCTCCTCTGAACTCTCGTCCTCATCTCCATCCCTCTCCCCATCCCCGTCTCCAGCGTGGTCGTGGTCGTGTTCTATTCCTAACTTGACTTTCTTACGCCCCGGACCCGCGGCTTTGTATTTCGATTTTGTGGAGGAGTATGGATCTGGGTGTGTAGCGGGGGGAGGAGAGGGTGGAAGGAGCTGTGATTGGAGTTGGAATTGAGAGTGGAATTGAGAAGGGGTCGGGGTGGGACGCGATGATGATGCTGAAGCTTCTGGTTCGTGCGAGGAGTCGGGGTGGGCGCGTTTGACGGAGGTCCGACGATTCGAGTTAGATATGTTAGCGGAGGTGGAGGTGGAGGTGGGGATGGATGAGGAGACCTTCCCCTTCGTAGGTTCCTCGGACGTCTCAGCAGCGGTGGCGAGAATGGCATGCAAGTTATTCATCTTCCCGAATGAGAACCCATTGATATGTGCGTGTGCGTGTTTTTGTCTCGTGCGTTTCGTCTCCTTCTTCCCATCCATCTTCCCGTTCGTGTTCGTCTTTGTTTGGGCAGCCACCTTGCCCTTTCCCTTTCCCTTCACATTGCCAGAATCCTGGACAATTCCAAGTCCAAGTCCAGACTCCTCCTCCTCCCCCGAAGAGCCAGAAACACTCCTGCTTCCACTCCTGCTTCCGCTTCTTCCGCGTCGTGATTGTGATTGAGAACTAGCCCCGAAGATATTCCCGTTCCCGTTCCCGTTCCCATTTCCACCTCTCGTAAACGCGCGCCGCAAGTCCCCCAATTTCGGCATAGACTTGCTTGCGAGAGGTGTAGCAGCAGGTTTGGAGGATGCGTTTGCGGAAGGCACTGTGACAGCGAGTTCGTCCACGTCTTCGAATATAGGAATGAAGTTCGCGCCGCGGGGAGGGGGCTTGAGCGGTGAAGGGGCGATGAACGACGAAGAGTATCCTGGGCCCTCTCTCTCTCCCTCTCCCTTTCCCCCACTCTCACCTTCATCGCCATCACTATCACTATCAGGAGCCCCCAAAAAGTCGAGCTTGCGGAACGGCTTGGTATTGGCATTGCCGGTGATCAGAGAGGACGAGAAAGAAGAGAAAGAAGAGGAGAGAGAGGAAGAGAGTCGTTGTTTCTTCGGTGAAGGCGAGACGAGTTCGCCGCGGAGACGTTTGCGCGCTTTGGATATTGCGTGATTGAGGGTTGGATCGCCTAGTCCGAGTGATGTGACCGTGGAAGAAGAGGGTTGGCCTTGACGTTGAGAGATAGGGGGGAAGAGGTCTGGAGAGGGAGATCTTGAATGCTCAGGTTCAGGTTTACGAAGCGAGGCGAAAGGATTAGGAAGTCTACGATCGACTTTCGCAGAAGCAGCATGTGCATGCGATCGTTGGGCTTTCGACTTGTCTTTCACGGGAGAGAACGGGTTGTTGGTACTCGAGACGGGTTGGGTGGGGACAACTGCGCGTGATTTGGGGAGGATGGAAGAGGTCGTTGGTGGACGGGGAACGGAACGGGGTGGGGTGCTTGGTGGGATCGGGTGTTTGGGAGTTGGTGCAGGAGCAGGAGCGGTAGAGGTAGAAGCAGATTTTTCGGCTTTGGATAGTTTTTTGTAGAGTTTGTATCTGTCCGCTAGAATCGCGAAGTGTGATGATGAGTGCATAAGGGTGATGAGGTTGAAGAAGAACTCTAAACTAAACGACACGTACCCATCCCGGCGGATTTGATATCGTCGACAGAGGGGTCTTTGCCATGCTTGGTCTTGAAATCGCGTTCGAAAGCCTTGAGTTCAACGCGTACGGCAGCGGCGTCGGTGCTCATCGTGGTTGAGAGTGAACGTCGTGTGGAACTGAGAGCGCGCGAGAGACGCGAAGGGCTTGGCGCGTCGGCAGGCCACGTGGGCGCGAGGACTGTGAACCAAAAACAGCGGACAAGGCGTGGGCCTGTGAGGCGGTGGGTGATTGTGTTCGGCGTTGCCGGTGAAGTCGCTTTGACCTTTAACGTCTCTCTCTCGCTCGATACCCTTCTCAATCACGAACAGACGCTGCGCTGGCGCATGCACGATCTCTAGCATTATAATAAATAGCATATATATACTGATACCCGACAGCGACGGTTTAAGAGGCCCGCATGGCCGCATATGTCCCTCACCCACCTCGTCCTCGTCCCTCTGACGCCCACATCCGCCCACCTCACAGGCCGGCCTCGCTGCACTCCTCTGCCAAGCGATCCCCTTCCGCCACCTCCGACTGGTTCGACGCCCCGTCCTCCGTGCACAACGACCCCAGCCTCGCCTTCATCCCACCCGTCCCCCGTCTCGTCCTCGACCACGCAGAGCCCATCCCTCGTCCGCGCACGACCCCGCCAGAGTCCACCCAGGACGCGATGCCACTCCGCAAAGGCAAAGGCCAGCACCTTCCCTCCCTCCTCGGCACCCTCTCCACCACCACTGCCAACGACCCCGCTTTCTCTTCCAACCCCTCCTTCAACCCGCACTCTTCCAACGATGCCTTCCTCAAACCACCCCCCACACCCCAACGAGGCCGCACCCCCGAAACGCGCCGTTTCTCCGAACTAAGCCTGCTCCCCTCCCCCGCCTGGGACTCCCGTCCGTCCTACACTAGTACTCCCCACCCTTACCTGAACGGCCTCCAGGCAGTCCCCCTATCCGATCACGATCTCGCCGCCACCTCCATCGGAATGATGGCCATCTCCTCTCCCTCTTCCCACACCTCCTCCTCCGGCTCCTCTTCGTGGTCTTCGCACGATAGCTCAGAGATACTCACCCCTGTCGATACAGCTCCGGTCGTACAGGATGCAAACACGAAGGCTCAGAGAGGTCGTCTTCCACCGGCTTATGTCGCGGACCCTAGTGCCGATCCTGCGTCGAGCGCCCATGCTAATGCCAACAACTCTAATCCTGGAAACTCTGCCTCTGCCTCTGTTTCTCCTTCTGCGACTTCCGCTCAACGACCTCAGAAACAACGCAAGAGAACGTCCAGTCGTCCCCCGCCGGCTGAGATCACACCCATAGAAGAGCTGGAGGAAACGACGTCGATTCATCGGTTGCGACATACGCCTGAACCTGAACGGAATTATCGAAGTGCTAGTACGCCTCCGACTCGAGCGGCGGTTGGAGAGGCCAGTTATGCGCCTATGCCTCAGCCGCAGGTGCTACCGTCACAGGGCCAGGTTCGACCACCACCACCACGACCATCACGGTCACAAACGCAGACTCAGGCTCAGGCTTCATCACGTCCTGTAAGTACGCGTCCTTCTCCTCCTTCCCATCCTTTCTCATCTTCATCATCAATTCACTCAGTTACATCCACCCACACTCACACCCACACTCACACTCACACTTACACTCACATACAGACACACAAAAAAGGCTCAACGGACGCCTCGAACCCGCTCGTGCTCAACCTCAAACCAGGCCAGATCGCGCCTGCCTCTATCTTCCAGCCTCCGCCGAGGATGACTTCTCTACATTCTCATTCTCATTCTCCTTCTCATCCCCATTCTCATTCCCATGCTCCGTATCCTCCTCCGCCTTCCGCGTATTCCCAGCCGACTGCAGCGTATGTAAGCCAAGGACAAGGACAAGAAGAGGAGGCGGAATACAGACAACCCCCCCACGCAGCGATGTATCCCCCTTCCCAAAACTCACCAACCCTGCCAAATCCGCCAAATCCGCCTCGCCGCGCGAACACGATGCCGCCCGGGATTTCTGGGGTGGGGGATCTATACGGCGTCCCCCCACCTCCTCCGCCTGCTCAGTCGCCATGGGGTGAAGTGCCGGGACAAGGGATGATGATGCCGCGTGAAGCACCGGTTTATAGACCTACGCCATCGCCACCTGGACCTTCGCCGACGCCGCCTGGGATGAGAGGGTCGTCGACGCCGCCTGGGATGAGAGGTTCACCGGTGCCTCCTGCGTTGCGAGGGTCGTCGACGCCGACGCAGCCTGTGTTGAGACCTTCACCAACACCAACACCGACACCGCCGTACACACCATCGCCGGTTAATGGATCTTCGCCTGTGTATGCCTCGTCCTCGTCACCAATGAAGGGTTCGTCTCCGGTCAACCGTTCGCAAACTTCGGCCTCACCCGCCGCGGTGTCGAGAATACGAGCAGTACAGGGCAATAGACGGACGGCGTCGGAGGGGGTGTTTCAACAGGTGCCGATTCCTAATGATATGCTGGGAGTGGGAGGAAGTGGAGGAGGAGGAGGAGTTCCGTTGGCGTTGATGCCAGGCCAAGGACTGGGACAAGGACAAGGACAAGGACAGAGGTCGTCGCCACAACCACAGCCTCCTACGCCTACCTCGCACGGATACGGACAAGAATATCGTAGAGATGTGGGTATGGGTATGGGTATGGGTATGAACGCACCAGCACCAGCACCACCACCACCACCACAGTTACCGCGACACGCTACAGCCCCCTCCGTACCTAGCCGTAATCATCGTCGAGACCTGAGCGCACCACCGCCCCCGCTTCCGCGACATGCCACTGCACCTCCTTCGACGACGGCACGGTATGAACCTCCTTCACGAACCCTAGCGCATGAACGACCCGAACCACCAGATATCCACGTCCCCCCGCCGCCACCACCCCCTTCTATATCCTCGTCTGCGAGCACGAACGGGAGGGGTTTGAAACCGAGTCATGTGCCGAGGAGATTGGTGATGCCGATGCCGCTTGCGGGCTCAGCGGGGTCTGGGTCGGTTGGCGGGGGTGGTGGGTATGATGGTGCTGGTGGAGGAAGTGGAGGAAGTAGAGGAGGAGAAGGTGTGGGAGGAAACTACGACCCCTACGCCATGCCGGAGCGGAGAGTCCAGAGATCTCAAACGATGGACCCAGGTTCTAGTTCATATCAGGAAAGGTCCCAGGGACAGGGTCAGATGCAAGGAAAAGCGAGCACGATACCGATGGCGCCGGTTAGTGGACCGGGTTCGAGGAATGTGTTGAGGAAGAAGGGGACGGTGAGTAGGGGTGGCACTGGGAATGGGAATGGAGCTGGGAATGGAGGGGAACGTGAACGTGAACGGCAGCCTACACTTCCGGGGATTCAGCCGCATGATACTGCACCACCGTCGTCGTCTTTCAACTACCAACCTCCACCATCCAACAACGACAACAACTATCCCTCAAACTCAAACTCAAACTCAAACCCAAACCCAAACCCCTCAAGCTCGAACCTCAGACCACCACAACCAAGAGAACAACAACCCTACGATCCCCCCGTCCAACCGCCCCAACGCTCCCAAAGCCTCTACATATACGGCGGTGACGTGCAGGTGGGGATGCAGGCGGGGATGGTGGATCGGGAGGAGGTGGAGATCGCGATGGCGAGGGCGATGGTTAAGGAGGTGGCGATTAGGGAGAGGGAGGAGAGGGAGGAGGCGGCGATTAGGGAGAGGGAGGCGACGTTGAGTACGGCGGGGATTGGGGGCGGTGTGGGGGCGGGAGGGATGGGAGGAAGTGGAAGTGGAAGTGGAGGGGGAGGAGGGGCGGGGAGAGAGAAGAAGGTGTCCAGGAGGTTGACGAAGAAGCGGTAGGGCGTTGGGTGTTTGGTGGTTGGTTGAGTATGGGACTTTGCTTTGGGAGTTTTTGTTGTTGCGTTGATCGACTTGACATTTACTTGCTCTTGTTCTTCTTACTTGCGTTTCCTTTCTTGGGCTTGGGATGGACTGAAAATGCGTCTTTTGGGTCTTTGTTGCTCGTTCTCCTTTCCTGTTCTTGTTGTCGCTCTGTCTGTCTGTACGTCGTTACATCACTATTATCAGTTATTTGAAGCTCTCGTGTTACCTAATATCTAGTATATCCCACACATCATCATCATCATCATCATCATCATCGTTACCCGGCTAGCTAAATTACTATATCATCATCATGCTCTGTGCTCTGCGCTATGACTTCGCTAATACTTTTGTTCTTATTTCTTTTTGACGTCTCAGGCTGTTTTCTTGGAGGCCACGGCCTTGGACACTCACTCGTGCATATATCACGAGAATTATATACTTACACATTCACATCCACATCCACATACGACACGTTGAACGCCTTCTTCGACATATTTTTCCAAGGTCTGTCCGGGGAGACCACTTAATACATGTACGAGGCTCATCTCAATGTTCAACGTTCATTCCTAGTCCGACTCCGAGGTCGCCGTCCCAGTTACCGTCGTGCGCTTCTCATTGTCCCTGCTTCTCCGCCCTTCGTTCCTGCCGTAACGTTTGTTCGTCGACGCCTAACGTAACGGTTCCCGTGCGTCGGGAACGATTGCTTATGTGGGTGCGACGGTGAACTCGCTAGCGCTTGTCAGTTGGGCTTCAAGGGGTGGGTCGCTTAGCGGGAGACGGAGGCTGTGAGTATGTATATTCACTGAATAGGGGGACTTGTTGCATGTTCGCCGTTCCGTGTTTTTCTTCTTTCGCTTTTTTGCTTCTCACTTTTCACTATTTCGAGGTCCTGCGATCCAGAATGACCGTGACGGACGTGCAATGGCAGCCTTCGATACCTGCCAGTGGGAGGGCGGACTGAGTTGCTTGCCAGTAGGTCCTTCATACCCTTCGAACCGAAGCCGCAAGATTGCCAAAGACGAATAATTATGGTGTAGTTCGCCATATATTGTTTTATAGTCGTTTGTAAGTAATTCGCTTTTTCTGATTGGTCGTCACTAATCCTCCTTATCATTCTTACGGTGCAATATTAATCACAAGTGAATTTTATACGACAGCTGCTACATCGTCATCCAAGACTAATATTGCGCAGACTCCCCTGCAAGTAAATCCCGTTGAACGCACGGAGATACGGTACCGGCACCGACGTCCGCCCGTGTCCTTCCATGCCCGCCCTCGAGCACTACGTAGGTGGCGCAGAATACTTAATGCGCCCGCAGACGACGACGCTGATGATGCCCGTAAGTATGGCACATGCCGGGTGCCCTGCCCTGACGTTCTCCTTCAAGTTCCAAGACCTTTGTCGCGCGCCAATTGCAATACAAGCTACATACCGAAAAAAGAAGGTATGTAGATGCATCTGGGGTCAAGATCCAAGATGATGTACGTGTCGTGGGATTCAAAGCGTGGGCATGCACATACTGAATCCGGCGGCGCGTTCATCCATCTGGTCCAGAGCTCGAGCCTTCCTTCCTGAAGCCTGAGGACGGAGAGGCTTGGGGAAGAGGGAAGGAGGAAGGAGGAAGGAAGACGGTGAACTCTTGTTGGAGCAAAATGGTTCTCGCGACTCCTTCCACTTGGTAAGTGGTTCTTACCTCACAACCGTGTTAAAATCTGTGCTCGCCCGGAGTCTCCCTTCGTCTGTCGCCGTTAAGCTTACAGTTTGAAGGGATCTGTTGTTGCCACAGGGGGACTTTCAAGCCTCAAGGTCCAGGTACTCTTTCCCCATTCCGCCTCTCGAAATCTCGCGGTTCGCGGTATGCAAGGGGATGCACAATGCGACTCTAAAATCTCCGGAGGGATCTGTGACGCCTCGAATCCGAGTCGTTCGTCGAGTCGAGTCGAGTCGAGATTCAGCCACCATCACTGCTTACCTATCAGAAACCCTATCTGACTATGATAGATATCCGTCGTGCCTTTCCTTGGTAAGTAGCACACGTCCTGCAGCTAGGATCCTGGGATGAGGATACCGGTGGCGGCGAAGTCTAGGTCTGGTCCTATTGTTTTTTCTGATAGTTGCAGCAGGACGTGTACGTCGTGATCCGAATGTGCTACGTCGGCGAGTCGCGACGCCACAACCTCGAGATATCGGCCATCTCAGGCTGAAGGTCGCGCAAACGGTCGGTGTACATAATCTGTGTATTCATACCGGTCGTCGTGAGTATCGCTGTGTGTCGACCAGTCATACTGCCCATTACATCTTCCTCTGCTTAAAATAGTGAAGAACATCACGTTGAATCCAAACACCGTAAATCTCAACCATTCGAGCCTCGAGTTAATTATTATCGAGCACTGGGACGGATCTCCCCACCGACTCGGAGCGTCGGGCGTGGAAATTTAATATTCATCGAGTCGCTGTCGCTGTCAACAGTCAACGCACTAGGACTCGACATGTACTACATAACAGCTCGACACCGACCAACCGACTGACGGTCTGCTCCCGCTCTTCCCGCCCGTAAGTGATAGATGCCAACGTTTACCATACCGTGGGCCCGTTGCGGTCGGAAGTCGGGCCCGGCGGGAGTAATGTGTGTGGACTGATGCAGAGCGGGAAGGTGCGGCAAATGGAGGCCCAAAATGCATCTGCGAGGGGAGGTAAGTAGACTTGGGAGGAGCTCGAGGGTACGGAAGTAGTGATTCATTGCGGGAAGAAGCAACATCTGAGGAATGAGGAGGAAGGCTCCCCATGATTCGCGGGGATCTCACACGAATCACGACTCGAACTCGTGCGGAAAGAAGGGGCATATTGCGCCCGATTGTACGTACTACTTATATATGCCAATGACTAGTTGACTGCCGACGTCAGAATGAACGAACGAATCAGCGAAATTCGAAGGAATTTAAATTAGGAAGACAGCTCTGCTACTGTAACATTCGTGATGTTTCCATCCGACGAATCAGAGCGAAGGAGCCGTTCGACGAATGAGATTAATCAGAGACGACGGCGAATCAGAGCAGGCCGAAGGTCAAATTGTGCAAAATCCGGCGGCGGATGTGTCCGCAGGCAGCTTTGTGATCTCGAGGTCAAAGAGCGGTGTGAGTGGACCAATGTGGAAATCTCAGGAGGACATCCAGAGCTCAAGTTTTTTTTGGTAATCAATCTGAATCTCACAGGTCAGGACCATATGAGCGCAGATGAGCGCATGCGTGAATTCCTCTCTCGCTCCGTCTTATTCAGATGCGCCAAAGAAAAGGTAAGTCGGAATTGGCAAAAGAAAAGGGCTTCTCGACTCTAAGGACAGAAGATGCAGACTCCGACTTATTACCTCGAGGCTCTCGACCCGCGTTCTTTCAGGGCCGTCGGCGGTCTGCTTCGAAGTGCGACGTCGGACATTTTAACATCTGCACAAATAAAGCAAGATATCGATGACGATGAGGTCAGCATGGCTTTTGGGTCTGAGAATGTGTACAGGCGCTAAGTACAGATCTCGGGGCGCGTGTAGCGATGGGTTGCGTATACATGGTGGAGGGTACAACGGAGACTGTCCGTGGTCAAGAAGAACAAGAGAAAATGGCGTGGCGTGTCCGTGGAGGGGCGTAACAGGTTGAATCTACAAATCCCAAGAAAGAGAAGGAGAGAAAACCAAGATGGATGAGGTGGTGAGCAACGAGTGTGCGGAAGTCGAGGAAGGGGGGAGGGGCATGAACAGCGGGCAACGATAGATAGCTATGCGTACAGGGGTAGCCATGAATGCGAGTGAGATAAGAACGAGAAGGGAAGAAGTGAATCGGAAGGAGCAGGGAAGGATAGAGGAGAAATATCGTGAACAATGAGGGAACTGATTCTGGGTAGTCCGAGATCGAGAATGCTTCAATACGAAGAGTCGTTGTCACTACTGGAATCGGAGCTAGGGGTTTGATAAGAGCGAAGGAGCTCCTCGTATGGGGATGTCACGGACGAAGGGACGGGCGGCAGAGAGCGTTTTCCACTGTTGGAGGCGATCCAGTCGTGCAGGATGGTGTTAAACCTGTCGACAACGCATGTATGAGAATCGTACAGTGTCTCGATGACAGCAAGCAAGCGAGACGTACTGCTTAGAATGCGTTACGCAGGAGAAGTGAGGGCTGTTCGGAATATGCGTTATCCTCGCATCGACGTTCGCATCCTTGAGCGACGCATGCAGCTCTTCCAAATACTCCAAAGGATATGCGATATCCGCGCCGCTATGGATAAGGAGGATGGGGCATTTTACTTTCATCAAGTTTTCGCGGCAGTGGGGCTCGCGCTTGGTGAAGAAACCGACAAGGATGTCGTATGCCTCGTCGAGGTTGTCGCGTCTCCAGTTGCCAGTCGCCTGAGGAACGGCAGACGAGACCAGGCTGTTGGCCACAGGACTTTGAGATCATGAGAATATTGAGAAGTAACGGGGCTACAGCCAGACGTACGGGGAGATTATGCCATGTGTCGTATTGTTGAAGCCCAGCTGCACAGCTCCATAGACCGCATCGGTGAGTGCCTCTTCGTCGATGTAGTTAGGGTTCTCGTATGCCTGTGCCCAGCAGTCGTAGACTTCCTGACGACCTTCGGCCACGTCTTGAGGCTAGTAGGTCCGAGAATGAAGAGTTAGCTCACGCGATAGAGCAGATGGCAGAAAACTTAGAACGCACCTCTCGTAGTGGTAGAGGTGAGAGCATAAGAAGAGACAGGACGAGCTGCGGGTAGTCCATAGCGAGTGACAGACCCGCACATGCGCCCATCGACAGACCGACTATATGACATGGTGGAAGTTGTAGTGCGTTCTATTCGAGACAGCGGGAGAAGTTTGAGTACAATGGAGTTCGAACATGATGCTTAGGAATGGAAGGTCTCCCACCATAACTGAAGCAATGTCCCGAGCCGCGTCTGTCCGGTTATAGTCCTTGGGAACGGGGCCCACGGTGTCACCATGAAGTCGAGAGTCCATAGCTACGAGGTTGAATCTTCGCAGGGAGGCATTCGAGAACTGCACTGCGGAGCAAAAAAGGGAATGCAAAAGAAAGTTAGTCCCACCGTCCATATCATTCAGATATCGCGCTTCCAAGGACTCACGGTGGAATATCTGCTGTGGAATATAGACTGGGTGAATGAAGAAAAGAGTTGGCAGACTGGGGTCGATGGAAGGTGCCGAGGGATTTGTAGGCGTTGAAATGGTGTAATTGACCCGTGCGGGGCCGTTTGAATTACTAATCTCTACGAAAGGCATTGCTGACCAGGTTGGAAAGGGTGTCTGTGGGTAGAGGGATGGGAGGAGACGTCAGAGGTAGGGCGGCGTCATCCACGCGTCGCTCTTTGACTTTTATACGAAGAGATTCCTCACCTAACCCTATAAGCGGAAGGTATTAGGCACCGCTAATCCGAACTTCGTCGTCGAACAATTCATTGGAAATGGTTTAGGAACCCAATCACAACGCAAATCCACATCGCCGGTCTACATAAGCACTGCAAAGGCCCGATAAAACTTGCCCCTGCAAAGCTAGGTCGATGATTTGATCCAGCCGCCGAAACAACCGAGAACACAGGGGACCGGTCTGGGGAGGGAAGCCCTCCGTATTATCCCTCTTCTATTCCTTCCCTCTTTGGGCGTACCGTGGATTTTGTGCTTGCATTCCGTCACTGGTTGCATATGGAAGTCTCAGTTGCATCAGCATCTGCTATAGTTAGTAGAACAAGGGAAGACGGGAGGCGGGTGTCGTTTCTGCTTCGACCGAGGTGGAACAGGCCGTAGCCGAGCGCACCCGCATTGTTGCTGGAAAATCGGAGCTGCATTTAGGCGCTAAAAACGGGTGCGCAAGTTCACGACCCAAAGAGTCCGGGGAAACGGGTCCAGGGCGTCGGAAACAACTGAAATTTCCCCATTTGGATTCGTATTCCCCGCACTGTGTCCGCGTGCGGCGATCCATGCCTCCTGCGCTTTGACTCCAAAATGTAGAGGAGCAGCCAAGGAGCAGCTTGCCACAGAATCCATCAGTTTGTGATTTTCCGCATAACCAACACCACCAACGCAGCACTCGGATGCCGAAGTCGAGAAAAGCTGGCCGCTATTGTACGCGGCGACCAGCAGAAAGCTGTGACCGCGCGACTCTCTGATAGCCATATCAGTTGAAATGGAAAGCGCCGGTCCACCCATGCGTTCTCTGTGGACGGCTGAGCCCAAGCTGAGCCCAACGTCGCCTGTTGGAACACGGACAATATACTTACTTCCGTTGAGATATCGGTTGGATTCGATAAAACCCGCTGCAAAAGACGGATCGGGGACCAGAAGCAAACGCTAGAACGCCCATTCGAACAAATTCAGGCCTGAGGCCTGAGGGCCGAGGTCAGAAGTGTTTGACATCCAGCCTAGGGGTATATAAACACACTGAGCGATGAATTTGAGAATATGCCACATCCCGTATTTTTCTTAAGACATGATCCACTTTAATGGACAAAAGCCTCAGAGCCACCGAGCTGCAAATAAACATAGCGGGTGCCAAGTAAAGCGTCGGCGGTATGATTTCCTGTTTTTGCCAACATTTGCGGGGCGGGCGATCATTGGAATACCCTCGATCTACTGCGGCTTGCAGAGGTCGACTTTGTTGACTGCATCCGGCCCCCGTTTGAATCGGCGAACTAGGCCACCCTGGACAGTAGACGGCGAGTTGCTATCCATTAGCGGCGCATGTACGACGCAAGGGCGGCAATATTGTACATGAACGAACGTACTTTGCAGAGCCTTTTTTCCAAGCTCGTCCTCAAATGTTACATCTGTGATCTTCGCGGTAGATATAAAAATCGCAGGTACTCGCGGACAGCCCTGTCAAGGAAGCTGATGTAAAGGAAGCTGATGTATATGTTCAGTTATTCTGACTGTCCGTGACTAGGACTACGCACCACAATCCAGATGGGGCGGATCAGACACGGCTGGATTTCATTAGAGGCGGGTGCCAGGAAGACTAATATCGGGAGGATGCAACACCAAAAGCCAGCTCTTGAGGGCTCGAAGACGTTCTTTGGGTACTGTACATCGGGCGTGGTGAACTGAATGCATACTGCCACATAGCATGGAAGGTGTCCGTCGTAGAGGACATGCTGGTGCCCAACCACATAGAAGGGCGAGTAAGGTAACTGCATAAATGGTACTATGCAAACCCCGTCGAACTTATTATCGAGCCCAGGCGATGCATTATCGAGCCTTGACTATCTTTTATAATAGCGAGACGTACACAGATCGGAGGCGGGGAAGACCAGACTCACGTACTTGGCTGCGGAAGTATGCGCAACAAACTCACCTGGGGTCCACATTCTCCGGTATAAGTCGTTGTTTGTCATTGCCACAGTCCTCGGAAACTTTGATTGAGGTCATTGGCCTATCATTCACCCTACTGAAGCAGAATCATGAAACGTGCGGGTGAGAACATGCATAACGAGGCGACACCGGTTTACAGGGGAATGAGACAAGTAGATGACGATACAATCAGTAACCTAGACGGAACATGAACTGAAAACTGTACTGCTTGGTGTCAGGGTCCCAATGTGACCAATTCCAGTAACCAGCGTCGTCAGACTCGTCCTCAATCTCACGTGCAGGAATACGGAAAGCTATGGTCTCGTAGGGCTCTGCTGCCACCTATTCCTGAGTGTAAGTCGAGCATAGCCAGAAATGAATGATAATGGGACTTACGATGAGGTACTGGTAGGCCTTATTGGGTGGCTCCCGCTTCTGCTCCCATGCACTCATGAACCGTCTGCGAGGCGTCACTCCAGGCTTGATTTGTGGTAAATGAACCTGGACCATCATTCCCTCCTTCCCAGTATCTGTGTCTCGGACTTTGGTGACACGATAGCCTGGACGGCCAATTTTGAGGAATACCTTGCGCTGGACGGCTTGCTGCTGTGGCGCGACTTGAAGCTGGCTGTCCTTCATGTCGCGAGCGGCACGTCGCGCAAGGTTAGTTTGATGCTTCTTTCCCTGAGTGTGAGCCAGATAGGAGCCTTCATTGGTGTGAAGGGTCAAGCAGAGACGACATTCCAGTGACCCAAGATGGTTGCGAAGGATATAGGGATCCTGTTGAGAATACGTTCAGCAAAGATCGTTCATAACGAGTAGCTTTGGCGTGCGCACCTTGGCAAGGTCGATGGTCTCTAAGGCTAGCTTCCTCAGCCGTTCTCTCCTGTCAACATTGCTCTCCGATGCACCGGCAACACCACCTCCACCGAATTTTGATCCAACACGATTCTAGCGGACTGTGAGCTTCGGAATGAAAGAGCGGGCTCGTGCTACTGACCTGAAAGTCTAAACATCGATATTGAGCAGTCAATACAGAAAGAGTACTATACAAGACATACCCATTATATTCCACGAGACTGTCCTGGATGTAGGGTTGAAGGAGAACAATTACCGGCGTCGACGCAGAGTCGTGCGCGTCGTCCAAGAGTCGTCCAAGTTGGGACGGAAGGACGTCCGAAAGATAAGATAAGATTAGATCTGCTTTCGACTTGTCTTCTCCAGTCCAAAATTTCGTTCCGTTACCGCGACTTGCTCGCGTTTCGCTCTGTGGCCCAACTTACATCGCTCTCTTGGGCAGTCTACTCATCTGCAGCACTTGTACTTTGCTTGATATATATCTAGGACTCTGTGTTTTGCCATGGCTGTTAAAAAACGTCAGCTGGAGGACTCTACCTCTGTCCCAAAATCCAAGAAGACGAAGCTTGCCACAGAGGGTAAGAAAGAGAAAAAGGTCAAGCCCGACCAACCTACCCAGCACCCAGTACACACAGCACCAGAAGAGGTCGACTTTCCTCGAGGAGGCGGTTCGAGCTTCACTCCGCTGGAAGTGAAAACTATCCGAGCAGAAGCCGTCAAGGAAGCCAACGATGAACTTTTCAAAGTGAGCTCTCCTTGTATATTTATGTACATTTGTGCTAATAGTTTGAACCCTGACAGGATAAGGCGAATCTGAAGAAGCTCAAGAAGCAGCGCTCTAAGGTTGACGTGAAAGGGAAGGGGAAGGCTACAGGAGAAGGAATAAACGGTGATGCGCTTCGTATTGAACATCTAAACTATAAGGTGCGTCTTTCGCTCCTAGTTTCTGCAGCAACCCAAATGTATTTTGACCCTCCTCCCAGCGCATAGCAGTTGGAATGAAGATACTGGGACAGGTCGTTTCTGTTCAACCGCTAGCTCTCATCGTTTCCCTGCCTAATCAGCTCCTCGGCCACATCCCCATCACCCAAATATCCTCCGAGTTGACCACTGCTTTGGAAACGATGGACACCAACGAGGACGAAGGCATGTCTAGTGCAGGCGAGGACGATGATGAGAAGAAGACGTCTGCCGTTCCCGACTTACACGAGATCTTCGAACCTGGACAATATGTACGGTGTGTTGTGACGGCGGTTCACGAGGCAGGCTCTACGGAAGGGATGGCTGGTGTCGGCAGAGGAAAGAGTGCGGTGGAAAAGTCGAGTCGCCGAGTCGAGCTGAGCTTGTTGCCAGAGCAAGTGAATGAAGGTGTTGTCAAATCGGATTTGAAACCAGGTTTCGTGAGTTACATAGCACTTCTTTCACAGCACCTTTTTTTTTTTTTTTTTTTTTACGAATTCATCATTGTGCCCTAGACCATGTCCGCTGCTGTCAAAAGCGTGGAAGATCACGGATATATCCTGAACCTAGGACTTACCAACATATCCGGTTTCCTCTCGTCCAAAGAAGTCGCAAAATCCATTCCTGGAAAGGCCAAGTTACATGTCGGTCGGATATTGGACGTTAGCGTCGTGAAGCTTTCAAGCAACGGTCGAACCTGCACAGTCTCTGCCGATAGCGCTGGAAGAGCGTCGGCTTCGGTGAGTTTTTTCTATAGGGATGCACAGATGCCGGCATACTGATCTATAATGTCCTATCTAGTTGACTGAAGTGACGAGTGTCACCTCCATTCTTCCAGGCGAGCTGGTACAATGCCTCATTACAGCTGTGCTCCCCACCGGACTCAATTTTCAAGTTCTCGGCTTCTTCGATGGTATAGTCGACAGTTTCCATCTACCTCCCGGTGATCCTACGACTCTCTTCAAAATTGGCCAGAAAGTCAAGGCACGCGTTTTATACGAGATTCCAGGGCATTCACCACCTCGATTTTCCCTCTCTTTATCTCCACATATTCTTGCCCTCGATGTGAAGCATTCCGAAACAGAGGATGAGGCGGCACCAACCATCAAGGAGGCATATCCCATCGGTACGATTTTGGAAGCTGTCAGAGTTATTCGAGTGGAAACCGAGAGAGGACTGGTGGTCGAAGTTCGCCCAGGAATTCAAGGTTTCATCCATGTGAGTTCATCTCTCGTATCATTCACTCTTTCTGCGACATCACTCATGCGTCGACTGTAGATATCGCACGTATCGGACGATCACGTACCCTCACTTTCCCCTTCCTCGGGTGCATGGAAGCTCAACTCGACACATCGTGCCCGAGTGACTGGCTACCACCCCTTGGACGGCCTTCTACAGCTATCATTAAAGACGTCTATCCTTGAACAGAAGTTCTTGCAGGTGTCCGATGTTCAAGTCGGAGAGGTGGTCAAAGGGACCGTCAAGATCCTCACTGATACAGCCCTTTTTGTCTCCATTTCTGGCGCTGTGGACGGCGTCGTATTCCCAAATCACTATGCCGATATTCTATTGAAGCAGCCACAAAAGAGGTTCAAGCCGGGAGCCAACATCAAATGCAGGGTACGTCCGTGCATGCTGGTTGGGGTTACACAAAGAAAAACTCACACATCTATCAGGTATTCACGGTTGACCCAGAGCGAAGACGAATATCGCTTACGGCCAAGAAGACGCTTGTCGAGTCTGAGCTCCCCATCATCACCAAATTTGAAGAAGCGAAAGTCGGCATGCTCACTCACGCCGTCATCTTCCGAATTTCTGAGCGCCGGTTGCAAATCGAATTCTTCAACAATATCAAAGGCAGTGTTCCACAGAAGGAGGCCAGGTTAGTTATCATTGAAGGCTTTCTTTGTCCATGAGCTGACATCGGTTACAGCGATTCTGCTACGCCTCTCGCCACGGCGTTCTCCGTAGGCAAACCTGTCAAAGTACGCATTATTGCCGTTAATCCAGAAGACGGCCATATCACTGCCAGTATTCGACAAGCAACCGCTGGCTCCGAGCCAATCGTTGCAGATATCAGTGGCGTCGAAATTGGCCATACCGTCGACGGCGACGTTGCTGAAATCCATTCAGACAACGCTCTGATCATTCTCAAGTCTACTGGGATCCGAGCGCTATTATCTCTCAAGAACCTCGCCAATGCACGTAAGGTACCCGTTGCACAACTCCGTGGTGCCTTGAGCGTCGGCGAACACTTAGACGACCTCGTTGTGGTCTCGCGGAACCCGGAGAAAGGTATCGTCATTGTGGCGAATCGCCCCAAGACCAAGCCAGCTCTGGAACACAGCCATCCTCTGACTATCGACACTGTCGAAATCAGACAAGTCGTCGGCGGTCGCGTCCTGCGACATCATCGCAACGGCACGTTGCTCAAGCTCTCTTCTTCAGTCACTGGTACTCTGCATCCCACCGATGTTTCTGACAACTATGATGTGGGAAATATCTTCCCTCAAATTGATTCGATCGTCAAGGCTTCCGTGCTCAGTATCGACAAGGAGAAGAAACAGCTTGTCCTTTCGAGCCGGCAATCGAGGCTTCACCCGGACAATCACCCCGACGTCGTTGATCGCGAGATCAAAAGCGTTTCAGATCTCAAGGTGGGAGAAACCATTCGCGGGTTCATCAAGAGCGTGGCGGAACACGGGCTATTCGTCACTCTTGGTCGAGATGTCGATGCGCGCGTTCAAATCAAGGAGTTGTTCGACGAGGTTTGTTCTTCCCCGATCTTATTGATGCCCTTGCATCTGATTTTGTTCTGTAGTATGTTAAGGACTGGAAGCCTCGCTTTCAAGTCAACCAGCTTGTCAAGGGTCGTGTGCTAAGGTCAGATCTTGAATGATCCCCGGTTTATACCATCTAATACCCGATTATAGGATCGATGCTGAGAAAAAGCAGGTCGAGCTGACATTCCGCTCGGGTGACCTATCCCGCTCTAAACCTTCCATCACTCTTTCGGATCTGGAAGAAGGCCAAAAGATCGAAGGTCGGGTGAAGAGGGTCGAAGAGTACGGTCTGTTCATCGAGATTGACGGGTCCAAACTCTCTGGCCTTTGCCACAAGTCCGAGGTTCGTGGCTCTCTTTTTTTTTTGGTCAGAACATCTATGTACTAACTTCCCTCATTGAAGCTTACGGACAATAAGGACGCCGATGTCACCCTCGCGCTCAGGAGTTTCAGGGAGGGCGACCGAGTGAAGGCCCTCATTCGTTCGATCGACTTGGAGAAGAAGCGCATCTCCCTCGGTCTCAAGCCTTCGTACTTCGCTATTGAAGACCTTGAGGTCAACGATGACGACTCTGACGATGAGGCAGACCCAGAAGCACTTGGAGTCGTCGATAACGATGTCGAGATGTCTGACGACGGTGAGGCTCCTGAAGAGTCAGACGACGCTCCAGAACCCGACGTTGGCGAGGAGGGTCCCGACGGTGAGGATGAGGAAGAGGACGTGATGATGGCTATGGATGTAGACATGGCTCCTCTCGACCCAGTCAAGCCCATTACCACCACCACCACCACCCGCCCTCCCCCCGTTCCTTCCCTCAAGCTTCAAGGTGGCTTCCAATGGTCTACTACAGACGCTCTACCCGAGAACGACGACGAATCTGATGAATCCGACGATTCCGACGTCGGCGAGAGCGCTGACAAGAAGAAGAAGAAAAGGAAACGCAAGGAGATCGAGCTCGATGTCACCGCAGACTTGCAAACCAAGACGCCTGAGTCGAACGCCGACTTCGAGCGCAACTTGCTCGGCTCTCCCAACTCGTCCTTCCTCTGGATCCAGTACATGTCCTTCCAGCTCCAGCTGTCCGAAATCGAGAAGGCTCGCGAGATCGCGAAGCGTGCTCTGGCGACGATCAATTTCCGAGAGGAGCGGGAGAAGCTGAACGTGTGGATCGCGTTGTTGAACTTGGAGAATATCTATGGTACGGATGAGTCTTTGGAGGCTGCATTCAAGGATGCTGCGCGCCATTGTGACTCGAAGACCGTTCACCTCCGCCTTGCTGCGATTCTGGAGGAGTCCGAGAAACTCGAGGTAAGGTTCACGAGCGCGTTTTTTCCATGGGCCCTACTAACGAAATCACTCTTTCAGAAAACCGAAGAGCACTTCAAGCGCACCTGCAAGAAGTTCGGCCAGAGCTCAAAAGTGTGGACACTCTTCGGCGAGTTCTACTTCAAGCACGATAACACCGAGGAGGCGCGCAAGCTCCTGCCTCGCAGCTTGCAGAGCTTGGAGAAGCGGAAACGTACGTACCCTCCTACCTACTGCACCCTCTCCTTCAATTCGACGGGGTTGTTGACTTACTGTGTTTTCAGATCTCAAGACGATCTCCAAGTTCGCGCAGCTGGATTACAAGCTCGGTGACCCAGAGCGGGGCAAGACCATCTTCGAGGGAATCGTCGACTCACATCCGAAGCGTTGGGACTTATGGACGATTTATCTGGACATGGAGGCCGGCCAGAAGGACATCCAGCATCTGAGGTACGTCCGACTTTGCACTTTCCCTTGTCATCTTACCTGACGTTGGGCGATTAGGAATCTCTTCGACCGCGTCCTCGCTCAGAAGATGACCAGTCACAAAGCGAAGTATGCTCCCTCCTTACCATTCTCTATGCCTTGCCTTCGTCTGATGGAATTTTCTCCCTTGTAGGACTTTCTTCAAAAAATGGCTAGAGCTCGAACGGAGACTGGGAGACGAGGAGGGTGCCACTCTCGTGAAACAAAAGGCGATCGAATGGACACAGCGAGCAGCCAACAACGGTTCAGCAGAGGCGGAGGAGCAGGATTAGCCAGCCGTGTTGCGTTTATTGTTTGTTCCCCCGTTTTCGAGTAACTTATGAACATATGCGTTTGTTCATAAATGCATCCATGCATTCCGGGTCAATATGATAAGCGAGACATAGAGAGAGGGAGAGACGGCAGTACCGACAGAGAGTGATAGGGAGCGCGCGCGCGATATGAAAAAAAAAACGAAGAACGAAGAACGAAGATATGAAAGTCGAAGATATTGAGAGGTTCGAAGAGCAAGGAAATAAGTAAGGTAGCGTATGAGCAAAAAAAAGACAAACAGACAAACAAGTCATGGGACAGAGGAGATGGAGATGGAGAGAGAGGAGAGATATCAGACAGGCAAGGAGTGTGAGCGACAGCAGTGGGTCGAAAAGATATCAACATGGGTATAGATCTCATAGTTAATAGTAAGGAAATAGGGGGCACAAACAGAACACGACGACGATGACAGAATGGGAAAACGAAAAACAAGAAACAGTATGTAAGAAAATTCCACAAGGCGGCAACACGTTATGAACGTGACCGCATCCGCTGATGAGATGGGAACGAATTCGATTCCAGATCGCTACTGAGTGGTCGTCGGTTGGATAAAGATGTCGACAGCTGCCGCTGCAGCTCGTCGAACTCATTCGAATAATGGTCGTAGCCCAGCGCGTTGTCTGAGCTTAAACCGCTGAGGGGGCGATCGGAAACGGAAATCCCAGATATAGGCCGGTTGCTGCCGAACGCTGGGTCGTCCTCGAGCAGGAGCCCGATCTTGTGCGAAAGCTGCTCGTTCTCGCGCTTGAGGTTGTTATTCTCGTTGCTGAGCTGCTCGAGGAGAGACTCGTCATGTCCGCCACGGGCGATGATGAGCGCAGACTGCATGCGCTCGACCTCCTGCTCCAACTCCTCCATACGAGACAGACGCTCGTCAGCCTCCCGTTGGGCGACGACGAGGTTATCCCGCATGTGGCCGAGGTCTTTCTCCAGGGAGTCGATGCGCAGGCTCTGGTCCTTTTTGTCGTTGAGCAGACGTTGGATCTGGCGCTGAGCGTCGATGAGCTGCGTGCGCATGGCGTCGCTTCGTCCATCCTCGGATGGAGTGCCACGGCCATTGGTGCGCCGCGAGTCGGCGTTGGGCGTAGATGCGCGAAGAGAATCGATCTCGGCAAGGAGGCTAGTATTCGTCGCGCGCTGCTTCATCAATTCGTCTTTCATGCGACGATTTAGGCGCTCGGTCTCCCTAGAAGTTAACGCACACACGGGAGTTTAGTACAAAGTCGGCATATGGACGCACACTGACGATCACACTTCAAGAGATGATGATGATATACGTACTTGACACAGTGAACAGCCAGACGGTAATCGTCTTCGAGCTGCTGGACGCGAGCCTTGAAGTTCCGCTCCGTCTCCTCGACCTTCCTCTCCGCCTCGACGACGCGAGCCTCGCTCATGAAGCTATCGCCCGTCGCCGGACTATAACTCGGGCTCTGCGTCGACCGCAACCTATCCAACTGAGTCGACAACGCGCTCATCTGCGCCTCCGCGTCCTTCTTCTGCCTCAACACGCTCTCCATATCCTTCCTCGACTGCTCCTGCATGCGCGAGAAATCCGCAAGACGGCCCTCGAGCTCCGCCAACCTCGAGGACGACTCGGACGGCAAGCCATCGTTATCGAGCACGATATCGTTCTCGGCCAGATAATTCCTGAGCATGCCCAACCTGAGCCCCGCATCGTCCGCCTCCTTCGCCTTCTGCCTCACATCCGCCTCCCGCACCGCCAGATCCTTCCTCAACCTCCCCGCATCCGCGAGCGTATTCGACAGCTGCGCCCTCAACCCGACGATCTGCGACCTCAGCGCCATCTGCTCCGTCTCGCCCTCCCTCGCCCTCCTCCTCTCCTGCGAAAGCTCGCCATGCGAATCGTCCAAGCGCTGGCTGACCTCCTTCAGCATGCCCCGCAACGAAGCGACCTCCGCCTCGAGCACCTGCACCTTCTCCGCATGTCCACGCAGGTGTCGATCCTCGTCCGTCTTCAGATCCCGCTGCGTGTCCAGGAGCTCGCCGAGTCCGCCCGTAGTCAACGCCCGGAACGCGTCTGCCTCCTCTCGCGACTTGGCCCACGAGTTCTCCGTGTCCGTAAGCCTCGAGCGCAGATTATCGACCTCGGCCGTCTTCGACTCCAGTTCCCCCCTCAACTCCGCCACGTCCGCCTCAAGCTGCGATATCGTCTCCCTCGAGCGCATATTTTGTTCGTCGACCTCTATAGCACGCGCCATAGCCGTCTGCAGCGCCGTGCGCGTCTGTTCCAGCGCACGAGCGTGCTGGTCCCGCGACACGGTTGCCTCCTCGAGCTGTGACTGCACATGATGATGGTCCGCCTCCCTCTGCTCGACGATCGAAGCCTGTGAGAGCAGCCGATCCGCATGATCCCTCAACGACGCCTCCAACTCCGCATGTCGTTCCTGCAACTCCGTATGTTCCCTCAACGTCCGACTATGCGAGTCCGTGAGCACGTCCGAATGCCTCGCCGCCTCGCTCGCGCGCGTCTCCGCCTGCTCCAGTAACGTCGTCTTCAGCTCGAGCGTGTCGTTCAGGTCGGCTACTTTGCGCTCCTGGAGCGCCCGTTCCGTGAGGGCTGTGGTGAGTTGCTGTTCGAGTTCTGCGAGCCGTTCGCGGTCGAGACGGCCGATGTCGGATTCGGACGAGGCTTCGAGTGCGGCGAGCTTTGCGCGGTAGTAGGCGGCCTCTTGAACGGCGCTGGCCCGCTGACGTTCGGCCTCGTTGATACGGTCCGAGGCATGTCGAGCTTGATCTACGACGGTGGCCTAATTCAATATTATCCCAAAAGAGAACGCATTCAGAATCAGTCCAAAGCACAAAAAAAAATCCTAAGAAGAGAAACACACCTGAAGTTTCGCCCTCAACTGTTTCAAATTAACCACCACCTCCGCAACCCTCGGCTCCCTCTTCCCTCTCCCTCCTTCCTGCCCGTCCTGCTCCTCATCATCATCCCCATCCCCATCCCCATCGACATAAACGAACCCCGACTTGGCCGCCTTCGCCAGCGCAGCCCGCATCCACTCCTCCCTCTTCCTCATCCCCTCAATCTCCACATCCTTCACTCTCAGATCCCGCATCACGTCCTGCGATTTCCCGTGGCCGTGGCCGTTAACGAACCCATTCGCAGAAACCGGCGAGTTATTCGGTGAGCTCGAGGCGGTATCCGTCTGTTGTTGTTGTCTGACTAACGGACTCGCGCTCCTCGTCTCCGACCGACTCATAATCACCGACGCCATATTCTGCGGCTGTCCCTGCTGACCCTGACTTTGACCCTGGCCACCGGACGGCGAAACCGCACGAACGACCGTCGGACTCGCCGCCCGCCCCTGTCCCTGGTCCGGCGAAACCATCCTCTCTCTGACCACGTTCTCCCTCTCCCCTCCAGACGACTCGTACCCCCCCTCGCCATCCTGCCTCATCGGCGCTTTTCCCTTCCCATTCCCGTTCCCCATCCCATTCACATTGCCGTTTCCATTCATCATCGCCTTCCCACCACCCCTTCCATTCGGCGGCGACACCGCCCTCCTCAGCTCATCCACCACATCGCCTTGTCCCTGTCCCATTCCTCCCTGTCCCATCTGCTGACCCTGCTGCTGTTGTAATGACATCTGCTGTTGCTGCTGCTGCACCATCTGCTGCTGAGGCGACATCGCCCTCCCTCCCAACACCCCCGACTGCGCCGACTGCACCGACGCAGATGGATGATGATGCAGGTGCGCTTGTTGTTGCTGCTGCTGCTGTTGCTGTGAGAGTATATTTGACCCGGGACCGGAGCCGGAGATGGGATCGGCGGAGGACTTGCGGGAGGGTCGGGAGGGGTTCGCGTTGGGATTAGCGCCATTGCTTGATTTGGAGCCGTCGGCGGGGGGTGGTTTTCCTTCTGGGTACTTGATGTGTTCTATTCCATCATTTTCAAAGATTGATGATTCAAACAAAAAGAAACGGACATGATAATGAGTGAATGAAATAAAAATAAAATGACAGGGCCAAGGGTCCCAAACGAAGAAAAGATGCCTTCCCGTAGAGAAAAATAATATGCTTATTCGACGCGATCACCACTCAACCAAACTCAGAGATGAAGAGCGCAGCTCAATGGTTGACTGCTACCTTCATCTCCGAGCGTCGTTGAGCAGCGATCGCATTGAACCAATGACGAATAGACTCGCATTGAATCAACGACGAATAGACTTCGCATCGAATCAACGCTAAACAATCTTATATTTTCCCTCCAGAAAGTCATCCAAGTAAAGAAAAGCAAAGAAAAAAACGCACTAGTATCCAAAACATGTATAAGCGCAGGCTCGTCCGGCTTGCTCACCGCATACGACTCCCCCCCGAGCACGAACACTCTCGTGCCGCTCGAGGCCATGGCGTGTCCCGAGCGCGGACTGGGCGAGGGACCCATGTTTTGGAACATGAACCATCGTTGATCTGGAAAAATTCAACAAGGATTAGGATGCGTGGGTTGGAGGTTTGTTGATGGGAGGAGGGGAGGGGAGGGGAAGGGGAGGGAGAAGGATCATGATCATCATTTAGTGAGCATTCATGGATGAACGAAAACCGAAAACAGGAATGGTAACGAATAATCCAATATGCCGGCCCAAATTCGGAAAATACAAATCTCAAATCTCAAACCCCAAACCTCAAGCTCAAGCTCAAGCTCAAGCTCAGCCCTCTCAACCCCCCAAAAAAGTGCGATCCCCAAACTTCAAAACCTATCAAAAAGCGAAAAAAAAACTCACTAGTAACCTTAAACGCCGCCAAGTCTCCCAAATCCTTCCCATCCACCCCCCGTCCTCCATACACATAAATCACATCATCCACCACCGCCGCCGCATGTCCCTCTCTCGCCGACGGAATGAAGCCTATACATTTCAGTTCGGACCAGCGTCGGGTGTTGGTGTCGAAGGCCCAGGTGTCGTTGTAGTGGTATTGGCCGTCGGTGCCGCCGAAGCTGTGTTGTGATGCACGATGCACGATAGAACGAGGGGGAGGAGAGCGAAGGAAGGAGGAGGGAAGAAGGGAAAAGATGTGTGATGAGGACGATGTGACGGTCTCCAGGGTAGAACGAGTAAAACACGAACATGATGATGCGATCTCCATAAGTCACACAGACATGGCCCGTCCTCCGCGCGGGCCTCTCGGAGTTTTGAGGATCCATGAGTTCCCAAGTCGCCTTTGTTTTCACTACAGCGAGGGCCCGTTAGAGGTATTAGGCTTAGGCGGCGGAGCGGAAGGGGGGAAGGGAAGATGAAAGGGACAAGGAGACTGACGTGAGTTGAGGTCAAACGACCAGAGATCATTCAAGAATTCGCCGTCGACTTGACCGCCGAAGACAAAGAATCGCGAGCCGACCATCGTCACCGCATGTCCGTACCTACCGAGCGGTTTTGGCCCCGAAACGACGACACGGGACCATTCGCGGGATACTGCTCAATCACAAGTTCACCGATAAGTACAAAGGACAGCCAGACAGACAGACATGCAAAGAGAGGGGGGAGTGAATCAGCGCTACGTACCGAGGTTAAGCAAATACAACGAATCATCCTGCTTATCCGTCGGCCTCGCCCTCGGATCCGTCTTCGTATCTCCCCCCCAAACCACAAGCACACTACTCACCAGCGCACTCGCATGTCCCACACGGGGACTCGGCATCTCGCCCGTCGTCTGCAACAACGTCGCGCTCAGATCGCGGGTACTAAACACATAGAGATCGTTCCGCGCTGACTCGTGCACGAGCCCTCCGAAGAGGAAGATCTCGCCGCCGGCGGTGGCGGTCGCGGGGAGGGCGTGGCCGTAGCGCGGGAAGGGGGAGGGAGAGGGGGTCGTTGGGGGGACTATGCCGGGTTTGGGGAGGACGACGGGGGGTTGGAGGTGTAGACGGCGGGCGGACCAGGGGTAGGCTGGGCGGGAGGGAGGTTGTTGTTGTTGTTGCTGCTGCTGTTGCTGCTGCTGTTGTTGTTGCTGTTGGAGGGGCGCGGGCTGCTGTTGAGGTTGTTGTTGGAGCTGGCTGGGCGGTTGCGATGCGGACCCATTAGGGACGGGTGCGCCGGCGACGGGGCTGTTGCCCATAGAGCGTGCTTGGCCTGGGGGCCCCTGGCTCATGTTGGGAGCCATGGCCTGCTGGGAGGAGCTGTGGGTGAGGGAGAGAGGAAGAAAGGAGGGGGAAGGCGGTGTGGTAAGAGGAGGTGATATATCAGACGCGAACGGGCGCACTTACACGTCATGAAGAATATTATCCTTGGCCGAGCCTGACAACGGCGGCTGCTGCTGCTGGGGGACTTGCTGTGGGTGCTGCTGCTGCTGCTGTTGCTTGTCCTGTGAAGTAGATATTGTGAGGGGGAGATAGTGGGTTATCGCGGGGGACGACGCACGGACTGCTTCTTCCTGGAGAAGAAGGACATTCTCCTGACCCTTACACCGATGATTGACGAAATGGTGGATGGAAAGGGAGCGGGGACTGCGAATTAGAGGGGATTATTGAACGGAAGGAGCGGTGGTGAACAGGCCCGGCCTGTGCTATCACAACAACGCAGGCTGCCAACGCTTGCACGACCGAACAGCACTCAACACGCCGAGTCCTATTTGGCCCTGTTGTGCCCTTCCCTTTCTGTCCACCCTCGTTTCGTCCCCGCAGCACCATTGCCCTTTCCTTAACCGCTCTCACGAAATTATATTCGCTCACTCAGCACCAATTATGAGTACTACTGTATGTGCGGCCCAAACACCCTCATATCTGTCTACTCTCATTCGTTCCATGTAATCACATCTCCCTGCTCTTCCGATTCGTGGTCTCGCTTTCTGTGCATCATCAGTCTATCCCGCGATGGAAACAGTCTGTTGCATTCTATGCGCAAAATAGTCAAGTCGAGTTCGCCTCCGCCGTTCGACGACTCACTGTCGAATGCGCATATGAAGATGGGCGTTCTTCCGGACGGACGTCGTCAGTCATTATTGTGGGTGGGTAGCGGAAGGCGAACTTACTGTCCCGGGTCGGTTATCTTTGCGACTTCGGTCTTGATTTGTTCGGGCGTAGTAGAGGCTGCGAGTCGTTCAGCTTTTCTGTATCATCTCATCTCACGGAATATAATATTGATATTGACCATCTTGGACCGCGGGTCTTGAAGGAAGAACGGAGGGTAACTTGGGTTGTGTCAGTGCAGCCATGGATGCACTTCGGAGGTGGCAAGGAGAGAGAAAGTGTGGCGCCCAACATACTCACTCCGGGATCGTCACGCATCTTATGCATGTCACAGAAAGGTACAACACCGGTCTAATTGTGGCTGTTGAATTCTCAAGCGGCGGCCATTGCATGCCATGAGGTTCGAGGAAAGGAAGTCAGACCGCTCTGTACTGTACCTTACCTCCTCTTCAACATCCCATCCTCCAATACAGCATTGCTTGTCGTCCGACTTACATACCATCAAGTTCTTGAATTTTATCTTACAAGCAGTCTGAGTGTGGCGCCAACCAATCCTGTCACTGTCACGCTCCGCCCTCCGAGCACCCTCGTCATGGCCCTGACAATGACAGTGCAAGCCTCTCGGAGTCGGAACCTGACGCGCTCCCCCTCCACCTTTTTCCTTCTTTTCCTTCTCCTTTTTAGTCTACGTCGAGAATGACCACTAGAGACAAACCACAACCCACACACAAACGCACCCTCTCCTCCCGCCTCAATTCTCTGCTCAGTCCCCAAGACCCTGGTCCCAGCACAAGCCGAACAACGCAACTGCTCGACGTGCCGAACGGACTTGGACGCGGACGCGGAGCGAATATCAATATTCCTTCCAGTAGCACTGCGGACTCGGACATGCGTACACCACGACTTGGGCTGCCTTCTCCTTCTCCTTCTTCAGCTGTTGCGTCGAGTGCTGCTTCCGGTGCGGCTAGACTACCCAATAGTGCCAAGAAACCCAAACAGCAGAAACCCAAACCCCACCTCGACCTCTCCCCCGCCTCCCTATCCCTATCCATGTCAATGTCCATACCCTCCCAACCTTCCTCCGCACTCCCTTCCCCGCTAAAGTCTCCTCTCCCCGTCTTACGCTGGTCCGGGTCCGGGTCCAGTTCCACACACCCACACCCTCATAAATCGACAACGCCAACGTCGAGTTCATCGAGCTTGAATGCTTCGCCGGGTTCTTCGCGCTCGGGATCGCCTCTGTCTGCGTTACATGACGCTTTGAATTCTGAGCTGCCTACTTCCCCGCATGCGTCCTCGATACAACCGCCTCCTGAAGTCCACCAACACCCACAACACCACCATACTCACCCACAGCACCCTCACCAACCTCATTCACAACAGCACGATCAAGAGAGACAACACCAACACAACTCCATCCCCTCACACTTCCTCGCCCGTTCACCCACCTACCTCCGTACCCTAACCCTCTCCACCCTCCCCACCTCCTCCATATCCTCCATTCCCTCTCCTTCTTATGCGTACCACACGCGAAATGAACATCCCCCCTCCTCGGGTTCGGGCTCGGGTTCTGGTTCGGGGGCAGGTTCAGGCTCTGGTTCAGGGGCGGGGGCAGGTTCGGGGGCAGCCTCAGGTTTAGGGTCATGGGCCATCCCCGACTCGACGATCACAGTCGCTCATTCCCCACCGACCCGCTCATCACTCGATACCCTCCGTTCTTTATCCCTGCACTCTCCCACTGCTACCAGCACACATATGCACGAACCGCCCCTCCGACGTACCCGGAGCAGAAACAGTCGACAAGATACATCGAATGGGAGTGTGGATATAAGGGAGTTCACGACGAGTGCGACGAATGCGGCGTGGAAGTGGTGGGCTGGGGCTGGCGAGGCGGGCGCAGAGACCGAGGTTGAAGGGAATGAAGGGAAGGGGGGGAATGGAGGGGATGGAGGAAAGGAGGCGAGTGAGAGTGAGAGGAGTGAGAGGTTGTTGGCGGAGCACGACCGGGCGCCGACGGAGGAGGAGGAGAGGGTTAAGATGCAGAGGAAGTGTGCGTTCCCTCCCCTTTCTCCCCATCGTATCCATTTGTGAGGGCGTCCGGCGTAATATCAATACTAACATCCCCAACCCTCCCCCTTCCCGCCCACCCTTCCCACCCGCTCCCCGCTCGCCCGCCCACCCTTCCCACCCGCTCCCCGCTCGCCCGCCCACCCTTCCCACCGCTCCCC